TTCTGACACCCCCGGGGTTTTCGGCTTCGACCCAGAAGTCAACCCCAGTTGCTCCCTCCGCGCCGCTTTTCCGTTCTTGAGGCCTAGATGCGCTGTTCTGATATGTTCCTCGAGTGCGAGCTTACTTCCATATCGCTTTCCACAAGCATCTTGGCCAGTCCAGCCTTCAATTCTTTTTTTAGAAATGGAGAGAATAAGCGTCCGGTTTCCGCCCGCCAAAATGGAACCCGGTTTCTCTGCCGATTGCATGAACTTGTTTTTAATGCGCAACAATTCAAAATTCCCTTTTTTTTTGTGAAACTGCGGCCGCAACCAGGATAATTACCACGGGCGTGAGTTCCGTCGTTCCTCCCAACGAAGATATTCCCATGTGCAATTTCCAGATGGCGCCGTAATTCCCTCGCAGACGAACAAGTAATCGTACATTCCGGACATGTAGGTGGGTGGGCCGCTCTTAAATGGGCTTGTAGCAGGGCATATGTTGGGAACGTAGCTTCTCGGTGAAGAGATGAATCTTCAGCTAACGTGGGGCCAGTCCTATCCACCGAGTTTATGCACTCCATGCAGGAAAACCGAGCACCCCCGTGGATCCTGCTCTCGTGAGCTTTGAGGTGGCCAGCAGTATCAAAGCCTTGCCGGCACTTATCCCCGGTTACGGGATCGCTGTGCGGGCAGGGAAAGGGTTTCTGATTCAGATGGACCATCATCACATGCTTTTGAAGTGTCGAGTGTTTTCTGAAGGTTTCGTTGCACGGCGGATACTCCATGCAACGATACTTGTCCCGTCCCTCATGGGCGGCCAGATGCCTCCGTAGCCGAGACCCCGTCACAAACGTCTTTCCACACCCTTCTCTATCGCACACGTAATCTCGAACCATGGTGTGCGCACTCTTGACATGGTGGTTAAGGTGCGACGCTCGAAGGAAGGATTTGTCGCAGCCATCGTATTCACAGCTGAATATCCGTTCGTTGGTGTGCGATCTCAGATGCTCTACTAATCGAGCCGGTCGATTGAAAGCTTTACCGCAATTGTCGTACGGGCAGAGGTGGGTTTTGAGGTCGGATGGATACTTCAAGGATGAGGCAGGGGAGAAGGGTGTAATGGGTGTTTTGGACTGTTTATTATATTCGTTGCTATTCTCACTCAAGCAATAAGACGAAACCGATCCAGAATCGGACGCATGATCTGTGTAGCTCGCATCTAGAGAAACAGTTAGGCTGCAGCTCCGCACAATTCCTATCGAGCGTACCGTCTGATGGAGCTGATTTCTGCAGCCTTTTCGATTGACGCTGAGGCTCAGCTGTAGATTTGCGCTTTTGAGGCATAATGACTGCAATTGGAGGGGCATCCGCCTCGAGAATGGCAGCAAAGCCAGCTCGAGTTATGTCGGAGTTGAAGCTCTTTTCCAGCAACTTTTTGTTTGTGTGGATCTAACTTTCTGTGTGCCGCCATAGACGCGCTAGTGAGCTCTTTCGGCCCAGCGATTGGCTATTGTTGGCGCGGTAGGCCATGCCAAGCCCCTCCAGTAAATCTGCGAAAAAAGCACGAAAAGATCGAAAATGATCACCCTGAGCATTGATACCCTGACACTCGCTTGCGCTCGCCCCTTTGTCGAAACCCAGTACTTGATAGCCGACTAGCCCGCGTTTACTTCTATTGAGAATGTCCGACTACGGTGGCGATCACGAAGACCGCGATGAGACCGGGTAGGGCACCGCATCCCCGCTGACCTGCGTCTGTGGATGCAAACTGCGACGGGTCCTGGCTAACACGTTGCTCCATAGCTTCGATTACGAGCCTCCGGAATACGATTATATTGACAACGAGCCGGAGGACTACGCACACCCGGAACAGGACGGGGAAGATGGCACATACGCGGTCTCAACGGTGATGGGCAACCCGTGACACCAGGCGCAAATGGGGAAAATGCGGCCGCAGCGAGTGTGATGCAAGCGCTGCGCTCGAGAGTAAGTTATGCTTCAGCAAAGGAAAAGAAGGTGCGAACGATCAGAGGTCGACGACGCCGTACATGACAAATATGAGCGTGCGCGAGTACTTGGGACGCGAGCTCTGCAGAATAGGTGTGTACGGAATACTATTACCTCCTTTCATGGGTGTCTCTTTCCTAAATATGGTGGTAGTATGAATGCCCCGATTTTGGTTGACTCGAAGGAGAGACGGATCCATTGCAAATAGCGTTGAAAGAGCTCACCCAGAAGAAGATCCCACTGATTGTGAGAAGATACCCTCCCCGACGGATGGTAAAGTCGACGTCCGTGCAACGATTTCAGCTTCATCTCTGATTTTTCGCGTACAGGTATGAGGACTGGACATGCGAGGAGCTACTCTAGACCCCTGCGTTCAGCACGTTCAAAAGCCCTTGGGTAATCCACCGCCTCATAGCTCGTTCCGTCTTTAGCATAGCGTTTGGAGTCCGGTGTATTTCAGGTGAATTTCTTGTATAGTGCTGTCTCAATGTGGCCTTTGCGGCACTGTGTCCGGAGGGCCCTTTTGATAGACAATGCTGGGTCCGTTAAAATTTCAAGTCTTTTCTGTAGGGAACCCCATGCCATTGCGATGTGTGTCTGCCAGAGACTCATATAAGACTGGAATGCTGTAGTTCGAGTATCTCCTCTTCCTGCTGAGCGCCATTGCTGAAAAGTTTGAAAGATGATAAGAAGGCCTATAATTTATTTTTACTCGTACATAAACGCCTTGAGACAGCGATCGAAGTACAGTACATATCAACATCCAGAACTAGGAGATGATTTTGATTCTAGATATTTGCAAACATATGACTGCTTTTGAGTAGTGCAGTTAAATAAGGGACTTAGAGAAGAATATATAATTATGATTTTAATGAAGCTAGGGTGCTAGCTGATTTTCTTGCTATTCAGATTCAATATAATAATTTCGATCCTGGGCCGTTTCGTTGCTAGTCGGAATACATGGAATGCAAACTGGTTGCGGGCTGGTGAGGCGATAAGAAATATAGACAGATAACGGGGATCAATTGGGGACCTTCAACGAGGTGGATTCTAGGTGGCGCAGTGGTTAACGCGCGCCGTCAAATGCCTGCATTTGCGGTGTTAACCAGACCTGAGCCACGGTCCCTGAGAGGGGAGTACTGGTCTACTCCCTGAGAAGCGATCTAGACCATATACTTAGCACTTAGTATATCACACGGTCTCTGTGACTGCGGTCACAATGAGGGGTCATCTCACGGGTTGGAGGGCGCGCCTAGTAGGCTGCAACCCCCGACCCGGTCGATAGATCTCGGTTCATCTTGTTACCAGTTTTTTTTTGGAGATTTTTGGCATCTCATGATGGCCATGGCTGTTGGCGATGTTGGGAGTGGGATGTACCACGCCCTTTAATCAGTGGAAGTGGGTGTCTGGCGTCGGGGGTTCGAATCCGGCTGCTGGAGCCTCTTTTTTTTGTTCTTTTTCTTTCCCGGCGACGGTCACCTTTTCTCGTGGCAACGCGTCGCGACATCTCTCGCTACAATCAAATCCTCCATCATGATGGCCTTGCTTCTCTGCTTCCGATGCGAAAGAGACATCATGGAAGGTTGATGCCACCCAGGACCCGTAAGCCCTTTCCAGCGAACAAATCTCAGGTTTGCTAACAGAGAAACCAGATAGTACCACGGAATAGTTAACGGCTTGCAGGATCCCGTTAATACTGTCCTAACAAAACAGACAACATGGATCAACATCTGGCGATTTCAATACTCAGAGAAAGAGGCGGCATTTCTGTCTTTTCATCACATCCTTATCGATTAATAATGATCCGACCTATTTTGCCCCCTCGCACCCGAATCTCCGGCTCACGGATTGACTCTATTGTTGGCCCGAGTCCACAAGGCTCGCCCCCCGTGGGCTTCGAGAACAACCGCGGCGACGGTGGACGAGACATCTCCCGAAACCCAGCATCTCGTCTGCAGAAATAAGGCCTGCCGTGCCGTGAGTTCCGGTTGCTCCCTCTGGCTAGCTAACACTGGACTAGCTACGGACTAGCTTGACCAGTTTCCGCTTGTTGGATCCAGGCTGTTGAGCTCTCTTTGCCCCGCAAGATGGAAATTCGCGGTTGAACCCCGTTCTCCATTTCCTGGGGAGCAGAAGCCTGTCAAATTGTGACTCCAACATGTTTATCTTGAAAAGCCCGACTTTCCAAGATGACTCTCTTTCTTCATAATTTTAATCGTGAGGTTATCTGCTCACTCGAATCTTCAAGGCTAGTCAAATCCCTCTGCTTGATACCGAGTTGGATTCTTGAGCAAGCTTATAATTTTCTATGACTGAGACGCTCTTGTTTCTTTGCTTTCGTATACCCCTTCCGTTTTCATTTTTTGGTAGATATTCATAGCCCTAAAGCTCGCTGCGCCGTGATTCGTAATTTCCACACCAGATGGAAGAGCCAGAAAAGCCGCCGGGCCTCTTAAGCTCGTCAGCCCCTAGCCCAGGCTCATCATCATGCGAGGAAGCGATAGAAACTGCAGAGAAAAAAGCGCCCGGCTTCAATGACGACGATCTCTCTTTCGACCACGGTTGCAAAGCATGGTTGCAAGTGCTTGCCTCCTTTCTATTCTTTTTTGATACATGGTGCGTACGACATTCAGATTCTCCAAGGAACCAGGCCCAGTGACTAACGCGAACTCTTCGCCTCCAGGGGTATCGTAACGGCCTTTGGTGTCTTCCAAACGTACTACGAGCAGGCCCTACTCGCCCACGAGTCCCCATCAACCATTTCATGGATCGGATCTGTACAGTCCTTCCTCCTTCTTTTCGTGGGAGCGGTGACGGGCCCGCTTTTTGATGCTGGATATGCCCGACAACTGTTGATAGCTGGCTCATTCCTGGTTCCCTTCGGATTAATGATGACCAGCATAGCCACCGAGTTCTGGCAATTCCTTTTGGCACAGGGCTTCTGCGTTGGACTTGGCTGTGGATGCCTGTTTGTTCCCTGTGTGGCTATTATCCCCCAGTATTTCAAACGGAAGAAGGCTTTTGCAAATGGTGTCGCCGCAACCGGTAGCGGCGTTGGCGGCGTCATATACCCAATTATGTTTCGCCAGCTACAGCTGAGGATTGGATTTGCCTGGGCGACGCGAGTTCTGGGCTTCGTAGCCTTTGTGACACTCGTACTTGCCTGCTTTCTCCTAAGGGTTAGATTCCAACCGACAGAAAAGCGTGCCTTGATTCAGCTATCAGCCTTCAAGGAACCTGTTTACGCGCTCTTCTGTATTGCCCAACTCATCGGGTTCTCTGGGCTATATAATGTCATGGTTTATATCCAACCATACGCAATCGACAATCGCATAGTGAGCGAACACCTCGCATTCTACCTCCTTGCCATGCTAAACACCGCCTCTGCTTGCGGCCGTATCCTCCCCAATTATATCGCCGATTTCACCGGCCCTCTCAACGTGATCGCTCCCATGGCTCTCGCTTCAGGCATTCTCGCGCTCAACTGGATCGCAATCCATTCCTCCGGCGGAGTCATCGCTTTAGCCGTTCTCTACGGCTTCTTTTCCGGCGGTTACGTCTCTATTCCTCCAATCGTGATCATGAATATCACCCCTGATCTTCGAGACTTTGGTACCCGCTTGGGCATGTCCTTTGTCTTCGTTGCGATTGGCGCATTGATTGGGACCCCGATCGGTGGTGCGCTGATAAACCATATGGGAGGAGACTACCTGGGTGTCAAGATATTCGCAGGATCGTGTTTGGTTTGTTCGGGTACCATAATGTGCGCTGCCAGGTTTATACGAACGGGACCCCGTTTGCTTGCTCGAATGTGAGCTTCTTTCTCCCTTGGAATATTATGTTTCTACAAAAGTTCACTCTGCTTCGCTGGAAAGACTACCGCATATCTGGATATTTTAGCATATTGTGTGCTACAAAAAGCATTATATGGTGTTGAGCAACTGTTTTTGGCATTTAGACCAAGCATCTCAGATGTAATTAATTCAATATCTTTTGCAGTTCCGAACAAAGAGGTTATTAGAGAGATCAGGTCTATAACAAGTAGTCGATATCGAAAACAGTCTACATACTTTATATACGGATATCTTCCAACATGGACATGAATCGAGTGCCATATTTTGACCCTTAACGCCCTCGCAACAATCACCACCCTAATATACATCCTCCGGACTAACCAGAAACTCCTCCCCATTCTGCCTCTGATGTATCAAATCCTTATCCCGACTCAACGGCTTCCTCATATCAAACGCATCCTCCCCGCCAGACTGCCCCGTCGGATCATCGCTGTAGTAATTCACAACGCGCCTAAACACCGAATACCTATCCCCCCAAATCAACCCACAATTAGCAAACGGGGAGCGAGAAGAAAAAAAAGACGAGAGGAGATTGAAGCATACCCCATGCCCCTATACATCCCAACAGCGACTTTATTCCCAGCACGCACGTACAAATCAACGAACCACGCGTCATTGATATCCGACGCACGCTCTAGCGCCTCCGTGAGCCGGCGCGCATGGCCCTGTCGGCGCGAAGCGGGGGCGACGGTGAGGACGGTGATGTGGCCGTGCCAGGGCGTGTAGTGTTCGGAATGGCGCATGGACGGGTGCTGAGCTTCGAGTTTACCCATTACTACGCGCGAGATTTGAAAGGTTAGCTATTAGATGCTTTCCCTTTTGGCGGCGCGGCGGGAGGGGTGGTGGAAGTTTTACTGTAGCCTACGATCTTGCCATCGCGGTCTTCGACGACGTTGAAGAGCGAGGGCCATTTCATGAGGTAGGTGAGGTAGAAATTGAGGTCGTAGTTTTCGGTGAGGGGGTCGAGGTTGGTGAGATTGAGCGAGAAGAGATCCTGTGCGGTCATGCGGCGGATGGAAGACATTGTTGGAGGGGGCGGGATGGTTGTTGTAGCTGCGCTTTGGAGGCCAGAGAGAGACAGCGGATCTTAAAGCTGAATGGTAGAGACCGTGGTAAGATATAGAGCTGGTTGTGGTCAGTGGTGCTGCATTTTGGTTATGTAGGAGGTTTGGTGGTTAAATGAAGATGGTTTTGAACGCATATTCTTCAAAAATATACTATGCTTGAGCGGATATAGTCCGTCTATTCTCTGCATCTTACATCTCATCAAGTAGATTAATTCATGCTCTCTAAGTTGTTTTACACTGACAGTTTGTACTCTTTACAGCGCGTTAACTATCAGGCTTCACAAGATTCTCAACGATTCTTTTCCCCTATGTTTGTATGGGCATTCCGGCTTTAAGTGAAAATCGTGGCCTTAACGCCGCGTCTGAGTATAGATCCCCCTATGAATTGGGTGCAAGTACTCCGTATATGCGGTAGGCTCATAGTTCAAAGGTACCGCCGAGTCCATTAAGCAGATCATCCAACACTGATGCATCAATGTCTGGGTATTCCTCAAGATTTGGTAATGTCGGACTCTCGTGCAGCTGTGCAGCCTCCATCTTCGCCAACATATTACCACAGTTAGCTAGACAGTGGTCTGCAAGGTCCCACATCGAGTTCTGGCGGTGTGACTTGAGGGTATCAATCATGTTTCTTGCAAGCTTCAGTGGCGTGTTTCCGACCGAGTGCTTGGATTTTAAAGCGCTGCGCAATAGAAAAGTTGTGGCAGACGTTAAAGCGAAGCCATTAGACGGAATCCAGAATCCACGTAGATGACAGTCTTCCAACTCCTCGACAAAGTGGACAATGTCCTCTGCGGCTCTCTCGGCCCGTAAGTAATACGGTTGCTGGGGTAGTCGTTGCCCCTTGTCTAGATCCAACTGGATGCGTCTGAGGAGCAATTTCACTGCTAGGTATGACAGGCGGAGGTTTGCAGCACCAGGAGCATCCATATTTGTTCCCCAGATGACAGCTCGACGGACATCGTCACTTAACGTTTCCTCCCATTCACCAAGCAGCATTTCCAGGTCTACCGTGGATGTTTCGCATCCGGAATGGGAGTGCTCAGCAACCTGATATACAAACTCTAGATAGTGGCCCAGTGCCTCAGTGAGGGTAACAAGGGAGATGAAGACTGAAGCCGCAACTGCTTCAGATGGTGATGCATCGGTAGAACAGAGAGTTTGGGTGGTTGGTACAGGCACATCATGTTGGGAACGATGGATCAACAGTGGTGTTCCGTACGCTAAGCTGCACCTATGTCGGATGGTCAATACGATATCAGAGAAAGCGCAGAAACCGGGGCACTACCAGCGATCATGCACCACAACTAGCCACCAGAGTCTGATTCTAATCCGCTTCTCTAATGGTGAGATATTCCAATCGGATGGATCCCGATTCAAGCCCAGGGCATTGGCAAAGGCGACCGCCAGTCCCATCATTCCGCCATTGCAGAACATCGAAGTGGTGGGTCTACCGCATACATTAAGAATGATAGATATCACTGTCGACGTTCCAGGGGACAAGAATACCTCAGAGCTCAAGGCCTCGTATGCTTGGACCCAGATGAATCCAATATCCAAAGAGCGACTCAGGGACAGCTGCGGCGAGTCCCGGTGATATACCAAAGCGCTGGCATACAAATTGCAGAGCAAGGCCGGGGATATCTTTTCTCGATGGTTGAAATAGGTGTTTTTGAAAGAGAGCTCATCCAAGATCGGGAAACAAATATTAGCCTTCGCGAAGAACCTGTGGACGGGTATATGAGTCTTTGGTGCTCTTCCGTTTGACGCAGCTAGATAGCCCGGCTGTACCACTTACAAGTCTACTAGATCCCGGGCATGAGGCTCAATAAACTTCTCGATCAGCTCACATTTTTCAGAGGCGCGGGAGGTATGTGATGTGACGCTGTATGGCCGTTTCGGCACAACGCTGAACAACACCGGTCGCGCAGGACGAGCAGCAACATCGGCACCCGGAAAAGATCCAATAAGCCGTCTCCCGCTTGCGGTCGTGGTTGTTGTCAGGTAGCTCTCCAACATGTCGCTGTCATCGGCGACTGCTGGGCTAACAACATGAGAGCTATTGTTGCTGGCATCGGCAAGGATCCCAACGGAGGGAAAGGGCACGATTTCAGACCGCGACGGGTTGAGATAATCTTCCGCTGGGTTATGGGCCGCATTTATTAGTCCAGTGCCACGCGGGCTAGCGGATTGTAGATGTGAAGGGAGCTGCGGCGTTGAGGGAAGCCCGGGGCGGTTGACTCTTGCCAACTGCCTTTGAGATGACCGGCTCGCTGCTGCTGATCTAGAAGACTTGCTCTGGGTGCCCGGGAAAACGCATTCTGTTCCATGCGCCTGGCACAACATGCACTTGTCCGCGGCGTTTCGCGTTTGGCAGCGCGACTTGCGTTTTCTGCACGGAAGACATGCTGGGTGTGAGTGCGATCGATACGGCCTCCCCAGCACGCGGCCGGATTGTCTGTGCTCAGTGGATGCCACCTCCATGCCAGCATGCAATAGAGGATCGGGTCGAGTGCGTTCTAGCCTTGGATATGTGTGTTCAGTCTGCGTAGATGTTATGGAGATGGTCCTGGACCTATGGCGGCGCGGGCATCCCCGCGGGCAAACTGCGTTTCCTCGCCGAAGCCCCTCCGCAGTACGAAGCAAGTATATAAATGCAAGCTTGAACAATGCTTCTGTCTTCAGCCATCCAAACTACTCAAATTCCTTTACCTTTGATTTGTCTTCCTGTTCTGCTATCGCTACGCAATGTCTCCTGACGCTTCCGCTTTCTGGTCAAAGGCCAACAGGTATTTGATGAAGACAGGCCTAACGTTCTCGCCGGCGGTGATCACAAAAGCACAAGGATGTCATATATACGACCTTGAAGGAAGAAAGATAATCGACTTCACTTCGGGTCAAATGAGCTCCCTACTCGGCCATTCGCATCCAGAGATTGTCCAAGTCGTACAGAAATATGCGGCGGAACTGGACCATCTTCTGAGTAACATGATATCGCCTCCTGTCGTTGACCTTGCCGAACGTCTCGCTCGGTTGCTTCCGCCGTCTCTTGAGAAATCCTTCTTTCTTAATACTGGAGGCGAGTCAATTGAAGCAGCCATCAAAATAGCAAAGTGCTATACACGCAAGTTCGAAATTGTTGCCTTTTCCGCGAGTTATCATGGCCTGACGCAGGGTGCTGTATCAGCCACATACTCGGTGGGCCGCAAATATGGTGGTCCAGTTGCGCCTGGCCAGCTTTCCTTTCCTGCGCCTTATGCTTACCGTTCACCCTTCCGCAAACCGGATGGTTCGTACGATTGGGAGACCGAGATGGACTATGGATGGTCTATGATTGATAGACAAACTGTGGGTTCCTTGGCCGCTTTTGTGATGGAGCCCATCCTGTCCACAGGTGGCATCCTTGAGCTCCCGAAGGGCTATCTCTCGAGGATGAGCCACGAGTGCAAAAAGAGGGGGATGCTTGTCATCATGGACGAGGCCCAGACTGGAGTCGGTCGCACAGGTCAAATGTTCGCATTCCAACATGAGGACGGATTTGTCCCTGACATCCTCTGCCTGTCCAAAACACTTGGCTGTGGCCTACCTTTATCCTCAATTAGCACATCCGCAGACATTGAGAAAGGGGCTAACGATGCGGGCTTCCTCTGGCTGACCACCCATTACAACGACCCGTTGCCAGCGGCGGTTGGTAACAAGGTCCTTGACATTGTCGAGCGAGACCACATTTGCCAACGTGCAGCCGAACGTGGAGAGCAACTATTCCAGGGCCTCCTCGCACTACAAAGGAAGTATTGGTGCATTGGTGACGTCCGTGGGCGTGGTCTGTTGCAGGGCATTGAAATCATCTCAGATCCAGCCACAAAGGCCTCAGGCGCCGCCCTTGGTCAGACAGTCTCGGATCGGGCGCTGGAGCTAGGACTCTCATGCAATATAATTACATACCCGGGGATGGGCGACGTGCTTCGATTGGCACCTCCGGTTACTATCACGGCGGAGGAAATCGATGACGCGCTCAGAATTTTCGACGAGGCGTTCGCCTATGCTCTGAATGAACATGGACTGTGCAACTAGAACAGGGTGATGTGTATATATCAAAATAGCTTAATCTCTATTTCGCCTCTGCAATTGCTATCATCGTTTTGGATGATAAGCGCTTGACTGCTGCCATTAGAATTCAGCCATTCGTCTCCATAAAGCTGAAGCAGGGATAAAAGAGGGATATCTTGCAGTGTCGCTTGAAGGCACAACCGTAAACATGCGGTTACAGAATCGGGTACCGCACCAGCTTGAAGATAGAAATTATAGACTGAATATCTTAGCATGGAAGTAGATACTTGAACCCGGCCATACTTCAGCTGCTAGCATGATGCGTACCCATGCGTCCGTCCTAGCCGTGTGTTGTGCGTTGAAACGGGCTGCTGTTCGACTTCTTCCTGCAGAGCTTGCTGGCCTGTATCAAACCGGAAAAGGGGAAAAACAAGGCGTGCCGGGTGAACAAGTAGTTAGAAGAGCTTCCCTGGTCCATCCTTGCAGGCTTCGACACGCGGTCGATCTAAATGCCTACGAAAAGCCCGTCGTGTCAAAATCCAATAACCAGCATAGATTTAGAGCGATTGGGTATAGAGGGATCACATATTGAACCCGTTTTAAGGCTCCAATAATAGAGGTCATAATCCATTCAAACTAGTATGGCTGTCAGGAAAACTGACCATTCGATGCCATTTCCAAGGATGTTGTTGCGGGAGTTGTTGTATCGTTGCGGTTCATTCCGCAGAGCAACAAACACGTCGACCAGGAGAATTTAGCTGAACATCAACTCGGTGAAGACATTACATTGTTAGTGGCTACGGAGTGCTTACTCCCCCTCTCAGTCACTATATCCCTTCTTTTATATATATCTAACTGTTCACTGCATCTCTCTATTTTCTGTTCTTTTCTGCTTTCATTGTTTCACTCGCTGCCCGCCCTCGGAGCCGTTGTGATCGAAAACAACGCACCACAATGCCATCGTCTCCCAACTCTCCGGGCCGCACTCGCCGAAATCCCTCACGTCTCGATCTCTCCTCCGCCTCTCCAAGTGCGTTGACGAGGAATGAATTCGGCCAGAGCCCTCCTTATTCGCCGCTGACCCCGCGCACCTCCGTTCCACAGTCACCCATGTCCCACAGACGCCGAATCTCGTCCTTGGGAACATCGGAGAGACTAGATCGCTTTTCGGGTGATTTTACTTCAGATATGAATGCAGATGCACATGACGGTGATGCAGGGGGTCTAGGAAGCCTGGCAGATGAGTTGGCGAATGCGTGGGACGACGATGGGTATGGATATGGCTACGGAGAGGACGATGCGTCTGGATTGCAAGACGGAGAAGTCATGGTTTCTTTAGACGGCGTTGATTCTTCAGCGCCGGGAAACGGGACTTATATCGAGTCCATACACGATATGGGAATAGGCATGGGCAGTGGAATGTCGCATGGCGCCTCAGATTCGGAACACGATCAGTTGATGCCACCCAAGCAGAGGTTAAGGGGCCAATTGCGGCATCGGCGGCACGAATCGTTGTATGACGGCTCAGATTATGGGAATGACTCTGATCTTGAGGACGCAGGGGATATACCGCCTGGGCTGGAAGCGCGAATGTCTGGCATCGATGACCTGGTAAGGTGGAGCAAGGGAGACGGCAACGAGGTTATAGACCAATTTATCAGCCTTCTACGGGAACTGGGCGGGCAATCTGGGATTGAAAATAGCACCACGAGGTATGGCAATCGTCGCCGCATTCAGTTCTCCATGCTGATCTATAAACCCCAGGCTCATCACCGCGCACAACTCCCTTGTATCCCATCTATCCCACCAAACTCGCTCTCTCCAGACCCTCACCCACCCGCTCCTCATTTCTTCTTTCCCAACCCTTTCTCCAGACGCCATCGATGACCTAGTCCCTCTAATCGACTCCATTCTCCCCAATCTCCCATCCCCCAACAACCACCAACGCACCGACTCAAACACTCCCTCCACCCCTGATCCCCCAACCTCCCACCACTCACGCTCCCACTCCAACGCTACGCCCCTCCTCTCCCTCCAGACCCTTCTCTCCCAAACCTCAGACCTAACCCACACCCTCCGCGCCCTAAACGACACTCTCCACGAATCCCGCCAACTCACATCCACCGCTTCCCGACGCCTCAGAGCCGTCCGCGAACTCGTCGTCGATATGAGACGCGAAGACGAAGCGCGCGAAGAAGGCATCCGGTGGATTGAGAAAGGTGGTTGGGATGCGAGGCTGGCTCGGAGGGAGGCGGGGACTGTCTGCCATAGCGTGGTCAGCGGGTTTGAAGCGGTTTGTGGAGAGTGGAGGGACCGGTTGTTTGGTACGGCGGCGGCAGCGGCGACGACGGAGGTTACGGTTACCTGAAGAACGGCTGCCGGGATGCGGTTTTACACCTATTTCCTGATTCATTCTTATTTATTTATTTTCTTTTTGCCTATCGTTTTGGGGCGGTTAATGGATGGTAGGGTAATGCGTTGCCGACGAATCTAGGTTAGCGATGCTTTTCCCCCGATTCTATTTTTAAAATGCATTTCTTTTTAGCCCTAGAGGAAAGATACATAGACAGATTGATGTTCTTTTTATATTACTTCTCTGCCCTCTTTTTTGGTTTCTAGAGACCCTTGGTTGGGCATGAGATTTCTTGGTTCAACTGCATGAAAACCGATACCCCCACACCTAGCTATCATCATGAACGTCCGTCGATAACACCTATTACATTTACCTACTTGCATGTCGAGATAGTACGCGGTTAGAATAAAAGATTCATTTCTCATTCTCTTCATTCTACATAGCATAGGTCCATAAAAATGGGGGAACAAAAGTACGCAACACAAAGCGTCAATATCAGATAACAGCAAAGAAGAAAGGGGAATCCTCCACGCCTTATCATCTCTTCGTCGAAAAGGACGTGACATGATCAGCGTGGGATCAAGAAAACGAGAAAACAGGGGGCAATTTGGGAAGCCTAAAGAGCATATGCAGGAAAACGTGCAGCATACATTAGAAATCATATATACGCGTACATGTTCTCCAATGGCCGAGGAAATGCTGACGATCAAACAGTGCAGGGCGCGAAAGAAATGATGGTGAGAAAACCAATAACGGCACGAATAGGAGAAGATTAAATTGCATTAAAGCACAGAAAATATGCACTTTTAAGCTGCAATGCAAAAATGGGAAAAGCATAGACTTCAATTTAACACCGCGCCAGAATGGGAAATGGACGGGGGACGGCTCAAGGACAAATAGATAGAAGAGGTAGATAGCCACCGAATTTAGTCAAGGTATAGGGAGCTCCCAAGAATAGATCTTAGAGCTTGGCCATAAACCACTTTTCCAAACGTTCGTGGACACCAAGCTAACCCACTAACCTAACGTGCCCAGCACTTACTGTTGTTGTCTAAACCTCGGTCGCCACACACCCGGTCGTGGCTCTTCACGTCCCTCCTGTGGTGCAGGAGACGACGATGGAGGAACTGGGCTTCTTGTCATCGGCCGAGGAGGAGGGGGCGCGTCGCCTCCACGTGCACGACCGAAATCGCGACGATCAGAAGATGCCTCTCGCGCTCGCAAATGTGGGGCGAGGTAGCTGCCTTTTGAAGGTTGTGCAGGCGGAACGTCTTGGGTCGAAGATGGCCTCTCAGTTGCGGCACCGGCTTCTCTCTTATCTCTCCATGAAGGACCAGTTCGACCAGCAAGGTTGAGGCGTGGTGCGGTTCGCTCGGGGGATGCTTCGCGCGGAGCTGCTTCCCTTGCTGGTGCTCTGGGCTCCGGTACGCCGGTCTTTCGGGCTGCACGTCTCTTCTCGGCCTCCTCTTCACGTTGTCGCTGAAGGGCAGCTGTTTCGTCGAGTTTCCTGTGAAACCGGTTAAATTCATTCCAAACGCGAAAGTTGACGAACACTTACCTTCTTTGTTCCTCTCTAGCGGCCTTTTCTTCCGCCAACGCGCGGCGTCTCTCCTCCTCCTTGGCAATTCGCTCTTCTTCCTCGCGGGCAATGCGCTCTTCTTCATCTCGTTTGCGCTGTTCCTCTGCCTCGAGCTCCATTCTTTCGCGTCGGATGCGCTCATGAACTTCCTTGATACGCTGCTTCTTCTTCTGTTCAAATTCCCTTTCGGCCGCCTTGCGACGCCGCTCGAATTCTTCGTGTCTCTTTTCGGTGACATTCTTTTTGAAGTCATTGAAATGCGGCACCAAACGACTGAGGCGGTGCTTGAGAGCCACGTCTTCCTTGTGTTTCTGCTGGGCTGCGTGTAAAGCCTCTGCTTTGTTTTCCTCGTAGACTTTCAAATCCATTTCCTTCTGAGCTTCGTAATCGGCTGGTAAATGTTTCAATTCCTCCCGGCGGAAAGCTCGTGCCAAATGATCGATGCGCTTAGAAGTAATTCTGATCTTCTCATTGAGGTCATTCTTCTCCTTTTCAAGCTGGGCGAGCTTCATCGCACGAAGGCGATTCGAGTCGAGTTCATCAAGATCGAGCTGGTCGACATCAATACCTTTGACTCCAGTTTTCAGTTCCTCGAGCTGCTTCTTCAATTCTTGCTGGCGAATTCGATCTTGCTCATCTTTCATCCGCTTCCGCTCGCGTTCACGGTGCTCATCCAAAAGGCGCTGCTTCTCGGCTTCTTGGAGTTTCTGAGTACGCATGCGCTTGAGAGTTTCTTCTTCACGTTGCTTCTTTTGCAAAGCATCCGAGAGCGCTTCCTTCTTCTTCTCAATAACGGCACGGCGAGCAAGAGTCTCTTCATGTTCCTTCGCTGCACCCGCACGGGCCGTCGCATGTGCGGCTTCCTTCGCCTTGATTCTTGCCTCGTTGTAGGATGGGTCGACATACATGCAGGTGACATGAAGGGTTTTGGCTAAGCGAGCAAGTTGGGATCGAGCGATCTCTGCTGGCGTGCTTTGCAGGCGCTGAACGGAGCCTACTTCGCTTTCCGCGGATCCAGCGGAACTTCCAGGGTGAAGAGCTTTGGCAGACGAGAAAATGTCAGATTCGAACGTCAAGACACCGGAAACGTGGTTGACACGGATGGCTAAATCTCCTTTCTTGCAACCGTTCATGATGAATTTCTCAATCATTGATGGGGTAACCTGGAACGGATCTGGGAAATGAGCAAGATTGTGAACGAATTTGAGCTCAACAGACTCGTAGACTTGAGATAATTGCTGGAAAAGTCTAGTAAGGATAACTTGCTGCAGAGGTAGAACATATTTTTCCATCTCCGGGTCAGAACCAATCTGTGTAAGAATTGGCGAGATCTTCTTGCAAATCGAGAGAGGGTGGAAGTCAACTTCGAGGATATTGTAGAGGTCGCGAATTTCAGGCCGGCAGCGGCTAAGCAGGCCCTTATTCAAAGCATCTTTAAAGAGGGCAGCTCTGGTAGGCGGTTGCGGCATGCCCAATAGGTTCGTAAGCCGAGTATTTTTGTTTTTACGTGCCTCATCTACGTCAACGAGCGCACCGCGGGATCGCGAGGTGCTGATAACAGGGATTGAAAGGGCGGAAAGTAGGACAAAAGATGCAGCCTTGGTCATGTCGACTTCAGATATCGATGGGTTATCCTTCTTGGAACCCTGTCCAGCAGCAAGTGCAATGGCGGACTGTCGCAACAGGTTGTAATAACGGTTCCAGGCAGCGGCGTGGAAGAGATAGTTGTCGCTAACCATGAAAATTCTTGTGAGCTTCTCATAGTAGTTCGCCATCATGATATTCTTGGGTTGTCGCTTGCTGAGACTGAGGAGAGTGTGGATATCTTCGACACTACGGAAGCCTTCCTGCCACAGTTCCAGTTCAACGGCAACGTTCAATTGCTGAAAGCGAGTATCCAAGTGACGCTGAAGAGTGTCGGGGTCGCTCAAATTGATAGCGTGCATTTGAGCCGAATACTTGGCAGCGTTTTGAACATGGTTTCTAAGAAGCTCACACAAGCGGCGGAACTCGGTCTTGCGCGCATATTTCAAGCAAAATTGGAAAGCTTGGAGGGCAGTTGCTTGGTACATAACCTCGAGGCGTGCATTGTTCTTTAGGATTTCCAATACCGTACGGTAAGTCTCCCAGAGGAACTTCAACCATGGGGTCACCACAGCTCTGTCTGTTCGGTCGCGAGATTGTTCGCCGGAAACGGTCGCAAGGAGAATTGTCTCTGGGGTCTCAATGGCATCAAGATCCTCAATATTGGAAGTTGGGCCGGCAGATTCAAGTGAAGATTGAATCTCGTCAGCCTTGGCTTGGGCCTCTGTGACCTTTTGTTCCGCGAGCTCAATAAATTTTTTCAAGACCATCTATATTATATGCATTGGAATTAGCGTCATTCGCCATCTTAGAGTTCAAAATCAACGTGTGCGCCTAGCATACCTCAATAGTCCCGACGTTGGTATTCTGAGCGATATTCTTATATTGATATAAACCATCCTTGGCAGATTTTCCCTTTCTTAAATCCACACAAAGTTCGACAAAAAGGAGCATCACCGGCTCAAGAGATGCAATTGGGCTGCTGCGAGATCTTTTCGACGTGACATGTTCATGTAGGACGGACAAGGCTGCTGGAATTTGGCCCACGGCGATGAGCTCTTCAGCTCGCTAAGTATCATGGGATTGTCAGTCGCAAATATTTCATCAAAATTGCCAACTGGCCAACGGATAGCCTTACCCTGAGGACATTCTCAGGCCTAACGTGCGGTATAGGCGGCATGCTGGGCACCCTGTCTCCTCCCTGACTCTGCTGACGCGAGGTTAACCACCCAAGAAAACTCGAAGATTACGTTTGATTCAAAGTGAATTGATTTGAGCCTCAACAGGTGCAAGACTCTTGCCGACGAGAGGGGTGGCTAGAGAGTCCGGGGGGCTTCGATGAACGACGAGTTTGACGTTTAGCCTTTGTTGGTTGTGGGAGAGCGAAGAAGGCGAAAATTTCCTGTGGATCCTGGGTGGCTTATGTCAGCGCCGAGTAAGCGACGGGATCGCACGTGATGCACCTCGTTTGACGCTTGACGACCTCGAGAGAGACGACTGGCTTCAACCACTAGATACCTATGCTCAGGGCCTGTTGGTGCGATGGCATGGGCTTGCCTTTATGCTAGAGAGGTGCTAGCTGCGCATTCTGGCATTTGTCGGTTTCGAGTTTGGCCCAGGAAATCACGATCTGGTTGAAGTCCACGCTCGCTTCGGCCTTCACACCCTGATATTGCTCTTGACATGGCAAAGCAAGCATGACCAATTTCGCAAGTCCGATTTTCCTCATCCATGAGAATCTCCACGAAATAGCATGGCTACTACCGAGTACTTGGCATCGACAGCTACTGGAAGGACCAATTTATTGGCCCTTGGGTAGCAAGATGGTTCGATCAGCGCCTATTGTGCCAATTGAATTCAGTATACTGGAAGCGGAGTGCATATGCACATGTAACTTAACCTGCGCAACCCCTGCTGCAGGAACACAGCAAATCCAGGATTGCTTGTGACTGAAGGATTCTATTGGGAAGATTCTCACAGTGTTTCCGCAAAATATGCAGGTATACGTGAAATGAATATCCGCTCTGGTACCAGAGTGGCCGCGCTGAGAGGTCCACCTAGAACTAAGATAACCCCGCCGTTGATACCCAAACCAGGAATGCTCTATACATGAACTAGCTTGGGGATGTGATGCCAGACCTTAAGAAGATTTGTGGGATTAGTTGTAGGATGGCACCTGGAAGCAACATGTTTCAAAGTTCAGTTTCCAAGTCATCGCAGACGCGGTCCTCCAAAAAGGACGAGCAGTCAATTGACAAACAAATGACAGAATGCTGAGAATGGCGGTCAATGGTGCTCATTCTCGCTCACAGGCAAGTCAATGCAATTCAATGCAATTCATTGAGGCTTCTTTGCGCATTGACAAATGCACAGGTTGTGGTCGCTGCAAATCAAGCACAATCAACCCTACGACGATTATTGAAGCCTGGCCTATGGTATCACTCTGAGATCAAGAATCCATGTCAATTCACAATATAGATTAAGGAGGACAATAACGCGATTCTCCTTTGCTTCCCGACATATATCAATAGCTCATTTGCCTGGCTCTCTATGGCGCAAACAGCGACTCGACGCCAAGGGTGCGCCAAGACACCAGCGCTTTTCTTGGGTCTGTAGCTTGTCCAATCGGGAATAGTCGCATTACCACACAGAAGCGACCCCGACTGCTAGGAATCGCGTAGAGGAGAGGGACTGATATTGTTCGCGGCGAGATACAGAGGCTAGATTAGGCGCAAGACACTATGGAAAGCCATTCAAGAATAAGTTATTAATATTGTGTCGGCTCCTGTAGTCACTAAACACCACAGCTCAGCCGAGATCCTGGTAACTGTGGGGTACGGGCTGTATTGGTTCTGTCAAACTGCCGCAAAGCCGCCCGCTGATTGGCCCAATGTGGGTATCCCTGCGGTACTGCATGGTAAAGTAGCCACAATTTTAATTTCGCCCCTTTACCGAGAGGTACGGGTATCCCTTTGGTCTTGTTTCTGTTTCATCTGCTTTCTGTCTCTTCGCCCATCATCCCCATCGCCATCTCTGCCGTCGCCCGCGACCAAACACCCCAGCTCTCGATTCGACAGCCACTTCTCTCGCCCTTTCGCTTCTTCTTCCAGAGGCCACAATTCCCTCCTAGGCCCGTCCTCACGCTTTCTCCAGGCCGATTCTCCTCCGCCTCCCTGGATCGTGGTTCATCCGTGCGCCTGTCCAGTGGACGCTTTGCCTGGATCTTCCTCACAATTGTCGGTGGCAGATGGGCTATCAGCCGCGCAACATGCCCGCTGCATACGAACAATTGCGACCGAGAGGTGATGCGAGAAATAATCGCCAGAACATGGCTGAACTGAAGCTCAGACGACTCAACGAACTCAACGCGCGACTGAGGGAGGACCTCGAAAGACCGAGGGTAAAAGTCACAGAGGCTTCCATGTCGTGAGTGCTCCAGCATTCCGTTCTTCGCCTTTCAGCTCTGATCGCTAATCATTTTGTTTGCTCTCTCCAGACTTATTAATTACTGCAACAACACACGGGATTTCATGGTACCTTCAGTGTGGGGCCAGGTATGATCCTACTTCCCCTTTACACCCCGGGCGAACGTCTCTACCGCTCGCAACGAGACGAAGCCGCTGACACACTTTAACCCTCTAGGTTGATAAACGGGAGGACCCTTACGCTCCCCAGCAGTCTGGCGGCTGTTGTATAATAATGTAGAATTGCTCCATTGATCGCCCGAATTCTTCGTATCGCGTTCCTGGCCGCCGTTCATCTCCTTGCGACCACACCTTACACATCCGTGATATCCTAATACTACTTCCGCAATTGATCTTTGACGACTCTCGATTCCTTCTCTTTAACGCATTTTCAAATACGCATTTCATCGGGCCCCTGCACTTTCCTTTCGCGTTGAAACGAGCATGATGTTGAAGATTCCCACGCGTGCTCCATGCGAACAACAGAAGTGAAGGTTCTCTGCCAGGCTTGTGCCTAACTAAGTGAATTGTCTATGGGATCGAAGAAAATTTTTTCATATAGATCCACGTTACGTTTTCCGTGGCTCTACTTTTTGGACCCTCCATAAACCAAGGCATTTTTTCATATCCGCCGCTTTGCCTTGCTTTTCTTGCGGCTTTTTTTGATATTTGGTCTAGCTGTTCATCGACCCGTCACTCGTCCTAGGCCCTCAACTTTCACCACTATTTTCATTTGTTTTAACTGGTTCCTGTTCACAGCTTCCGTTCCATACCTGCTACCCTCACGCCCCATGTCCTTTTGGAATTAATATCTCCTCGCATCCGCCACAACTGCTCTGTATTCACTTCTATGATCTTATTTCTTTATCATCCCTTTGAGCACATCCCCCGGCATTCCTCCTGCAAACTGTGAGGTTTGATGAATGTACCCTCAAAATTTCTCTTGTAAAATAGATTTTGGCACAGGAGGCAAGAACAGCAACAGCAAGCAAAGAGTTCTATCCCTTCAAACCCAGTTTTGGTGATTTGGCCTAAGTGACAGGCACCAAAATACTCAAATACACGGAAAAGCAGCGCCTTCAATATTATGACCAGACTTGTGTCTGAACAGGACGGATTTAAATCCTACATTATGTCATGGATCCCTGTACTTTTCCCTAGGATCTCTTCTTTGACACACTGCTGTGCACCATAAACAGTAATCAGTCGCACAAACATGGGCGGGAAAAAATCAACTACTGATGTTGGTGTTTTGTTACATTGATCTACACTGCCGAGGAGAATCTGTGATGGCTTGTGAAACGAAATACACATACATAGAGAGCCGGTTTCCAGAGAAAAGTTTCAGGCGACTCATTGCTTTTCCCATATTATAATGCCTGCAACATCTCAGGTATTTTTTTTAGTAAGTGAGCTGTTATCAGTGAGAGTATACAGAATAATACTATGGTGCTAGCGGAAACATAAATGTATTCTCCACATGCCACCCATCAAGCTACTCTTTTATCACTCAACTCCCATCTTTCAATTCTGTCAAGACCTACACTTCCCACCAAAACCAAATCATGGCGTCCCCAGACCAGATGGTAGCACAGAAAGATCACAGAGCCCAGGAACAAGCTACGGCAGCACCACTTGCCCCCAGTGCAGCCGTGCAGGTGGCGGTTCCACGGGTGACCATAAAATACTGCACCCAGTGTCGCTGGATGCTGAGAGCTGCCTATGTATGTTGATTATCCTTGATGTCTCTTTTGAAAACTTGGGATTGAGATAATGATCTGGTCGGTTTCTTATGCTGCATCCGGGATTTTATAACTCATATATATTCAATCGGTACCCTTTACATGCAGAAACACCTGGCTAACAATAAGAGAGTCCAGTTTGCCCAAGAGCTTCTCTCCACGTTTTCAACCACCCTGGGCGAGGTCTCCCTCGTCCCCAGCACAGGCGGCATCTTCACCGTCACCATCCTCCACGCCTCCAACACGGATTCGTCCCCGCAGGAGACAGTTCTCTGGGATCGTAAAGTCCAAGGCGGGTTTCCAGGTAAATTACAGTCAAAAAATGCCCGATACTTCACCAAGAAAGAAAGCAAAAAAAAAAGCAATAAGTCATTCCATCCCCCCCTCTTCACAGACCTACACATGAAGCCCCCAAGACAAGTAAATCTAACAAACCACCTAAATTCTCTTCTTTTTTTTTTCTTGAAACACAGAGACAAAACAACTCAAATCCCTTGTTCGAAACATCATCGATCCCTCCCGGGACCTGGGCCACATTGATCGTGCCTTGGCCAAAACGCAGAGTCAGAGCGGTGTGGAAGGGTCCGAAGCGAACTCAACAGCAACAACCCGGCTAATAGCAGGGGAACATGACCCGGCTAAGGAGCTGGAAGCGTGTGAGGATTGTCGGTGATATTCCCTTTGTTTCAAGGTAGCATTCCTCTCTATCAACTGAGTATCGTCGATACGGTTCAAGAGATAATGAGGACTGTCGCACAGAAATATAGGTTTTTGATATATGAAAAAGACATCAGTGTCATATACTCTTACCAGCTATATATACAAGCGCAGATAACAGAATAAGATAAACCATCATGGTAAGTATGGAATAAATGGACCATAATCATGTGCACGCCGACAGAAGATCGAGATAACGCAGAACAGACGATATTGTCATCATCCCCAATTCAAGATAAGTGGAGGGTGAAATTGGTATCCTTTGTTGAGCTCCTAAAGTCAGAGCAAGAAGGCAGAAACAATACGCACAACAGAGCCCAAAGAAGAACCCGCCAGCCTAAATCCCTTTTGGAGAACTCCCATCCACAATATCACCTCTCCCACCGACAATGAAAAGCTGCAAATGTGAGAATATATATGGTAAAATATGTACAAATATCGAAGCAGAACTAGTAAAAGGGAAATAAACATATTGACGATATAATTGGTGGATATAGGTAAAATGGCGAACCGCTCATATGGGTCGTAAGGGTATGCATATGGTGAAAATAGAAAATGTCGTATATGCTATGGTATCGTGGGAAGCGCTTTGATCACCCGATGGGTATCTCGAAGAAAAGAGATAGGAAAGAAGAAATAAATCACCTGTCCGTTCAACCTTGAGTTGGAGAATTCAGCCACAGGACTCTTCAGTGGTGAAAAACGCCTGAGACCAAGCGCCAGCCCCAGGCAATCGACCAAAAAGGAATTGTAATAGTCTATCGGAAAAAAACCAATCAACGATGTTCGTTAAGTATGGGCGAAGGAGGTTGTTTATTTCGTCGCCAAAACCCAAATAGTCTGGACCTTCGACGAGGTAACGTACGCCCGGTTTGGCCGCTGGTACCATTCGTAGTAGGGCGATGATGGTCAGGTAATGGTTGGTAATTAGATGGTAGATGATGGCTCGGGGGTTTAGGATGGCCGGCACTAGTAGGCGACGAGGGATTTTTGAGGGCAAAGCCGTTGTGATGATTGGTTGTGAAACTCTTATCAATAAGTGACGACATAAAGCTGGCGGTTCTTCCAAGCGTAGGACGGTTGTTCTGTTCAGATTGACGGTTGTGGTCATTTGAGTCGATCGGCAACGCGGCTGTTGAGGGCCGTCTGTAAGCAATGTGTTCATCACAAGCGCCGTCCCCAAGGCTCGAGTCGTAACTACTTGGTACGCCGCTCCGAAGTGGTTGCCCATATGTTCGATTGCTATAATCTTTCTCGTCATAGCTATTACTTTCCGCGGTAACTAAACTGCTAGCTTGAGAGGTAGAAGAGTTAGGCGTCGTTATCGTATTATTTGTGTAAGTGCTTGTGCTTTCGTTCCGAACACCGTTTGTGGTTTGACTGGGCTGGCTGAATCCTGCGGGAACGGGACTAGCTGCGATAATCTGTGGATATCGAGGGTGATTGAGACCATTGTAAGGCTTAGGATAAGGAGCAGATGTAGCGTGCGCGTTTGCCTGACTGGATATGTGACCTCCGCCATTGCTTGCTCCATTCATATTAATAGGGAATAACGGAGGAGGTAGATGACTTTTCGGTGTTGAGGACTCTTGCGAGTTCTGTTCAATATTTGTCACGGTCCCTTCGTCGGCATCGTCGTCCGAACCGCAACGTCCTGGAGAAGCTTGCCCTGACCCTTCGGGAGAGCTTTCGCAAGGAATAGTGTAATACACTGCCGGTGGGTTGCAATCCAGTTTGGTCGGATTCTCCGGCGCCCTACGAGTTTCGAGCGGAGAATTGATATCCTTGTTCGACTCTGCCAGCTCGGGAAACTTGTGATTATCAATCAGTTTCTGCCATATTGCTTTATTGCGCCGGATCTCATTCGCTGCAAATGCCATGTCTGGAAGGACGTCGGCAACTCCATCGAAAAGAGGAAGCGCGAATATATTCATGAATCCTATCTGCCCGTTGGCTTTCTTGACGAAGTTGCCTAACTCTGGCGGGCCGCCGAAAAGGGCTGTTTCCATTCCTATTTCTGCTTCCATCCTCCCTTGATTTGCAAATTCTAGCTGAAGGATATCGGTCCATTTCTCTGCAATATAAAATGGGCGGGCCTATAATGATTACTAGTGAGCCGGACGACCTTTTTGACAGATGAACTTCAGTGAAACTTACTACGTTGCTGATGTCAGCGCATTTTATAAGCATCGCACATAATAAAGCTCTGTGATTGTCAATATCTTTGGGTTCCCAGCCCCAAATAGCTCTGTTATTGGAACGATATCGTTGCTGAAGCGCGCCCAACGACTCCATAAACACGTTATGGATGCCCATGTCGGTAGCTAAGATAGAATCGATCATCAACTTCCGTAGCCGCGTATCCTTGAAAACAGAAGGCCAATGACGTCGAAGTATTTGTGAGTAGGCGGCACAATGGAAAGCTTCCAGTACTGATTTATCGTTGTAGAGTTGCGCAAGGGGTGCATTCAGCTTCACGAGAAACACATTATTGACGCCTGGGTGGCCGACGTCATGGCCAATCGCCGTAATAAGCAACGTAAGAGCGTCGAATGGGGTCAAGATGGACGCCATTCCGCTTCCCGTGGATACCTCCTCACTCCCTGGAGGATATGGCGGGAGAGTGCCGACCTTCACAAGGAAGTGAAACAGGGATTGCAAGACATCAATGGCATGACGAAAGTTATGGTAGAGAACAAAAGAGTTGTAGGCAGCACGAACGGATAATAAGAATGACCGTATCTCCTCTAATCAATGTGTCAGCCAGCGCACTAGAAAGAAATTGCAAGTCAGCTTACCAGTCGAAATCCTCCAGTGTTCTAACTCGGGGAGTGATAATGCATGTTCAACCATAATGCAGGCAGCATGGATCAGCTCATCATCTGAGAAATCATGGGATAGGAAGTTCCATCTCGCCACTTCGCTCTCGACAAGAGGTTTGCGATTTTCCGCCACAGCCACATCGCCAACCTGGAAATCCTCGATTGACTCTTCTGGGTTGCATATCCGTTTCATCAACTTGGAAACCATTGCTTCTCGAAGATAACCATAGGATTCCTGACCGTCAGCGCCCACCCACGACTGGCGTCGCAGTTTTCGGCTAGTCAAGAAGCGTGCCCGGTGCTTTTGGGTGGCCTTTTGTGCGCGGTACGCGTGAAGAACGAGTCCCGTAACTCTAGAATGCTCAAATGGGCAAGTGAGAACATCGGTGGCTCCAGCGTCCAGACAGCGACGTATCTGTTTCACGTCCAATTCGGTAGCATGGAATCGGGAACTACCCCCTCGATTTCCAGAAAGCCCATTCTCATGGGGCCCACATTCAAGTTTATCATTTTTAGACGGCTTTGCGTACCGGAGGATGGCGACAGGTACAATGATACTGGGTTCGTCCTGGGCATGGATATCGGCGGAAAATCTAGAAAGGAGATGAAAGCCATAGAGTTCTTCCGATTCGGTCGAAAAGGTCATGCTGCGCTTTAGAACTGCCGGTGACACAGGGAGTTGCACAGAACTTTGGGCGATCGAACGGCGGTGTACTAATTCATTGCCCCCTTTGATACCAATATCGATAAAAGCTAGAATTGGAGCACAAGTCTCACTCGAGTTTTCGTGTAACTCTGCAAGTTTGCTCGAAAAAGTCTTCCCGGAGTTACAGAGATACACTGCAGCCAGGGGTTAGTTGCTGTCTGCATGGTTCGCTAGCAGCCGAGATAAGAAGCAGCAGAGGCACAGAGCTGACCTTGTTTACAGATGTCTAGGATCTGTTCTATGTTATTGGCTAGGTCATCGCAGTCTTCGAGCAGAGGAAGGGAGGTTTTGTCATTCAGATTCTCTTTTGCAACCCAACAATCGTTTGCGACTCGTTCATCGATGTAGACGGCGCAGCATTGTTCACGATCCATACTGGAACGGAGTAATACCTATGGAAATGACTCAATTCGCACGGTCAGATCTAGGCTTGCAAGAATGAAGATGGAATGTTTGAGATATCGGAAGAAAAAGGGAGTCAACAACCCAAACGATAGAACTTGAATATAAAAGCGGCGGCTGAGACTCAGGCTTCCGTGCCCGACAATGTTGTCTCATGAGTTCAGACGAAAACCAAGAGGCTATCACAGTCTGAAGACGAAGATGCACCTAGGTGCATTTTGACAAAGGGGAGGGGTGCAAAAACGAGTGTGAAGGTCCAAAGCATGAAATCCATCCATGGCGATGTGATTGTTGAATCTGGTGGAAATGAGTAGGGGAGCAGCAAAGAAGTGAGGGATCGAAACAGCGGCTAGAACTGTGTGGAGGTAACGGGAGTTCTTCATCCAACTCTGAACGGATCCCAACATCAGACACAGTGGGTTTCAAAAACTTACCAACAGTATCTTGAGTGGATTGACACACTCCTTTTCAACTGCAACCTGCTTTTACAACCTTCTCCACTAGCAACCTCAATCCTCGAGAACAAAGATATCCCCTTCTTATCAACAGGTTGTGATATCAACAACGGTCGACACGCCCAATTCCAACTCCACTCGCAAACGCCAAACAACACCCTCGGTTCAATATTTCCAGGCCTGTATTTGGATTGCGCTCCACCAACTCCAAGTCGTTGTCAACCGATTCAATCAGGACCGAGAAGTCTAATAGATGAAATCCAGCGGCGCCAGCGTCGCCCGTAAGAGAACCGAAGTGGCATGCGCAACATCCGCGCATCCAACTAAAAAAAAGAGAGATATCGAAGGCGAAAGAGCGATCAACCTTGGACAATCTGAGACCGGGCAGACCAAGCGCAGCAAGGATTTCGAGACAGTTATATATACATTGAGGTTGATGACGAGCGTTAAGAGTGTCGTGTGTGTTGCGTGTGGTTGTGGGTGTGGGGTGAGTTAATCGACGACCGGCTGAATAAAATCAAGAGAGGCCCAATGTGCGGGAGCAGGGCAGGCGACGAAGGGTATTTCGCAAAAGGGAATTGTCTGTCTTCGGATTCAATTAATGATTGTGTCCCCTGTCAACCAACAAGGCGCTGCAAGGCACTCCTGACAACGTGGAGACTTGCCTCTGAAGCGACGTTGGCAGCGACAAAAGGGTCGAGAGGAATACTAACGGGAGGGGGGATACGGGCTGAGGACGTTGTCTTGTGAAGGCGTGCGTGGTCAGGATGCACACAGGCGACAACCTCGTGCAGAAGCAACGGAAGGGAAGCGGAGGGCGGACAGTCGTGGTGACGGGAGAGAGAAGCAGCTCGAGTAACGTGCGAAGAGGCGAATCGAGTGCTGGATCAAACGGGGTAAGAACGCAGTGGGAGCGACTTCCATGCCAAGCAATTCGATTGCATGGATTATGGAATGAGAAAGAGCGACAGGGATCGCGCTAGTGCGGTGGTATTGTTACCGCTAGTGGGCTGATCGCTATTATACCTGTATTCCGCGGTCAGTATGGTATCGGTATGGTTATTTACATGGGTTCGTGACCGACGACTGTTACATCGTCGGGGAACTCCCAAAAGCCACCCTCTCCCTCCTCCCGAACGGCATGTCGGGGCTCCCCGGGTGCCGTGATGACAACCATCGATGATTAAATTACAACTCCTGTTTGATATCAAGACAGTGCGCCGCGAACCCGAGTCCGGGCGACCCGTTCGTGGGCTCTTTAACGATCATACTAATATTTCAATAGTTAACTACTGAGACGAGAGCAAACGAAGAGGTGCCAATCTGCCAAAAGCAAGCAGAGATGGAGCCCGTCCCCAATATCTGATCTCGACAGGGATGCCTTGCAACGTCAGATATCGAGCCTGGAGAGTTCTCTTTTTTGGCGCCATCGCCGACCAAAAAGATGGACAAACCTCGGAAATCGGCAGTCAGAAATGAGCAGACTTCGTTTCGACTCCCCACGAATAAAATAAGATAAAAATGGCAACCTGTGGACATTCAAAGGGCGTCTGTCCATCCATCTATATGAACCATACTTATCACCTTAGACCCCGGGCCTCGACACCCTGGTTCTCAGCGGATCGCTTCTGGTGACATTGAAATTGTCCCCGGGGAAGATTTCCGGGCCGAGTCAGAATTTAGTAATAACAGCGACCCTGTGTTGATTTTCCCATCATATTATTATTGTCCTCCGTCCTCCCTCATAGCCTCGAATCTCAAGGGAATCACACTCGCGCGCAGCTGCTGTGGCTTCGAGCCAAGACGACTTGTATCCAGCCCAATTTCCAATCCTCTTTTGAGGAAAGCATCTGCCAAACTGAGGCTTAAGTTACTGCCAGTCGCAAGCTAAACGGTCCCCGGATCCCCACAGCTGGGAAAAGACAGGACTATTTTTCTTTTTCCATTCCAGGTATCTGAACCTGCAAATCTTAAACATGTCGCCGGGTAATAATCTGTCGACTCTCTGCGAGGAACAATCCTCCGGTTTGAGAAGAAGAAAGGGAATCTCCCAAGCCTTGAGCTGATCCTGGCGCAATCAAATCAATAATAGCACTGTTAGGCTCCGTCCAAGGACCGGGCGGCTACGTCGTGAAACAGATGTAACTGTTATCAATGCGTTTGACCGCGGAGCATTCGAAGAAGGGAGCTCTCGTGTGTCCAACCAATAGAGTTGAAGGGTATCTTTGGAAGAGCCACGTCGCCGGGAACAACAAAGTCGGGGTTGCTGAAGATTTTGTGTCCCAGGGAGATGCTGCCCAAGTCAATTGACTATTGAACCATGCAAACACATCAATTCCCGGAAAGGCCGTCATTTTGAGGCATGAACACTCTGCTGCTTGACTTTGCTTGCCATAAAATACTCTTAAATAACTGATCGCGATTGGCATTGATTACTTACAATACTGTCTTGGCTACAAATCCGCAATCCTCGTATTCTCTTCCTGAATGCTGGGATTTCGCATTATTGCGGCAAGTGAGATGGATCGAGAAACATCGAACAAATTCTCGCCATATCTCCTTAAGATGTGCTTCTGACGAGTTATTCACACGATCGAACTTTGACTGGAAACCGAGCGCTCATGTCAGCTCTCTTTCGGTTGACAAGGTGCTCCCCGCTTCGACATTGAGCAGCAGCAAGCGCGAGACATGGGCAACCTCGACCTGTCCCTCACGAAACTCAAGAAAGCTCCTTTTCGTGTCGAACTCGAGCTCCACGATACGTTCGGACCACGTGGTGTGGTCGACTGTTACATCTCGAGATTTCTCCTCGAGATTTCGCTGACGATGGCTCTCGAGATGGGTGCACTGTCGACATGTGCTTTTCAGATCTGGATAGCCCCCTTTGGCTTTGCTTCCGCGAGAAAGCCTGCAGGCGCAAGAGTTGTGGCCGATGATCATGCGTTGCCTTGAGGCCAGTTTCATAACGTGTCGATCTCCGCGAATCCAGGCTGGATCCCAACCTGGGAATTCACCTCGTATTTCAACGGGGAGGCGAAAGAGAGTTGTCCTAAGGCGGGCATGGAGACTCGGTCCGCTCTCGAGACTCGCCAACGAAAGCGCAAAACAGAAAAAGGAAAGAAACGAACGGGATTCTCACAGTCGAAGTTGTGTCTTGAGTCTTTTGGATCGTGCTGACAGACGGCATTGTCTTGATCGCCAGTGTATCTTACAGATCAGCCAATACCGCGTATTTACAGGTCGCCAGGCAGCGTGGACAATACCGTGACCGGCGGCACATGTGGCGAGCGCAGCAACAGAAGACACTCGATCCCTTCGATGCGGCTTCTACCGGTCTTCTAGAAGGCCTCCCTTCGTTCGCTTCCAATGACTGGAAGGGGGAATCACTTGACGCTGCGAATCCTTGCAGCCAACAGCATCCGCCATCCCCGTGCTTCCACGCCGCTTTACGAGGTCGCAGTCAGAATCAGTCCATCCGCACAAGGTGTCATTCTGTCAAAAGCGCTTCTCAGATTCCATTGCGATCTAGAACGGCGCGTGTATTTTATTCTTGTCAACCGTCCCACGCCCTGTACGGTCCCGTAACTGCTGGTTCGGGTCGACCCCACCTGTCGATCATCCACGATGATTGGATTTGCTCCCAAACGCATCGCACTCCACGGATGGGCGCCACTCCAACGCCACACCCCAAGGACACGCAAAAAAGGAGCCAAAAAAGAAAAATAAAGGCGACGGAAAGGATCAGTGCACATTCTTGTCGGCTGCGCAGACTATTTAATTCTCTTCCAAATTCAGTGCGCCTTTTTTTTTTCTTTCTGTGGAATTCAAAATCCTCTGGTTGTGATCCTGATTCAGTCGTGCACAAGCAAAGAATTCCAGCCTTTCGCCCAAATGTTCTCGCCATCGAGATTTCCGATAAGGCTGGCTATACGCGGCGCTCCTGCATGCAGATTCCAAATGCCCCTGGCAAAAAATCTCCCATTAAAAACCCACACCCCGTGTCGACTTTATTTATGGAAGTTCCAGAAAGATCTCAAAATTCGGAATTTTTTCCCAATTCTCCACGTCGCTGGGAGTCGTGCTCCATTCATAGGGCGTTGAGAGCGTCATCCCCCCCGGTTCTGGAAAACAAAAGACTGGGCCACGCTCTGTGTCCTGTTCTTGCGGCGGCCATGATTGGGTCAAGGGCAATCCAAGAATGCAGAGCAAAAAGCAAAATCTAAAAAAAAAAAAAATAGCACCAAATATTTTACTGGTTCTAGAGATGCACGTCCTCTCTCTCCCTGCTTACTTGCGGCCCTGTTCCCTTCTGCTGTGTTTCTGGAATGAAAGCTATTACTTGATGAGCCAATCACTGTCGTTTTTTTGAAGTGGGATTTCCCAACAGGAGTGTTCTGCGTGTTTGGCGCCGGGAAGCAGAGATCAAGAATATCCTTTTTGGGCGTGCGTGTCATTCTGGCCATTTGCGAGATCGAGGATAATTATTCCCCCCTTGCATCCCGTCAGGTGCGATCTCATGCGCAATTTCAGGTGTCCTCACTATTGACCCAACAGACAACCCCTGTTTATGCCTCCGATTTTGCGGACTGCACGGAGATTGCCCGGTTTGGAGATTGCTCAAAAGCAGTTGTCCAGTTAAACAAATATCCATTCCCATTAGCCCAATAATCCACCGTGGCAGCGAAATTGTCCAACGAATGCATGAGTGAAAAAGGGAGCTTAAAGGGGCCTGCACTAGACTGGCTTCATTCATCCAGCTCAACAAGCATTTGGCGCTCTAATTATTCGCAATCCATCAGCATTCGATCCGCCCGATTCTTGAGGGATGACGGAGTCCGGGACAGAGAGACTCGTGTAGCCAACACACAAAGAAAGCGAAAAGGGACAAAGACCATACCCCAGAGTTTGTTCGCTGAGCCAATAATCGTCTCAGCCTTGGCTAAGAGTTTGGCATCCAAGCGCTCGGCTTCTTTTGGACTGGTTCGATGAGATCTCCCGTTTCGCGGTTGGCCCTAAAACATTTGCACATTGCGATGAGTCGTAAAGCTTAATCCGAATAACCAAACTGCTTCGAAGGAATTATATTGCTCACCATCATCAATACAGGAACCAAGTCCTTCGCGTCAGCCTCCGCCAAGGCCCGCAGTGTCTTGAATCCATTTTCCCAGAACAATCTCGCCGTCCGGCTCTTCACAAAGGTCACCTGCGCCAGCTCCAGCAGATCCGCCCGGGCGCCTGCTTGAAGCCGGTCACGCATATGATCGAGCACGACGGCCAGCATGTCCCAACCCATTCGCTTGCAGAACTTGACCATGCCAGCCGCGAAGCCGTGGCAGGTCTGGCTGAGGTTCTGCACATTGCCGCGCGGTGTAGAGTACTTGTGCGAAACGATTGAGACGGGAATTTCGTTGCTGAGATCGCGGAGTTGAAATGCCGTATATGCCCGTTGATAGATAAGTGCGAGCGTGGGGTCTTTGATGGCGCTGCGTCCCTGGGCCCTAGATCGCGAAGGAAGTAAAACAGGTCAGCGGCATCAAATAAAAACCACGATGGATCAATGGCCGGGGAAGCCGAGAGATCATACATTGAATTCACGAAGCCGGGATCCACGCCAATAAATTGCAGTACCCGTAACCCGCTCTCATCCAGCCTGTCCAGCTCATCCAGAAATTTAGACCAGTTGATATCCACATTCGCGGCCGATTGCAGTGGAGCAAACATGTAGAAAACATGCATTTCCCCATCCATAACAAATGCCTGAAGTGCCCGTTTCAGTTCGTCGTGGATGAACATGCCTTCTTCGGGGCTAAAAGCAGACGCAACAATAGCCTGGCCGAGCTGAGTGGGTTCGTAAGAGCCATCGATCCGGGGGTTGAGCAGGTTGTCGTTGACGAGCTCTGTAAGGGTTGATTCCACCATTGCAAACAGCTCCCCTTCTTCCATGGTGTGGTAAAGTAGGGAACACCGGACGTAGTCGTTGATTGCTTCTTTGCCCGAAACAAGGCGGGTTGCAACAGCCTCCAAAATAGCCCTGGCATATGTCAGTTAGCTGTCTTCTTGAAAAGGATTTCACTCTAAAGAGAAAGGAGGGAAACCTATTGATCCCTCGCTTCTCTGGGGACAAGCTGCTCGCAATCGCGGGCATTTCAGCTTCCAACAGGTCAAGAACCGCCTCCAAGTCTTCTGGGGAGCAGCAGAGAAACGTTTCTCCTATCTCATCTTTACCCTTGCGCCCCGCTCTTCCGCGCATTTGTCGACTTGGATTTGAATTTTAGCCATGGTCATCAAGTTGCATAAGAGTAGTAAGATTACATACAGCATAGCAGGGCCAACCAGTTCGCGGCCCATACGAGCACCACACAGAATTACACGTCTTGCTGGCAAGTTGATGCCTGCGGCTAAACTGCAGGTCGCAACTAGCACTTTGAGAATGCCCTTGTCGTACCCTTCTGCGATCAAATCACGCTCTTCTGCTGTTAAACCGGCGTCTGGGGGTGAATGGTCAATAACGACTGAAACAAAGTGACATGGAGGAAAAGAGGGTGGCAATGATTCTTACGATGGAAAGCAACGCCCTTGATAATAGTCTTCTCGAAGACTGGATCAAGACCGCATGAAAGACTGCGCAAACCAGCAATCAAATCCCCTCGCTTTTCCAAAACATCGCTATCCAACATAGTTTCGTCCGGCATCGCGTCGCTTATAAGCAAGGCATTCGAATGACATGATTGTCGACTACCGCAAAACACCAACGCGCCATACCCGGACGTCACTGTCTCTAGAGCCAAGGACACCATCGCATTGGTAATTGGATTCCCTAACTCCTTATATCTCGAGATGTCGATTGCTTTGACAGCAATTGATTCGCACTGTGGCTCGGTAGACTTTTCCAAACTCACAACAGTTCTCAGAAATTCTTTTGAGCTTCCGGAAGTGTAAATCAAGTTTTTGTAAACGAGAAATTCCTGAATTGGAATGGGCTGGTATTTTGAGATGTAGTAGTTTGCATGCAACCATTTCGCGAGCAGTTCGGTGTTCTAGGCTACATGTCAGAAGGGCACTGCAAGCTTCAAGGGTTAAATAATGTACACATACCGACAAAGTTGCGCTCATCCCGACTATTTGGGTATCCTGCTGAAGCAGCATCAGCTTAGAGATCATGATTTCTATCAAATAGCCACGATGCTCGTCGTCAAGCATATGCAGTTCGTCCAAAACAACGATGCCCAATTCATCGACCTTGCATTCCTCAATTGCAGTGTTAACCAACATATTGGCCTAGAAATAATAATTAGCCCACGCATTTCAAGCACTCAAATGGACGATAATCTAATAGAATCAAGCTTCCCAACCTTTTCAATCGTACAAACCGCAATATCCGTATCAGACCATGTAGCTCTAGATTTGCTACCCCCAAAAAAACCAGTGATGCGAACCGAATTCTGCACCGATTTAGCACGCGAAGGGTACGCTCCATCAACCTGACTCGGCACATTCACCCGCTTTTCCACCCCTTCCACCAACCGCCGAAGCCATTTCATTTTCTCCTGCACCAGCGCCACGTACGGCAGTACAAGAATAGCTTTCTTCCTGGGATCATCAATAATCCTCTTCAACATCAACACATCAGCAACCAACGATTTCCCTCCCCCCGTCGGAGCACTGTACACCAAATTCTTCTCCGCTGTAAGATGGCCCCGACCAAGGAGGCACGACATCTGCCACGGATACATGGCATTCACACCCATCTTCTCAAAATTAGCCACCAGGCTCTCAGGCAATCCGTACTGGGAGTGCCGAAGCGACAGGAGCGCATTCTGCGACGGTCCAGGGGTGCTGGAGACCGCATTTCGCTGGGTATACGTCACAAAGTCATCGTCTGCTGTGAGACTTGCATCTGGCAATGTGCGTATCTCACTCGCCACAAAACGTCTTCTGCCCGGGTGGGCAGGGTTGACCGGATGATATGCACCCGTTTTTTTTAAAGTGCCATTGCCTTGTTGTGTCTGCAGTAAAGAGCGAGCGGAGGTGAATATTGTCGCCGCCTCATTTTCTGACCGGGGTCGCTTTATGCCTGAAAGTGAAGTTGCGGGCACGACCTGATTTTGAGCGATCTCGATGGATGTTTGGAATCCTATGGTTTGGAACCCCTTGGTAGGGTCGGAACTCATCCCGGCATGGGATCTTGCTGCTCCTGTAGCAACAAGGGATCACCAGGTTTGACTGACAATCACAGCAAGCAGCTCTATGATATAGATAATCGGCTGCTTTCCCATGTAATAGCTTGTTTTTCTACTCCATAACCGACTTCATCAATCGAGAACGTTCAAAGGACGTCGTTCCTGACCCTGCCGGAATCTTAATCTTCCGGTCCGAAACCCTTGGCCCGATTAGGTCTAGCCCAGAATGAGTGTATCGATTCAGGGGCAACCACCCCGGCATGAGCATTCCGTAGGGATCATGTCAGAATTCAGTCCTTTACGATCAATTTTCTACTCTGCGGTAACTTGTTCTCCGTGTTTTAATGGAACTCCGTACGGAGTAGGGGTACTGTAAAAGAAAATCGATCGCATATTAGCCTCAGCCAAAATGTGCTGAGTTGAAGCCAAGAAAGAAGCAGCCAGGCCTGTTGACATCAGGAACACTAGTAGGTTAGGAAACGAATTGGGCAGCGCAAACGGAGAATATACACAAGCCAAATCAGGGCAAACTCTACCCGACTATGCAGGTGACTGAATGAAGATTTGGGGAATATCCAACCCCCATCAATACCCACAAATCTGCCCCTTACTTAAGCTGAACATAGATTGCATATAGATTAAGACGCTTGCTACTCCCCATCTGGACTCGAGTCGCCTAAAACCTCTCCGAGAAATAAGTATGCTCGCCTATACGGGCTGTTTATCAATCCGACAAAGATTGCTTGTGTTCCATTCATCTCATCCCGTCTACCAGACGCTTTTCGGGTAAATCGAAAATTGTGATATACTAGTAGAGCAAAAATCGCTACTGCCCTACTGCTCAAAAAGTAACCATATCACCACTAAGTTGGTGGCAGCTCGCCGGGGCTGAAGGATCCCCACTCTACAGCGCGCAGAATGCGGATGCAGGAAATTCGGTAGAAACAAGCTGCAGCTCCATGGAAAAACAGACAGGGGTATTTCTATGACTAGATTCACAGGTAGGTACTTGGACAAATGCGACTTTGAAAGCGATTACTCGTTGATGGAGTAATAATGATGGCGTGGATTTGTCCGGGAGAGCAATCGGGGCGAAGCTTTTCAGAAGGCACTAGATGAAAAGATGATATCGAGAATTATCGATATAGAGGGGCCCAATAGCGGCATCGGCGGCTAAGGCGACATGTCGAAGATACATGTCGTTAAATATCACATTAACTGCCACCAATGGGAGGGATGTAAGAAAGAAACACTTCTTCACTTCGCAAAAGAAAGCACGAGCATCAACCCCAATAGGAGAAATTGGACCCTTTTGACACAAATTGCGTGCAACCTTTCAAGGGCACTTGAAAAGCAAGCCCAATCACAACTGCCAGTGCTCACCTGCTGATCAAGTTGATTGTCCAATGGGGTCATCTGCAACTGGAAAGCCTGAGGAATGCATTAAACCAAGTTGTCACTGGGAGCTAGTGTTACAGTGGCGTGACACAGATGATTCTCGAGAATAATGAGATTTGGTTTCAAGTTTCCCATCACTGCAATACAATTCCAAACCTGCAATTCTGAGATTTGGGTAGTCACTAAGCAGTTATGTCCTCCTTCAGACAATATGGCAGGAGTATGAGCACAAGTGGCAAAGCAGGATGTCCGAATTAATCCCACGTACCTTGCGATGTGAGTGTAAAACAACCGCCACCCGCGCCAAGACCGAGAGTCGTTAACTAGGTAAGCTGCGGAAGACTTGACCTCAAGTGCAAATCAGGCTGAATCACGGGAAAAGTTCTGTGATAAAAGTCAATACAAGTCAATTAATAATACAGCAAATTGCCAAAAATTGAATGCTGCTGTGTTGATGGATAGTTGAAAGTGGGGGATGGAATCCGTGTATGAGCTGACATAGCATAGTTAGTTAATGATGAGAGCTTCACAGGCTGGCACGGAAAGTTCCCCCAACATTGTCCAGATAAAACCCTTTTTACATGAGTTATCAGAAAATAAGTTATAAATGCAATGTCGTGTCCCGATCGCCACAAGACCAGATCGTTAATTTAGTAATTTTGCCAGAAATATCAGCGGTTAAGTTCATCCTGACTGAGCTGACTCTGGCTGGCGCTAGTCGAAACCTGAAAGCTCAGTAGAAAGTTGCACACTGCCACCCATAAGATAGACAGATAGAGTGCCTTATATCCCAATTCTGATGATTGTGACAGGGTCCACGGCTTAGTGTGGGAATGATGGAATGGTTGCGTGTGCGCTGGGCTCTTTTAATTACAATGCTTGGTGTTCAATCAAGCATGTTAACCCGCTCCTTCCTGTGACCGGTGATCCACTGGCGGTATTGGAATGCGTCTGGTAGCAAAGGCGGTGGGAGTTAACTGCCGAGAATTGTTGGCTGATGAATAGTAAAGGGTGTCCCAAATATCAAGAGCCAGTGGTCGAAAGAAAAATCAAAATTTGACGGGCAGAAGCCGGTTTGATAGTATAGGCCTCGAAAAGCACCATCCCTTCCCTGCAAACAGATCTCGTATCCAGGCAGTTTCCAAACAGAGCCTGAGAAGAACCTCGATCTCAACGCCAAAAGTGAAGTCCTCCATGGGAGCAGTTATAATAAGATTGGGGAATCATTAATTTGAATCCAATGCCTCCACCGAATAACAACACCGTCAAGTTCAGAGACACAAATCAAAAGCAGGCCCGGAGCAGCACCACCGCCTATCACGCTTTCCTTCATGTGTTGTCGAAGAATATGGAGGTCGCCGCCATAAATATTGGTCCCCTCGACTCCTTGGCACACTTTCAGGCGAAGGCAGGCTTGAGTAAGTGGTGATTAGCGGGCTCCTTGGACGCCCCTAAGCACCCCCAGTGCCCTACAAGTTAAGGACTGCTAAGCAGCGCCGAAGGCTTGGGAGAGGCCCCATACTGACGGACCAAAACATATGGCGGCGACCTCCGTACAAAAGCCGCTACCCTGACTCACATCACAATTACCCGCGTTCACTTCTTTGGGAACTCATAAGAGTCAGCCAGGTGTTTCTTTCTGTCAATAAGGACTTTGGTGACACCCCGTGGACTGTGAGCAATTGTCATTTTGGAAATCAATGCTTCCGCGTATCGGGCGTCGACCTGGCATACATGAACGGTTTGGGAAGGCTGTCCGGGCTTTTCTGGGACTGTGGACACCGCCATTACTTCAGGGCAAGTATCCCCAATTCGAACTTTTGTTGTAACTTCTCCGGAGTATCGATCACGCCATGCAAGCGAATGTACTTCTTCCGTGTACAGTTGATGTAGTCATAATACTCCTTCATCCAGGCCTCGTCGGGATCATTCCACATTGGTGGTTTCCGCAACTTGAGACCTTTGCAGAAGACTAGCTGCCTGACGGTCATGTCACCCATTGTATTTTTGTTTCAGGGTTCAAACGGCACAACAGAAGCTTTGGGGGTTTCGGTGTTTTGGGCCGCGCAGTGAGATCGTAGGTCGATGCAACTTGTATTTGATTGAAATGTTAAGAAAAAAATTCTGGTATGACTTGGAAGTCCTTTTACCTTGGGAGGTGTGAAATTAGAGAAGTCAGACGTTTTTGGGGAGGGGTGGTGAAAAGATAGGCTTGGGTTTTCATGACATCAAACATTCCACGTTGTTGACACAGCTGACTAATATCACCCGCACTGCAAACAATGGGTGTGAAATGCAATTGTATGAGGGGAGCAAGAATTACTACAAAGTTGAAAGAGCCTGGAGGTGAGGACAGGGCGAGGATGGGATGAGGCAGGGGTGAGGACAGAGCAGTGAGCCTCTCGCACTAATCCAGAAGTGGACATGCCAGATTCCCGCATAGCTGCTAAGTAGAACATCTTCTGTAGGGGTGTCGTACATTCCCGAGAGCCAAGGACTCCTAGGCCGGGAAGCGAACAACGGCGCGACGGAGTGACAGCGACACTTGAGAGTGAGACGGGGAAACCCCTCAATTGCACGGTGAGTAAGACTAGTGAACTGCCCACTCTGCTATGGTCGGAAAGGCGGGAGAACTTGGCTTAGCTATCTTTTGTGTCTGTCGTTGAAGTAGTAACAATCCAAAGGCGTCTTCGAGTAATCCTTGCCCTGGCTTTGATGGTGAACGAATTGCAGAGAAGAATGCTCGCATTCAAGTAGTTAAGTAGTTATGTCAATACTTGAGAAATGCCACGTCTAAAGCGCTGTCGTTGACCAGCCTTTGGTGGCAGCCCAGGCTGTAATTCAGCATGCCAACGAGGTCATACTCCAGATACACGCGATTGTCTGGGGGAATTAATTTTATTTATTGCAAGAACCTAGTCACAGGCCCATCGAAACACCGTGCTGGGGGGTGGGCAGGTACAAAGGTCGAGATTTCTCCCCTGCATCCTTGGTTGGCCCCAAGAACGGGCTCTTCCACAACACATTTGTACCGTTGCCTTGCGGCTGGCAGTAGATAGGTCAAATGTGGCCACCGAACCAGGCAGTCCCGTAACTAGATTAAGCTAGAGACCAAACACCCACGGAGCAGAGAGCTTTATGAAAGAGTTTGTTCGCGTGTAGTCAGAATTTCCTTTGGGTGACACCAGATGTCTGACCCACTGATGCGGACTAGCGCCATCAGGTTCCCAGAGGAATCAAGGGAAGTTCTCTTGTCATCCAGCCAAAGGGAAGTTGTTGGCTTCGTTCTCTCTCAGTCTCTTCTCTCTCTTCTCCCTCCTCTCTTCTCTCTTCTCCGTCTCTTCTTTCTCTTTTGCACACAGCTCCTCCACCGCTGCCCTTTATCCCTACGTAGCCCAAGTCAAGGAAGGGAGTCTAACGGCATCTTCCCTTCTTTTGGTCTCGCCCCATTTTCTCCCAACTCTCTTCTTATCTCTTCTCCCTCCGTTTCGTCACTCGTCTTGCTTCATCTCCCACAAATATAGTCTTCCTTCCCCCTGTTAGATTTTCCACTTCTCCCACTCTGTGCCTGCATACTGGTAAGTAGATATCTCGCCCAACCTCGTCACCCTCCTTCTCTCCAGAGCTTGCCTTGTTCTCTGTAACTCTCCCACCACGCGCCCCATTCTCTAGATCCTCTATCTTCTTCGTTTCCATCCTTGCCTTTGCTTGGGCGACTAAGCCAGAACCCATTCTGCCACTTTTCTCCTGCCAGCTCGATTGATCCGGAAAGAACACTTACATAACACATTTTCTTCTCTGATTCATAAAAGGGTTTTCTCTCGTCTTCCCTCAACCACCTATTTCTTTTCGATCTCTTCCAACCCGTCACTTTTGCATCCACCCGGCCATCGACACCCTCACTTTGCCCTTTTCCACTTTCGTCAGCATATCTCGGCCCTTTTTATTTCCCCACACCAGACCCTATTGCACAGTTGTTTGCTTTTTTTCTTTTTGATCTCCCTCAGCCTCTCTCATAGACGGTTCTCCTATTTCCGCCTTGCGTCAGAGCCATTCTTCCGTAGAGTCCGGAATTTGCTCGGCTCCACCAAACCCTGATTACTGCCTTATCTGAATTCCACCCGCAATCCTTCCATCTTTCCCTTTGAACTTTTCTTTTGCCTTGTCTCGTCTTCACTGTGCTCTGGGTTGGGGCGTTGTTTGCAAGAGCACTCCGCTGTCCACCACATCAAATCTCCCCTACTTTTTGTTACTAGCACGGCCGTTTTGTAACTGTTTCCGGTATTACAGACGGCTTACACCCACCACCCAAGCTCCCAAATCACCACCGCTTCTCCTGCAAAAGACAGTCGCGCTTCAGTGAATGCATTGCTGTGCAAAGCATCCAGTGTCAGGTTATCCCTGAAGCTGCCCTGTGTCTCTGCCACACATGGCAGCCGCCGAGGATGCCTCCCTCTCCACCGAGAGCGAAGCGCCCGCACAGTCCGCCACGCCATCACCAGCTGCGACGCCTTCAAGCGAAAACGGAAGAATGGACTCCGCAAGCGAAAAAGGCTCTCCTACGGTAAACGGTGCCCAATCTCAACCTATGACTACGACAAACTCTTTCTCTTCCGCTGCAGATGCACCCAAGACGAGTGCGATCACTCCAAGTTCGACATCTGCCTCAGCTCCATATGGGACTCGGTCGAGGAACCGAGTGGGTGTTCCGCGGCCCAACTACGCAGAGGACCGCGATCTCGACATAGACCTCGAACCCATCAGCAATGGTAAACCTGGGAGTTCCAAGAAGTCTTCCTCGACCAGCCACACTGCTTCCAGAGCTTCACCGGTTGCCAACACCGACCGATTCAGTGGAGTGAGCACCAGGAGGACTCAGAACAGCACAAACAATTATACCTCGACGACGAAAGAAGCCATCCCTGGCACGTCGACCTTCTCTGCCAACCCTAACGCAACCAATGGTTCCAAGAAGCGTAAACAGCCAGGCTCCAGCACCACCGTTCAGGGATCGTCGACTCCCACGAATACGACCCAAGCCAGCAGGAAGTTCGTTGTTGCTGCGTCCCGGTCTCCCGAACTCGAGTGTCCAACAAACATGATGACCTTCAATAACTCTCGGGCGTGCCTGAGAAATGGGAAATTAAAAGCCGACGATGGAACGATCTTGGCTCCAAATGGTGGGTCTTTTGTGTCTCCTTGCGTTCACTATTTACTTGCTCCTAACAGAGCCTAACCTTCTTGCTTATAGATCACGTATACCTTATTTGCGAACCCCCCGGTGAACCCTACTACCTTGCCCGTATAATGGAGTTTGTGCAGTCCAAGGATGACCCCTCGGGGTCCATTGAGATGGTTAGAGTCAACTGGTATTATCGGCCTCGTGATATTCAGCGGAGATCGGCAGATCCGCGCATGGTGTTCGCTTCAATGCACTCCGACACATGTCCGTTAACTTCACTTCGGGGTAAATGCCAAATTTTACACTCGTCTGAGATTAAGAACCTTGAGGATTATAGAAAAGGAAAAGACTGCTTCTGGTTTGAGAAAATGTACGACCGTTATATTCAACGGTATTATGATGTGATACCAACTAGCCAGGTCATCAACGTCCCGCAACATGTGAAAAAAGTGTTGGATGAACGCTGGAAGTTTATCCTCGTTGAAGTGGGACGCGGAAAGGAACTGACAGGCGCTGTGAAGACTTGCAAGCGATGCAGTCAATATGCTGCCAAGTACGACCAACCACATAACCCTTTCTTTAATGCTCCAGTGGACTAACTTTGATTGCAGTGTTGATTCCGTGGATTGCGCTGTTTGTCACCGTACTTATCACATGTACTGCGTGCGTCCTGTCTTACAGAAGAAACCTGCTCGAGGGTTTGCATGGGCCTGCGCGGCTTGTAGCCGTGCCCAAGACAAGAAAATGGAAGCGAGAAACACGCCAATCATTGGTGAAGCGCACCACGATCCTGAGCTGGAAGCCTTGGAGGAAGATGAAGAAGACCCAGCGATAGCCGCGGAACTCACACGACGGAGTAGTCCCTCCATGAACGAAGGCGTCACCCATTCCGCTACTCCAGAGCAAACGGCTCAAGCAAAACTTTGGCCTTTCAGATATCTTGGAATCCATTGCCGGGTTGAAGAAGCTTTAGAATACGATGATAGAATATACCCTCGGGCAAGTTCGCGGCTTGGTTCTCGCCATCAAGCCAATGTCCTTCCATGGCCAGGCCGTCCCATTAGATATGTCAAAGCACCGGAACCAAAGAAGAAATTTCTCAAGTCAAAAAAGGATGCAAAATTGTCAAAGGAAGCCATGGCCGCTGTCGAGGCGGACAAGGCCGAAAGAGCAAACCGGCCAAAGTGGGTCTTGGATGAGCCACCTGGTTATATTCCTCGCGGAGAGGATAAACCAGTACCTATTAACGGTAAACAAGTCAAAACCGCCGAATTGCAGTTCAAAATACCTGATGCATCGCAACTTCCAGCACGTGGAGAGGATGATACTCCCGGGTCGAATTTTAGTTTCGAAGACCGAGAAAAGTTCATGGACGAATACATGGCTGAGGCTAAAAAGATAGCGCCTATCAAAGGGATTGAAGAATATTCTACAAACTTCCTGGATAAGGCTTTGAAATATTTATACGAGGAAAATTTTAATAAAGCAGCGGCCCTCGCTAGGCTAAGCAAAGTCAACAAGTACACGGACCTAAAGGAGCCGCACCTCAAGCCTGAAGAGGTGAAACTTTTCGAAGATGGTGTGCATAAGTATGGTTCCGAGCTCCGTCTCGTTACTAAACACGTTGGTACTGTACCCCATAGCCAAATCGTTCGATTCTACTACTTGTGGAAAAAGACACCAAAAGGACGTCAGATATGGGGGAACTTTGAGGGTCGTCGAGGCAAAAAGGCGGTTAAAAAGTCGGATAATGCAATGACGAAATTGGTGGACGATATTGCCGACGACCACGACGATTCTGCATTTGACAAGGACAAGGCTTCGAGTAAAAAGCGAGGGTTCACGTGTAAATTCTGTTCGACCAGATCTTCACGACGATGGCGACGGGCCCCCTTCGTCGCGCCCGGTACCACTGCACCAGCTGAAACGTCGTCCAAAAAGGATAGGGGAATAACTTACAATGTCGCTTTGTGTCAACGCTGCGCTTTATTATGGAGAAAGTATGCTGTTCAATGGGAAAGTCCTGATGAGGTTGCAAAGAGAATCGCCCAGGGAGGAAATAAATCGTGGCGACGTAAATTCGAAGAAGAATTGTTAATTCAGCTACTTACGGTCACGGAGACGGATATTAAGATCAACAGTGCCACCGCGACAACCGCTTCCACCATCGGCATTTCTGTGGTGTCTGATGCACCAAGAGAGGCTACCATCGAGCCACCAAAGAAAAGGACTAAAATGGACAAGGATTCCACTCCAGGAAAAGAATATTCAGTGGAGCAGTTCCCCAGGAAGAAAGCTGTCGACAAGCCGGCAGAACCACCACCCTTAGCACCAGAACCTCCAAAGCCGAAAACACTTCCTTGTGCAATTTGCGACCAAATGGAACCTGGCGGAGATCAACATCTATCCTGTCGAGATTGTCGATTGACTGTCCACCGCGACTGCTATGGAGTGCCTGCTGATCGGAATGCTGCGAAGTGGTTTTGCGATACCTGCTCAAACGATCACAACCCAGCTATATCAACGAGATACGAATGCGTTCTGTGCCCAGTAAATTGGACGGAGCATGAGCTGATGGAACCACCAAAAATTTCGCATAAGAAGAAATCTGAACGAGAGCGGGAAAAGGAGAGATTAGAAAAAGAAATGGTTGCAGAGGCCATCAAGCTCTATCGCCAGCGACAAATGTCTGCTGGGAAGCCTATCGGCCCTCGGGAAGCGCTTAAACGAACCGCAGGGAACAACTGGGTGCATGTTACCTGTGCCGTTTGGAATCCAGAGATCAAGTTTGGGAACGCAAAGGAATTCGAACCTGCCGAAGGAATGGGCTTAATTCCACCAGAAAGATTTCTGGATACCTGCAAAATTTGCAAAACCCAGAATGGTGCCTGTGTGACTTGTCATCTGGCTTCCTGCAATGCTCGTTTCCACGTGGGCTGTGCTCATCAAGCTGGATACAAATTCGGGTTTGATATAACGCCAGTGAAAGTTAGCAGAAGGGATTCTATCAACACTATGAAACTTGGAGAAGAGTCCGGCGCGGCCACTCCGGCAATTTGGTGTCCGCATCATACGATATCCACGATTGTGCATGAGATGAGCGAGCCTAGTGGGGTTGACGATCTAAATGCTCTCCAATTGTATGCGCGAACATGTAAACAGGCAGACCTTACTTTGACGGGCACTGTACGAAAAGCCGCTCATTTCCAGCAAACCGTCGGAGCATCGATGAACGGTGGACAAGGGGCAGCAACTCGACGCGCTGCTGTTGTGAACGGTACAAGTTCAGGCCATGCAAGAAAAGAGAGTCTAAATGCCAGTGGTCAGACTACAAGTGGACCATCGACTGAAGCTTCGTCCAAATTGGATCGTGCGCACAATGCGAGTGAGCCAAATGGGAACGAAGCAGCCAACAGTGTCTTGGAAGGCAAGAGTTGTTATCGCTGCCAGACATCCGTCAGCCCAAGGTGGTGGCGACGGTCGATGAGCCAAGAAGAGTCTAATGGTTTCGTTGATCGCCAGACGCCAAACGGGGCATCCTATGATGGTGCAAGTGGTGAATGGGACCGAAATACCTCCGCGAAGAAGGCTATCGAACGACTGTTGTATGAGTGTCACAAATGTCATTTCAAGAAATCCGAGTCGCCTGTAGCACCGGAATCACGGCCCTCGCCTTTTGTTGGCAAACGCGATTCGAGCTTACCCGCCAGCCGGGGGCCCGATTACGCTTCTCCGCTGGCACCGTCTCCGCGCACTCAAACCGTACAGCCGAGCCCTAATCTGCATATTCCTCCTATTGTTCCTCTGCACTCCCATGGGCCAGAGTGGCGACCAGATTTTGAACAACGGCCTAGCGAATACGGAACTCCCCTTCTTCGGAACGGGATCCCACCGGGACCTCCAGGACCTCCAGGACCCCCTAGTCATCCAGCGGCGAACGGAATGCCACTCCCACCCCCAAATTTCCATTCCGGCCCTCCACCACCACCACCGCAAACCTCCCACATGAATGGGTATGCAACTCCACTCCCGCCCCCTCCTCCGCCGCATTATTCAAGCTCTGTACCGCCCCCCCCACCTCCACATGCGTACACGGCACACCAGAATCCCTACCCACCCATTCCCAGCCCCTCTACAAGTGGCCCAACTCAAATAGCATCGAACGGCCATCCATATCCATCTACCTCGCCACCAACGGTGCACTACTCCCCCCAGAATTCAATCAGCTTGCCGCATAGCGCTCCCCCTGTCCGAGTGTACCCTGTTGAAAGAGCCATTGCGCCAAATCTACCCTCACCATCGATGTCCCGACGCAGTGTGGATCCACAACTACGTCCAGGAACGCCGGTTGCGCCGGAGCAGCAACCACAGAAGCACCAGCAACAGCAGCAGCAGCATAATACTATGGCCTCTGAACCATCCCCAGCTAATGGGCCTAGACCTCCAAGCTCCGGACGCAACAGCGGCGGAAGCCAGGCGGTGACCACAGTTTCGGGAGCCAGTGCGAGTCCTTCGTTGAAAAATTTGCTTCTTTAATAGATCAAGCGGTTAGGGAAGGATAAAGAGGAGTTTGTTTTTTTTTGTTTAATTATATATGTTTGTCTATTCTATCATCAGTTTGTCGGTTCGTGTCTTGTTATAAGGTCTGATCGGAATCTGGGCGAACAGTAGGATATGTGCATGGCTTTTCCTTTTGACTGCGACCATGGTTTCCGAACCTACTTGAGCCCAATGAGGATCGGGTTCTGGTTTGGCATTCGGTGCTGGGTTATTATCGTTGATTTGAGTTGTCTTCCAGATTCTATCCAAGAGTCTCTTTTAAATCGAAAAAAAGATATCCTTGAATTGCATGTTCCCTTTCAATGCTGGGGGTAAGGTTCTTTTATTAACTAATTAGTTAGCTGTGTAATCACTTTCGATTTTACAAGTATGTAGCTATACGGAGGAGTTTGATATGGAGTAGCCCACGGCTCTCACGGTTTCCGACAAAAGGAGTACTGGAGAACATAAATTGAGTCGTCCATAGATACTACTCGGTGTGCCTGATGTGAATCATGCTGTCCGCTTTCTCTAGTCGCGGGGTTCCTCCATAGCAGAGTCGACTTCGCTGGAAATATAGTGCTATTACATAACTAATCTTACTGTCGCCATGGTAACTGATGTCGCATCAATAGGAGCTTAGTATCGTGTATTCCACTCATTTGGGGGCCAACCTGTTGCTCTTTCGAACCACCACCACAGGACATCAAAGTGACAGTATGCCGCCATCACTTCTCCTTGATCGCGGCCAAGTAATCACGTACGAATCAGCTGCAAAAAAAGAGGCAAATATCATCAACCAGCTGGCGTACGTCCCAGCTGTCAATAGCCTCTATGAGAGACTCTGGAATGAGAGACATGACATTGCGGAGCTGACCCAACTCCATCTAGGCCTTGACAAGAAGGTCATCTGCAACGTCCTCCCTCAAGAGACATGGATTCGGGGCAGCTTCAATATCTGTGTTCTGGTTGAAGTGAAAGAAGGCCTCATTTGCAGGCGGGTGGTTTTTCGATGTCCGATGCCGCACAAGCTCGCAGAGGCAAGATACCCCGGTGCCGTTGACGAGAAACTTGGCTGTGAAGTGGGTGCATATGTGTGGATTCAAAAGAACTGCTCGGACATCCGCATCCCTCATCTGTATGGGTTTGGCTTCTCAGATAATCGCCATGTGAGTGCATGGTGTTACTCTTCCATCCTTCTATTCTCCATCGCACCACTGATATCGATTTTACTCTCAGTTCACTCATCAAAAGTATCAGCCTTTCCATGCTCATCTTATTCACTTATTTCGATCTTATATGCACCGTCTCCTTCGGCACCCCGATACACTGTCACAATATGTCATTAGCAAAACCAACTTGAAGCTTACAACAGCATACATAGTTCTCGAGTTTATTGGGCCTGAAACGGGGAGGACGCTGTCAGAAACATGGGAGGAACACCGGGGGAGCCAAGAACACAGAAAGAAGATTTTCCAAGGCATGGCTCGTGTGCTCGTGTCTCTCGCCCGCCTTCCCCAGCCTAGAATTGGCTCGTTCAAATTCCGGAATGATGGAACTATCTCACTGACCAACCGGCCCCTTCTTTGTGATATGGTGATATTAGAGAACGACGGCGCGCCGCAGATAATGCGCAAGGATGAGACATATACGTGCACCGAGGCATTTACATCAGACCTTCTTACTTTCCATGATGGTCATTTTCGGATCGACCCGAATGCGGTATACAATGATGCCGACTGCCGCGGTAATATGGGCATTAAAATACTACTACGAGCTATTTCACATCATTTTATCAGGAAAGAGAATCGCAACGGTCCGTTCCTGCTGCAGTTTACGGATTTCCATGCAAGTAACGTCCTGGTTGACAAGGAATGGAATCTTACCTGTCTTCTTGATTTGGAATGGGTATGTGCTCTACCTGCTGAAATGCTACAGGCACCATATTGGCTTACCGGATGTGCATTGGATGAGATAGATGGTGACCACATTGAGGAATATGATCAAGTGCGCCGAGAATTCATTAGCATTGTTGAAGAGGAAGAGCGGAAAACAGCAACTAAACATGACATCTCAATTGCGAGAATAATGCAGCAGAAGTGGGAAACAAAGGGTGTTTGGTTTTGGTACTGTCTCAGATCGATGACTGACTCGTTCTGGTTGGTCAAGGGCCATACATCACCAAAGTTTTCGACTCGTTGGTCTTCAAGCGTTGAACAGATCTTTTCATTATTCTGGAGTGAGAACTCGGAGCAGGTTGTTGAGCAGAAAGTGGCCGATCACAAAAAATATGATGAAGAGCTCAAACTTGTCTTCAAGCAAGCGGCGGTAAACGGGTGAGTTAGGTGTTGGATTTTGCTCAAGCTCAACTGCAAATTGGCAGTTGATATCTTGCAATATATCTTTGTCTTCGCCTCTCTGTTCGTCCGTCTTTCGGATTAGACGAAAGCATTATACCAGACCGCTGTGCTAGCAGCAGGCAATTTGCGTCCTCAACATAACCTCATGATCTGCCGAGGAGGCCGAACTGTGGGTATTGTGGTTTGTGTTTGGGCCCAATATCACGGACGGCCAAGAGCAACGACGGGTCAGCAACGGATAGCTCGAGGAAGATCAAGCAACATTGATCTTGACCACAGACAATTGCTATCCGAAAAGAGATGGGGGCTCCTCGGTTGCTAGCCTCCTGACGCATTGCCCATAGGTGTGCTTAAAGGTTTTCCGCCTAAGGAAACCCTACCCCGTACAATCCTGGCACAACCTAGTCAGTGCGGTAGAGGAGCCCCCTTTGAAATTGAAAGATGACTGGACTTGCTCAGGTTTAACTACAAATGAGTGCTACACAGCCTTGCTTTCAGTTTAAAAGTGTAGAGCGGCCATCTCAGGCAACAGCTCTGATCTCCTGGGATCATGCAACTAACTAAATGATTGACCTACGCATTGGCGAATAAAGTCCTTTGTCAGAATCATCCGGAACTGTCCCCATGAAGGCGCTGAAAAGAGTGGGCTTTCCTCCAAACATTGAGATATTGAATCAATAGAACGGGATACATGCATGGATACCTAGGTTTCACTAATGGAAAAGGAATCCGATACCGACGACTACAGGGAATGTTTATGACATTTGATTCATAATTATGTTCCATTTTACTATTAGCATTACATTCCATATAGACTCCTCTGCTAGTGCAGAAATGGGGGGCGACACTTTGGCTTTCATTCCCATGAGAGGCTCAAATACTGGTGTTGCAGGGGCTAATGTTATCGAATGAACAAAACATAAGGGGGTAATTTATACAATCTGAATGCAAATATGCAACTTTTCCGACCAGTACACACTTCACACTATGCTGAGCAAAAAGTGTCGTGTCTGACCAGGGGGATTATTCCACATCCGATCTTCCATTTTAAGCCTCTTTATCACCAGTGACAGCATCACTTTTCTCACAAGCTTCCCCTCCTGGGAAACACCACCCCCTCCGTAGCTTTCGTGTCCGTAAACCAAGTCACCTTTTCCCCTCCCATCTCATTCACCAGCCCACAGGGCAACTTCTTCCCCTCATCCGTATCAAAAATCTGCCTCATAACATCCCTCTTCCCCTCCCCCGTTGCCACAAACGCAATTCTCAACCCATGCGTCACCACCGGCAGGGTCAACGTGATCCGCTTCGGCGGCGGTTTGGGCGAATCCGCAATCGGGGCCACCCACGCAGCCGTCTCGCTGAGCAACTCGTGCCCGGGGAATAAACTACACGTGTGCCCGTCGGGACCGCAGCCAAGGAGGATGAGGTCGAAGACGGGGAGTCTAACGCTATCCTTGGCGGCGAAGGAGCGCATGAGGTCTTCTTGGTAGAGGTCGGCGGTTTCCTGGGGGTCCTCGTCGTCGAGGTGGCTGGTGTCAATGGGGTGGACTTTGGGCGTGCCGAGGCTGGGGGAGAATTTGTCGATGAATTCGGTTTTGAGGAGGTTGTAGTTGCTGTCGGGGTGGTCGAGGGGCACGACGCGCTCGTCGGCGAAGAAGATGTCCCAGGCGGAGAGGTGGAAGGTGTTCTCATCGCCAGCGTCTTGGTCAGTGGTGCTGGTGACGGCTTTGGCTAGGATGGCGGGCAGAGAGCCGCCGGAGACGGCGACACGGAAGACATTGTGTCGTTTTATGGCGGCGTTTTGGGACTGGAGGAGGTATTTCCGGAGGCGGAGGGCGAGGTCCTCGGTGGTGTCGAAGGAGTAGAGATGGGGGCCTGCTCCTGGCATTGTAGATTGCGTGGCGACTTGAATCGAGCTGAAGGCGTAGTCAAAGAATTGAGGCGGTTCCTTGCATCTGGAGAACGAAGATGCGTCAAGTTCGACGAGAACCGAGATGTTGATGGAGGGCGTTTGTTTGGGGAAGGGCGGGCTGCGGGGCTGGTCTAAAATGCAGACCACATGGGGCTAATTTGGCCAATAGAGAGAGCCCCGCCCCACCAGCCCAGTGCAAACGCGAATGTTGGCGAGTCGGCACTATAGAAGCCGTTGATGTCATGAAGAAGGGGCTTTCAGGCACGAAATCATCTACTGGACTTGATGACTATTGATTCTTCTGCTGTTATTGAGCCTCTACCTGTTGGAGGGACACAAGGAGATGTTGCGTTATGCCATGCAAATTCTAGAGTAGTTATGGGGTTTCATATCCATATCAACAGGTCCTTCTCCTGAGCCAACGAAATTCAGCATAAATCCAACATCTCCGTCAATGCAGCCTTTTCTGCTTGGGTCACAGTCAAGTCGTATTCCGATTTGACCTTGATCCACATTCGGGAATAGGTGCAGTGGTATGATCCTGGTGTGTACGCATCAGCAAACGGCATTCCCCGACTCCCGCAGACTGGCATAGATATCAGAGAAAAGGAGCAACTTACGCAAAGGAGGTCGCCAGTCCTCCGGTCCCTTATCTCCCTTTTCTTGGTTGACATTATCCGTCACCGCAATCAACTGGGGATTCACCAAATCATTTGCGAACCCCCTTCTCTTCGCAGTCGTCCAGTCTCTCGCGCCACTCTTCCACGCATTGCTCAAGGGAACGACGTGGTCGATGTCCACATCGCTTGCTTGCGTCCAACGGGCACCGTCAAACGGGCTGTACCAGTTCCCCCGAACCGGATAGCAGTTGTCGTCGATGGTGAGGTCTGTGCCATCGCGGTTAAGCACCGTCTCGCGTGTGTTGCAGGCGCCCTCGATGGTTATCCAGTGGGGGAACAGGCTGCGCGAATAGCCATCTTGAGGGCCCTGAGGAGCTACGGTCAAGCCTGCGAGTGCTGTACGGGCGGCGGAGGCCGAAGGGATGTTAGGCGGGGTGGGAGCGGCCGCAGGGGCAGGAGCCGCGCTGTACAGAGGAATGGCGGAGAGGACGAGAGGGAGAATCGAGGTGAGAAACATGATGGAGTTGTCCGTTGCACAGGCAGAGCCGGGTTTGGTATTCAAGACCTCAATCCCAAGGCAACGGGATTACTCTGAAGCGAATACCTCTGAATGCACAGAGTATAGATTAGAAAGGACTGCATGAAACACGAAAATGCGAGGAATGGCAATTTATATCGCATTCCTCAACGGATATATCTGCCGCTCTCGTCCCCGCCGTCTCGTTGCAACGGCGACACCGAGAGGAGAGACGGATTGCAAACCCATCTCGAGAATGGAGGAGGGGTTGTCGATCATCGTCCACAGAGCCACCGGACCGACAACATAGCCTAAGGATTGGACTACATTCGTCGGGAAAGTATTCACAGACCAGCGGCAATGTTTCCATTCTGGTGACACGAGCACTGATCCAGCCAGTGCTATTGGGCACTTAAATGGCCCAATGTCCGGCCCGTGAGATGCAGAAGATGCCTTGCACGGGAAATGCCCCTGTCAACAGGCTTGCTACGGGTTCAAGGCGAATTCGGCCGATCCGCCATCAAACACGCTCGCTTTACTTCTCCTGGTTGGCTGGGAGTGGAATTGGCGGTTGAACCGAGCAACACTTGGCAAGCTTAGTGATCCTTCGGCATGTGAGCATTGGTTTGATTGTAGGGATGATCGGTTCATGATGGAGATGGATTCTGATACTAGGCACAGGCAGTTGACGAAAGATCAGTTCAACATGGGCTAGAATCCATTCATTCGGTTCTGCGCCTTGAACACCTCTCCCTGATTGATAAAATCGAGAAGAACAACATTGGGCTTGCGTTTGTATATCGAATTGCACAAGTCCACATGCGCCCCTATGCTTCCCTCCCCAGTGGCGGCGTTGGTTCTCGGTGCGTTGATACGATCAGGGACAATCACACCTAGGATATCAACATTTAGCGTATGATTTACCAAGTAGAGTCTTCCATCTGCCTTTGCGTTTGGAGGACGGTCAATCTTGCACTGTGGGAACTTGGGATCGGTGGTGGAAAAGGGCGTCTCAAAGTAGTAAGCAAATTCGTCCAAGATATACGGATACTTGGACATGTCGGCTTTGTAGTCTGCTCACAGAAAGAATTTTGGTCAGCTGCTATAACACAAACAACAAGGACTGGAATGCCTACCTAAGAATACAATCAATCTCTTTCCAGACTTGATGATTTCACCTAATGTAGGCCAGGAACCCATCGGGATCACGTCAGGGGCCGCTGGCGGGACGTATACGTATTTTTTGATTCCACTTTTCGTAAAGGCCTCGTCGAATCTGCTGATGTCGACGAAATCGCCATTGGTGAGAAGGAGCGTTACCACCTCTTCCGGATGCCCATCCAGCCACGTCTTGATAGTCCCAAGGAACTTTTCCACAGGGCCTGCGTCTTCCAGGAAGCAAGAGGTGTGGCACATGTTCAGTGTCTTCTTTTCCTTGTGCACACGCGTCTGGCCTTGCAGGTAGCGGATTCCCAGGTCAAGCTGCTTCGTAACCGAAATCTCCTGGTTGTGCTGCGGTAGAATGCCGACAAAAGGGGAGTTGTGGGCACCCACAAATCGCATATCCGCGTAACGGCGATCGCAGAACTCTGGACGTCCATTGCACCTAGACTGAGCAAGGAGTCCCGCTGGCAGCAGCCATGCTAGAAGGATAAACGAGAGAAACAGCATGGTGCGACAAGGGTATCAATGCCGGCGACGCTGCACATGTCAATGGGATGCGGCCAGAAGACGCGGACAGAACAAGTCCAGCTCGTATTGACGGGCATCCCGGCGGAAGAGGGAAGCAGCGAGCGAGATCTTATAGATGGCGTTCCGTGAAGGAAAGGAGGAGAGGAGAGCACACATGGCCGCCAGCTGACCGCAAGCATCGCGGCTGACGCTGTCATGAGTCGATGACAGCAGAGGGAATCAGGACGGACAAATGATCTGCTTTCCTGGAGCCAGGGATGCTGATGGCTCACCCTCTGTTGTCTCTAAACGCACCGTCATGCAGACGAGATGCAAGCAGATGAAGCGGGACATGTTTGAACGCCAATGACATTTGGGCCCCCAGGCCTGAAGAAGTCGGCTTCTCTTTGAAATAATTGTCATACTGCCTATCATGCCATGGAGATGGATGTACAAAGAATTTTCAATAGAAGCATCAAGATGTGTTCGCTGGTGATGCTGACTGACCATAGTGAACAAAATCCCAGTAGAATTGGCAAATGGGCCCAAACATCAACATCTCAGAAGTTTGTATTCACCAGCAACATCGCATTGTCTTCCGTGTAACAGTGAGTTCTTTTCTTTTTCTCCTTTGATCACACCTAGAGCTATTAATATCTGCTGACAAGCCATCGTCGCTTAGTTACAGCTCTCCATCTCAGCATTGTCCCGGACGGCTTCAGCTACAACCCGCGCGACCACAATAATTCGGCAGAGTGGTTGAAGCGATGGTCGATCGAACCGACCGATGAGCTCCATGACCGAAAGGGGTAGTGATGTGGTCCGCGACGATGCGATAGATCTACAGGATGAGGAAGAACAGCACCAGGCAGCCGTTAATGCCCGGGAGGACGCGCAGACAGACGTTATTGAGGATGAGGACGGGTTCGACGAGTTTATTGCACCTGACGACCCGGTATCGATAGCAATTAGCAGAGCTGACGCTGACGCTGGAGACCGGACTGAAATTGCTAGCTCGCCTGTGTCATTTCCTCAGTGCGCTGGAAGCATCGACGATGCGGCCTCTATCCCAGACGATACTCCGTCGATACAAGTATGTTGGGCGAATCCCTCTCTACGAATTGCACCTGCTAATGGCTTAGGGCTCTATTCAGTCTTCTCCAAGCAGCGCGTTGGGCCGCCGGCCACCATCTAGCTTAGGCCATAGCCCTCACCGTCCGTTTGACCTCCGTTTCCAAACGCGCCTTTCTGTTTCATTTCCAAATACCTCTCGACCAATATCACCTTCGCTGCTTCATGCGCATTCGCGCAATTCTTCGATCACGAGCCATTTCCGAACAGATACTCCCGATTTACCGGAAGAACCCCTGCCTGCGCCATGGGAGGTTGTGCGATGGACAAAGCTGAGAAAAATAGCAGGCCAGATCCTCTCGGAAGTAGGCAAGCGGACTTTTGGCCGTCCAACCTGCATGGCAGTCTCAACAAGTATTGTTTTGGGAACGACAAAAGGTACCATATTGGTATTTGACTATCAACAGAACCTGAAGACCATAATCGGTCCTGGAACAAAGGGTATGTTCTGGTCTCAACCGTAAGCACAGCATGTGACTGATTTGCACAGCAATTGCATCTGGCTCCGTCACATCGTTGGCCATCTCAGCAGACCACTCTACTATCGCCGGAGGTCATGCTGATGGGTCAATATTTACCTGGGAGATCGCTCGGCCCAGCCGCCATTTCCTGCATATTCCTCCCATAACTGCGGCCCACAAAGATTCAAAAAGGACTGATGGCCATATCTCCGGTGTGGCCGTCATTCATGTGGGTTTCCTGGGGACCAGGCGTACTGCTTTGGTCTCTGCTGATGATCACGGAATGGCGTTTTCTCACTTAGCGACACGCGGAATGGGGGCGGTCGCCCGTATAATCAGAACCACCCGAGTATTGGGACGTTACCCGGAGAGCGCTCTCCCCACTGGCCGTGCGAGGAAGCCGAGCACTGTGCTTGCATTTTCCCCCCTTCCCCTTGGGAATGTTGAGCAAGCAACGGATTCGTTGGGTCTGGTAGCAATGCTCACCCCTTATCTTCTTGTAATTGTTTCTACGACGCCAGTCGCCCAAACCCAACATAAGTCAGCGCGTCCCAAAGAAGTCGCTGCCCACAGCACCATGACAGCAGCACTAGCCTGGTTCCCTGCAATCAGACTAAAGGCGAAAGATGCAGGAACCTCAAATACTAAACTAGTATATTGCTGGTCCAACGTGCTGACTATCCTGGAAGTCTCTGAGACGAGACCCACGGACCCTAGCGATAGGGATAGGCCCCCTAGTTTTGCATTCAGGCCATTCGCTCGATGGCGGGCAACTGAGCCCATTGTTGCAGTACAATGGATAAGTCGCTCGGTCTTAGCGGTGCTGACCATCACTCAACAATTACTTATTCTCGAAGATAAATCTCTACGTGTCACGGATTCATTCGATCTATTGCACAGGCATATTTACCATGTGGACCTTTTCTCAAATCAACTTCAGAGTCTTGTCGAACAATTGGATGAGGAGGATCAGAGTATGCACGGTGTGACTGCAGATGCTTTCTATATGAGCTTCAGAGCTTATAAGGGGCGGCTATTTCTCCTAGGGTTCAACGATTTATCTGTTGGCACCTTGTCAAACTGGGCGGATAGGCTTCTAGCTCTAATGGAGTCTGGCGATTTTATTGGGTCCATTCGCCTTGCAACATCGTTTTACGTTGGAAGCTCAGAAAAGCTCACTGTTGGCCTGCCAGAAGAAGATGACCTGAGACATGACGTAGTGCAGGAGAAGTTATTGGAGATGATGGAGGCCTCGCTGAGATATGCGTTTGGGAAGAACCAAGAAGCGAACACTGAGCGCCTCCAGCCCGTTGAGCTTGGTGAGCTTGCAGAAGCATGCATTGCAGCATGTGATGCTATGAACGATCAAGCCTTTTTATTTGACGAAGTATACCAATGGTATGAAGATAACGGCTCGGAGAATACGTTCCTTGAGGTTTTGGAACCATATATAATTCAAGGTGCCATTCGGGCATTGCCTCCGGGGGCTGTCAAAGCTTTGATCACTCATTTTTCAACAAACCATGCTGCTAGCCGCTTAGAAGAAATTATCTGTCTTCTTGATATCAGCACCATTGATATTGACCAAGTTACTAGCTTATGCAAGCGTTATAACCTTTATGATGCTTTCATTTATGTGTGGAATCGTGCTATTGGCGATTACATTTCGCCCTTGAGAGAATTGCTAGACCTGGCCAACCGTGCTCCGATGATCGCTAATGGTGATGGTGATGTCGAAAACCGAGATTACGTGAATGCTGCGAAGATGTTTCCCTACCTCTCTTATATATTGACGGGCCGGATATATCCAACAGGAGACGAGTTGGAAGAACCTAGCGCATCAAAGGCTAAGACAGACTTATACGGTTTTCTATGTTCTGGAAAGGACACTGGCTCACAGGCTGTGGATACCTATCGCCCTTTCAAACACCTTCGAGCAATGTTGGAGTTTGACACACCTAAATTTATGAGCATGCTAAACGAGGCGTTCGAAGATAGCTATCTAAACGACGGGTTCGAGAATATGGAAGGTGATGGAGTGGGATTTACAGGTCGTCCACAAACCGGGCTATCTATTAATCGCCAATATCTCATTAGCATCTTGCTCGAAGTAATGGAGCCTTCAAGCTTCACAACAGCCGACACGATTTACTTGGACATATTCATCGCTCGCAATCTCCCGAAATACCCCCAATATATATTGCTTTCCGGGTCAATCCTTCATCAAGTCCTCATTCGACTTTGCGAATACCCTAGCCCAGAAATGTTGGACGATTGCCAACTCAGTGCGGAGTATTTGCTTTCCACTTATCATCCTCCTGACATTCTGAGCTTGATACCACTATTCAAGAAAGCAAAGTTTTTCCGAATATTAAAGTCAACCTACCGTGCTGAACGGCAGTATCCTAACCTTTTACTGACTTACCTGGAGGACAGAGAGGAGAGAGAACATGTTTTCACCTGTATTCGGGATTGTCTTCGGCTGGGTTCTTCGCTGACCGGGAAGCAGCGCCGTGATGTACTTTCTGTTGTGAAAGACCATGCTGCTGAGCTCGCTCATATCAACGTTGTCGAGGCAGCGCATGCCATGCAAAGTGTGGCCGCTGACCTCCATGATGTCTTCGTTGAAGCGCTCCACTCAGAACCGAGCCTCGAGTACCAGTATCTCAACGCCTTGTTCGTATCTGAGTCGAGCAATGGTGCTGAGGTTGGCTCGGCTGCAAAGCTCAGCAATCGACTTGTTGAGCGTTATATTCAGCTGATGTGCCAGTATGAGCCGTCGCGCGTTGCGGAGTTTGCAGACTCCCTCAAAGTTGGCGATCTTCAGCTTGAAGCTGTTCTCCCTTCAATCGAAAGCAGTGGAATCATCGATGCTGTCGTAATCCTCGTTGCCAAACAGGGTGAAGTTGGTGCAGCTATGGAAAGGCTGATCAAGCATCTTGGGACACTCGAAGCTGGCCTATCTGGTATTCTTGAAAAGTCCAGCGAGAGTCCCGATCATCAATCTGCAGTCGATGCAGCAGTTGATCTTGCTCAATCTCTCGAAAAGTATACCCGAGTAGGGATTTGGCTATGTCAAGAAGAGACTAAAACCGCAAAAAGGTCACACCGAGAAGTTAAGCTAAACAAGCGAGGATCTGTATTCGAACAGCCCTTGTCCTTTGATGAAAATCTATGGCTTATGCTTATTGAAGCGATAGTCAACATTGCTCAGAATCTCTCCCCTTTGTTGGAAGATAATGCTCCTGCGATAAAAGCCGACGAAGCCATGCCGTCATACAGCTCTGCAGGGCTCTCTATTTCACTTCGACGCCTGGTGCAGCAAGTTTTTACAGCCCTGTTGACCACGACGACCAAAGCGGGACGCCTACCTAACGACAAACCAGACTTGTCGTTTCTGCGCATTCTCCGCGCATTCCTCACACGCGCGGCTTCGGCCTCCCCATCCTTGTCTGAACTTCGAGCGGTGATTGCATCTATATTATCAGCATACAGTTACGAGGAGTCCCTTTTATCACTCGCAAACTCAATGTTAGACAAGGACCTGTTCGTGCACGTCGACGAAATTACAAAACTCCGACAACGCGGCTGGAGGGCCAGAGGGCAAGTATGCGAGGTGTGTCGGCAGCGGATCTGGGGCCCTGGCTCGGGTGGACATGTGTGGGAAGCGTGGGAAGCCAAACAAGCGGCGGAAACGAAGCGGAAACAGGAAAAGGCGTCTGAAGAGAGCCGGGATCGGGATTTGGTCACACGAGGCAAAGGAAAGGCGTTGGCTTCACCCCAAGTGGTTGATAGTTCTAGTGGTGACGGAGATGGGACTGGCGAAGGACTTGATGGGCATGGCGGCGACGGGAAGGGTGCCATTGTTGTTTTTGGCTGTAGGCACTTATTTCATCGGGCTTGTCTGATGAATGAAGCCGAACGACGGAGACTGCATGACCCATCCTCATCGGTGTATGAGCATGGCTATCTCCATGAAGGAGGGCACGCGGAGCTTTCTTGTGTGATATGCATACGACATTAGCGCATGAGTTGCGTTGGGAGATGGATTAGACAGACTGAACTGTATGACTGCCGCTTAGAACCAGCTGATATGACCATGTCTTAAGACCATTATATGTGCTCTGTACTACACTCTTTAGTGAGGATCATTCATGCTGTCTCCATGCCCGAGAAGAGTGTAGAATTTGCAGTTCTCTTTCGCATCGGAGATACAAAAGGTCACTTTTGTATTTGGGCTCTTAAAAACTAGTAGTTAGCTCATTCGTGCGATCAATGTAACAATCCTCCATGATACGAGGTCCCAAGCCCATTTCTTGGAGGATGGAAGTCCTGGCCTTGAGCAATCTAGTATGCAATATATCTGAATCATGCAGCAAACCGACAGATGTCGTGGAGGGTCGAAAAAGTCGTCACTTCAACCCCTTGGGGTTGTGCATAGCGTCCTCATGATGGGGCAGGCAGAGTTTGATCTCGATCTCGTCTTGTGCTCCCTGGAGATTGTCGTTCTTGATCTCCTCACAATTCGATGCCCTCAAACTCCGGTCATCAGATGCAGTGTCAGCCTCCCATCCGTCCGCAAGGGTTGGGTGCACAGAGCCTCTTGTTTATCTGAGGCGCCCTGCAAGGCCCGTGAATAATCTTGCCCTCGACACTGGGCGCATGATTGATATCCACTGTTTCACCCGCCCATGTTCTGTTGGCGCTACTGAACACCGGACCTCACTCTCCCCTCCACTTTTCGATATTGATCCCTGGTCGCCGGAGGGTCGCTAGGTTTCGCACCGGCGGCTCCAGGGGCAGACACTGCAAGTTCATTGGCGATGGCACCCAACTCGTTCCTGGATCCAGACCTGGTCGCCGGCGCCAAGGAGGTTAGGTCGAGATGCCAACCTGGGCCTTTGATCTCTGTCTTCACAAATCACAACCCGGCAATATTGCCTGGCTCTGGGGCCGCGGATATGTCGACCGGAAGATTCAGGAAACACAAAGGATGAAACTTGGGGGTCGGAAAGGCGATTAATGGAAGCAGACCACTGGGGCCGCTGCGTCCTCTGGGCTTCGCTCGTTGTCCTTCACCGCGATATGGGTTCTATGCACAACTCGCTCCTCTACGCTCTCTCGCCCCTTGCACCTTAGCGAGCGTGGCTTGAATCTCCAAGACCCCAGGAAGCGGACCTAGCATGTTATATTTGGTGTCATTTTAACCGGGGCTCCATGCTATCAACGTGGATGCCTTAACCGAGTGCTCGAACGACGCCACCTCGCCAGAGTGGATTGCTGCGTGAATTCCAGACTATACGTCCCTATTTGCGGGCTTAAAAATGGTTTCAACTCATCCTCTTGGAGGGCATCAAACTTCAACCGGGTTGTTTCCATTGGCTGTATGCGTTCTCCAGGCGCAGCCTGCTTCTCCATTGAGCCCCCTTGTCCAACCCCGAGACTATCGGTTTGCGTATTAAAGCGATAGTATGGCCCCAGTGGTTTCTGGCAGGCTTGTCATCTGGATTTTTTTCTTGCTCTGAGTGACCCTCTTCCGCTCTTTGACGCTCTCTTTCAGCCATTCATTCTTTCATAGTCTCGGCTGCCCAGACTTGATACTACAGGTCCTGAGGCTCTCGAGCTTCCACTCTTTTGGATATCCACACGCTCTTTACTATTAGCACCCGCTGAAAGTGCATCGAGGGCTTTTTCTGACCCCGAATTAATACTGGTCCGATCCTGGGGTCACCTAGATATAACCGCATCTACCAGCAAACGACGCTGTAGCAGAGATGCGAGCAGTCCAGTTCACCGTGCTGGCCGCTTTGGCACAGTTATCTGTCGCCACATATGATCTAGTAGAAGACTATAACCCGTCGAACTTTTTTGATAAAGTCGACTTCTTGAGTGCAAGTGAATTCACCTGAGAGGAATCAAAACGGGTTTCTAACTTTACAACAGGGTAGGGATCCCAGCAACGGATACGTTGACTACCAAAGCAAGAGTGCCGCCTTCCAGGCCAATCTAGTCAAGAAGCTGGGCAACTCTGTCCGTATCGGGTCGGATTCGAAAGGCGCCGTAACCAACCTTGGGCGTAAGAGTGTTCGCGTGGAGACGAAAGCGAATTTCAAGCATGGCTTGATCGTGGCGGATATCAAGCACATGCCAGGCTCTATCTGTGGTGTTTGGCCTGCGTTGTGAGTACAACGCCCCCATACATGTTTCTCCGCCATTCTTTTTAGATTCTAACATCGCAATGAAGCTGGACCGTTGGCTCAAGATGGCCCGAAGACGGCGAGTTTGACATCATTGAGGGAATCAATCGCCAATCCGTTAACAAGATGGCGCTGCACACCACCAAAGGCTGTAAGATCAAGAGACAGGGGGATTTCAGCGGCGTTGTTGAGACGCCAGACTGTGATGTGAATTCCCCAACCCAAGCCGCCAACCAGGGCTGTCTTATCACGGCTAGACATGGTGGTAGCTATGGCACCGACTTTAACAAGAACAACGGTGGGGTGTATGCTCTTGAGTGGACCAGCTCTGAGATTACTGTTTGGTTTTTCCCCCGTGGAAGCATTCCATCCGATGTGAAGAGCTCTCATCCCAACCCGAAAGGATGGGGTAAGCCGATGGCACGGTTCTCCGGCGACTGTGATTTGGATAAATTCGTGCAGAAGCAACGAATCGTATGTCTCGCTCTTTTCACCGTTTTGCCTTGATGAGTGTAAACATGCTAACCCGTGCCTTTGTGCGCACATAGATTTTCAATACCAACTTCTGCGGCGACTGGGTCAGGGGCTTCTGGAACACCGATCCTGTCTGCAAAAGCAAAGCAAATACTTGTGAAGAATATGTTAAAAAGAGCCCTGGGGATTTTGCTGAAGCCTATTGGGAGCTCTACGGCATGAAGGTCTATAAGAAGGGTCTACAGGTCTCGTCCTCTAGCGCCCAATCCACAAGAACCACACAAACCACAACCACCACGCCAACCCAGAGCGCCACTGAGACCACCAAGGGATCCCAGACTGCAACCAATTCCGCGTCAACCAATTCCGCTTCTGCATCCCAGACTCAGTCTAGCAGCGCGTCGGAATCTAGCGATAACTCGACTGCCAACCCAACCGGAACTGCCACTGAGCCAAGCGATTCCGCCACAAACAGCGGCGTAACCCCTACCGGAACTGCTACCGCATCCACCACCGATTGCGAGGAGCCTACCGAGACCCCTCAGCCATGCGATGGCGAGAAGTGCCCTCCTGGTAACCCATCGGGAACTGACGGTACCAAGCCTTCTGATACTGGTGCGCCGTGTGATGGTACGAACTGCCCTGGCTCGCCCACTGCCACCACGGGCGGTACTTCACCAACAGACACTCCTTGCAATGGACCTAGCTGCCCCAACGAACCGCCCTGTGATGGTGAAGACTGCCCTGGCGCACCTAGCAACACAGATGGCGGAGCATCTCCTACGGATACTCCTTGCAATGGACCTGGCTGCCCCAATGAACCCCCCTGTGATGGTGAAGACTGTCCTGGATCGCCCACTAAGACCGATGGCGGCGCCTCTCCAACCGGGGGTAATGGAAACCCAGGTGAGCCAGGCACAACCGACGGCAACACACTCCCAACGAACACCCCTGAAGTCCCTCCCGGCTGCACACCGCGCACCACCTGTGTAACTTACACCAGCATTGAAACCATCACAATTATCAATACCCATCCGTCTGCATCTCAGACCGGTATCCAGCTGCCACCAACCTATAACGATGACGACGTCATCATTCCTCTCAACTAAGTGAGCGAGTGGAAGATAGATACCTAGGATATGCACTTTTGGATTTGAAATTTATTATGCATGAAGTACGGATAGGTTTCTTTCACGGTGCTGATCACAGTTTGTATTTTTAAGATACTAATTGTCTTGATAATATATATTCTATATATAGATATCTTCTCATGTAGCAATTCTCTACCAATGTTTATACTTTTTTAGCTAGCAGTCCTTCTTTTTGATCATGTTTCGCTCAGATAACGTTTTTAATACCTGCTAGATTTATGATGTTCAGATCTGCGCGCCTAGATGTATTACCTGAAAGGCTAGGAGTAGAAAAAGCTCATATTAGCGTGGCAAAGCCTTGACAAACTCCCTCATCTCCTCTGTCACCATTCCGCGTTGTACGCATCTATGTTCTCCTTCTAGTAGTCGTATCTTCGGTACTCGTTCATATTTATCACGGTATATATGCGGGTACAACCCGATATCATCGATAATTGTGCAGGTATGCTGCTCAGGGGCAAATTGGCCGAATATCTTCGATTCTGATCTCTGGCCAGGGGAGGGTTGTACCTGTGATGATTGCGAGAGGTTGATAAATTCATCAAGTTGACTTTCTGAAAGCTTGAACAGCGGTTGAAATGGAGGATGAATGTGAACGCCTCGGAGCTTGTGAAAAAAAATTGTTAACGCTGTGTTCTAACAGCAGGTATTTTCGAATGTTGGCTTATATCAAAAGAGCATGGGGAAATACATACTTCATCATTCGAGCCGTGCTCAAACACGACTACACCTCCAAAGATTTCTGCCTCGGCCCAATAACCCACAAGCTCTGCGGGGCCACGGGGATACTGGTGCCAACACATATAGCTTGGATGACGGAGATCGGGAATGAAGGTGCCCCCGGGCCAGGGGGCTTTGTCCGGGTGGTTAGGTCCACCCTCTGAATGAAATGTTGTAAAGACTTGGATAGCAAGATCATGGATAACCACAGCGACTACACCGAGTAAATGTAATCTAAAGTCAAGAGAATGTGGCCGGGCATCCTGATAACGTTGTAATATCTGTATACATTGAGTGCTGTCAGCGACGACGCAAGTAAAGTCAGCATAACTAATTGAATCAACCACATGCCTGCGAGTCAAGTTGAATGGTGGCTAGGTCGAATTCTCCCTGAACTGCTGAAACACAGAGAGCGAGTCGGCAGTGGGTGCTGTGCGATGTATGATATCTGACCGCATGTCGTTTACCCCGAATTTGAAGGCTGCAAACGCCGTGGGAAGGCCATCGATGACTTGAGCAAATGCAAGCTCTGTTTCCCTTGCAGCAAGAACTCGCTGGAGCAAAGTCTTGAAGCATTCGAACCAGCATGGTGCCAGGTGTGACACCGGTGATTTTGAGTCCATAGTTGAAAATAACGACGGAGCAAGCAAGTTACGCCGTTTGCCGCAATGCGCTTACGCATTGGCAGCTGATTCACTGAGGTTCAAGGGAGCCGCGAGCAGCAGATAATGCGAGGTCGTCTCGTGTTCGCGTGACCGGCTGTTTTTCCAAACACGTTCGAATATGTCAATCTGAAGAATCGTTCAGGTTCCAAGTCCATCGCTTTAGTTATACAAAAACTTTCTATTGAGCTGCAAAAATTCATTATATTATACAAGCAGTTAAGGCCCGTCGTTAGCAGAGAGAGCAAATCTCCATGTAACGGAGTTTTTATAAGCACGTACAGGACGGTCTCGCTTTCGTCAAGCGAAAGTGAATCGCTTTCTGAAATCCTTACACGTAGAATCCTAGTTGATCTCTCCGATCGTCAGTGAGCCGGCCCCATTCCAGCAGCAAACGGAACATGTATATCTCCATATCCTCTTTCCTGATAGCCTTCTCCGCCCACCTTCTCCCTTCCTCGGCGATCCACTCCCCTTCACCATCATGAGGTTTCATAATCACCTTTTTCACTTTGCCCGCCTCGTCAATTTCTTTGGCACCCGCAAAGTACGCTAATGTACTATAGAAATCGTGTAGCCTCAGATCCTGCGGCACAAAATGCAACCAGGGAGTAAGACGCGAGTCTAACCACTGACGGAACAACGCTGTGCGAAAAATCAAGCTGCGACTCGTCAAGAACGGGAGGAAACGTCCACTAAATCCCGCTCCGTCCATGTCAAAGAGAAATCTGTATTTCCAATGGTCCTGGAAATCAGACCTAGGTACGGTGGCGAATTCACGGGTCTGAGCGGCACAGTCATTCCCACCGCAGCGAGCAACGGATTCGGCAATGAAAACGGACGTATTGAAACCAAGAGACGGAAGGATTTGTGATCCTTTGAATGTTTTGTAGGCGAATTTACCTGTCTTTGCCGTGGGTAGGAGTACAGAGACATGGTTGGAGGAATGGTTGTTAGCAAGGTGGATAAAACGCTGGCGAACCATGCCTTTCCAAGCTCCATGGATGCTTTTGCCTTCTGACGTTGTGCCGCGCCAGAAAACAACAGGCTCCTTTTCGGAGTAAGGCGGATCTGGGTGATCGCCTGAAGGCTCGTACTTCACCTTGTCTACATAGTTCCACGAACTTGGATAAAGGATATCGTTAAAGCCGGGAACTTTGCTCTGACTGAAAACGGGCAAAAGGTCCCGCGAAAGCTTGAATGACGCAGGTGATAGAAAAAATCCGTGTAGAAAGGCTAGGTCCGGCTGATGACAGATATCACCAGATAGCTTCCAGCGCTGGAGAAATTGATCGAGCGAATGCGGTTGGATACAAGTAGTGCAAAGCGTCTGTTTATCCCAAACGAACGCTGTACGAGCTTTGGAGTTTGGCGGGCAAAGCGAGCTCCCAACCGGGTTGTAGATGCTTTCAAAGGCATGGTCGACAAAAGGACGACGCAAGCTCCGATCCGCGGTGGAATTGCGCTCCCAAGACTCCGCTCGATTTTCTGACCACGATTTGACTAATTTCTCGTCTGGTAAAGGAATTCGGGTTTTTACTGCGCGTTTCATCAACTGAAGCCGTTCCCAAGGTATAGCGACGCGGCATTCGTCGTTGATATTGAAAGCAATATCCATATCCGGAAGATAACGTGCATATGGCTCTATCATGTGCGAAATGCCTTCCAGCATCCACCGGTGAGTTGGCTTGATCTCCGCTTGGGGCTCGGCTTTTCCGTTTCGAATCAGTACAGCCGCCATATCGTTCCACCCATCCCCAGTCATTAACAAGACAAGATCCCGGAGTTGTTTGGGGGCGAGAGCTCGAAACGGAAGGAGATCTTCATAGATTTGATCGTAGTCATCAATAATCAATGACGACCGATTGGTAGCGTATTCGTACCATGCATCAAAACCACTGTGAGAGTGTTAGAAATCAAGCTTCTCCTCCGGCAAAAAGGTCAGTAGCTTACGGAGGCGGAGCTTGGTGGTAACGTCTCCGATACTCAGCAACAGCTTCCTTGAGGGTGGTGCTATTACCCGCCCTTGTTACCCACCGCTCATGCTCGCGTTTCGCATTGGATATAAGGATACTGATCGGATGATAGTTCGTGTCCTTGTTTTGTGAAAGTTCAAACATTAATGACGCCGCCAAAGAGACCAAAATTATCAAGCGTAGCCAACTATTAAGTCGTGGCAGTCTCCTGCCATCCGCTCCCGGCGATAATGTTGACCGGATATATAGGTAGCCAGCACCATGTATAAGGAATGATGCGAATATAGCTTTTGAGATATCCAATGCAGGAAATCGGGGACCAACGGTCCAAACATGTGTCAACAAGGCCAAATATACCGAAAGAGAACAGAAAATAAAAGACAAAGTCAAAATCGTAACATGGGCCACCTAAACGTCGATTAGATCAAGAACCCAAAAAGAATCCATTGGCAATTGTGATACACTTACAGCCTTGGATGCTGAGACGCACACCGCCGCAAAAAGTATACCTTGTTTTAGAGTATGCTGAATATAAGAAGATGATAAAGGAGAAAAGGTCCGAACTCGGTTGTCAATATTCACATTAAACATTATAAATTCAATAACTGCCCAGATGACCGAAGCTCCCTAGGATCCTTGTTAAATCGAATTGCTTCGGGTGCACACTAACAAGCGGACTCACGAGTAGCACAACTCCCCAGAGGGTTGATGCCTGCCAGACGGTGCCGTCGAGTCTGCCAATAGAGCAGTTGGCTAGTGTTCCCAAAACCACCGTCAGGCCTACGTCAAGGGCTGCACCCAAAAACTGTAACAATAGTGTCATTCCAAAATCATGGCTTCGTAAAGGGCATATAAACGTGGTTTTGGATCCATTTTTCAACATTGTTGTCAATATTCCAGCGGCAGTGAGCAAGGTCGCCGCGAATAGATAGTTGAAATGCCATTTGGAAGTATCTGGCAATCGCAGGTTGCCGGATGGCCTTTTTCCAAAATGCTCGTACGCTGCTACTATGAGAGGTAGAAAGATCTAGGAACAAGGAAAAAAGCAAAAATGTTACTCGGTTATCCTCCACGTGTTTTAGATGTCGTGCGACTTACCAAACCATTGATCAAAGCGCACTGCGAATGTTTCACGACTTGACGATGTACTTCTACCCGCACGCACAGCATCACCACAGCCAGTACCATGACAAGACATGTTTTCCGTATCTGTGCACTGGTTATCTTCCGCAGTTTTTCTAGTGCGCCGGACGGCAAAGGCGGGGACAACGGGGGCGGAGTGTCGGAAGACGACTCTGAGAGCGGAATGTATTCGGGGTACATTCGACCATTTTTAATTGCGGGGAATGTGGAGGCGATAAAACTAGATATCAAAAGGGAGACGCCGGAAAAGAAGAGGGTAAACGTTGCTGAAGCTGCCGGTTGGCCTAGAGGCAAGGACAGTTAGCCGTCAATAACTTCAGACGGCCGTGGAGGGACTAACTCAGAGCAAACGAATTCTCCGTCGACAAAAATAATAAGGATGCACTGAGAAAGAATACACTATATACACATCAGCACATGTTGCTGTGTTGAGTTATTCGTCGTCAGCATCTACTGTACCTCAATGCGACCGACATCGCCATGTCCCTTGGTTCGGAGATCCCGGGCTATGAAGTGAGAGCGAGATAATCGTCATTGAGTCCAAGGCAGCTCAGACAGGCATGCAGGATCTCCAGGTATTAGAAGCAGAGGCCAACAGAACCCCATCGCAACTCAACACCGAATGTGATATAAATAAATCCATACAGACGGTCCCAGCCGTGCGTTCTTTTCGGCCTGGCTTTCGGCTTGCGTGGAGGGCGCGGGCTGACTAAGCGTCTAGACTTGTGATGATGTAATCAGGGTACGCATCACGTGAGAAAACTCGCTTGGAGTTGCCGTTGTGCAGGCTGGGCCGGGTTGAGTAGTTTTACGCGAGGCATCGAAAGTTGCGGTCCGAACAGCCAGATTGAGATTCTGTGTGCTGGAGCTTGTTGGGCGAGGAGCAGCTGCTGGAGTGAACCATTGACTGACTGGACGGCGTGCGGATTGCTGTGATATCGAATCACCGCTTGCCGAAACGAGTGCTTTTGAGTGCCTCCGCGATTTTGCGCCGCACCCGCGATCCAAGTCACCATGCCTCGAAAGGCATTAGATTCCCGGATTCCGGCGCTGATTCGAAATGGAGTGCAGGAGAAGAAACGGAGCTTCTTCGTCGTCGTGGGGGACCGCGCCAAAGATGTGATTGTCCATCTTCACTATATCATGTCCAGTGTCGACGTCAAACAGAATAAATCGGTGCTCTGGGCGTATAAAAAGGATCTGCTGGGATTCACAAGCCATCGGAAGAAACGCGAAGCGAAAATAAAGAAGGATATCAAGCGAGGCATCCGGGACCCGAACACCGAAGACCCCTTCGAGCTATTTGTCACCTTGAATCAGATCCGCTATGTGTACTATAAGGAAACAGACAAGATCCTTGGAAATACCTACGGGATGTGTATATTGCAGGACTTTGAAGCGCTGACGCCAAACCTGCTTGCACGAACGATTGAGACCGTCGAAGGAGGCGGGCTGGTGGTTTTACTCCTGAAAGGAATGAAAAGCTTGAAACAGCTCTACACACTGTCGATGGACATACATTCGAGGTACCGGACGGAGGCGCATGACGACGTGGTCGCACGGTTCAACGAGCGTTTCATCTTGTCTCTTGGAAGCTGCAGCACATGTCTTGTGGTGGATGATGAGCTCAATGTTTTGCCCATTTCGGGCGGGAAGGATGTGAAGCCCCTTCCCCCGGCAGACTCGACGGACGATTCGAATTCGCCTGCAAGCAAAGAGCTCCTATCGATAAAGGATAAACTCGCAGATACGCAACCTGTTGGGTCTTTGATAACGTTGGCTAAAACGGTCGACCAAGCGAAAGCTCTCCTTACGTTCGTTGACGCCATTGCGGAAAAAACATTGCGCAGTACGGTCACCCTGACAGCGGCTCGTGGTCGGGGGAAATCTGCCGCCCTTGGTGTTGCAATTGCAGCGGCCGTTGCTCATGGCTATAGTAACATCTTCATCACGTCTCCAAGCCCAGAAAATTTGAAGACCTTGTTTGATTTCATTTTTAAAGGATTTGATGCATTGGGTTATTTGGACCATGTTGATTATACTATCCTCCAGTCAACCAACCCTGATTTTAATAAAGCCATTGTTCGAGTGAATATACATCGGCAGCATCGGCAAACAATCCAATATATCCAGCCACAAGATGCTTTTGCCCTTGGACAAGCCGAATTGTTGGTTATCGACGAGGCTGCTGCAATCCCGCTACCGCTGGTCCGGAAATTGATGGGGCCATACTTAGTATTCATGGCGTCTACTATTAACGGTTATGAAGGCACCGGAAGATCTTTATCTCTCAAACTCATCCAGCAATTGCGTGAACAATCCAGAGGCGGAATAAAATCGGGGAAAGATGATACAGACCTTGCTGATCGATCCACTGGAAAGTCGGTGAAAAAGTCAGAGGGTCAGTATATGGGCGGGAGATCGCTCAGAGAGATAACGCTATCTGAACCCATTAGATATGCTCAAGGAGACGCTGTTGAGAAATGGCTCAATAAAGTCCTTTGCCTCGATGCCACGCTTCCGAGGTCTAAATTGAATACGCAAGGTTGCCCGCACCCATCCCAGTGCGAATTACTTTATGTGAACCGAGATACCCTGTTTTCCTTTCATCCCGTCTCTGAAAAGTTCCTTCAACAAATGATGGCGCTTTATGTCGCGAGCCATTACAAAAATACACCTAATGATCTCCAACTGATGAGTGATGCTCCGGCTCATCAGCTCTTCGTTCTCGTGCCTCCCGTTGACGAGAACTCCTCCAAATTGCCAGAACCTCTATGCGTTATTCAGGTGGCGCTGGAAGGTCAGATTAGCAAACAAAGTGTGCTTAACGGCCTTAGTCGTGGACAAAGAGCGGGTGGAGACCTTATTCCATGGCTGGTAAGCCAACAATTCCAGGATGAGGAATTCGCCGGGTTGTCAGGGGCTAGAGTCGTTCGTATCGCGACAAATCCTGATTACCTTAACATGGGTTATGGGTCTCGCGCTCTTGAGCTCCTGGTTGATTTTTATGAAGGCAAATTTGCTAGCCTATCTGAAGATGACAAGCTAGTCTCTGATGAGATGGTTAGAGTCACAGATGCTGAATTGGAAAACGCCAACCTTCTAGAGGATAACGTCCATGTCCGGGATATTCGCTCCATGCCACCCCTATTCGGGAAACTTTCTGAACGGAAACCAGATTCTCTCGATTACGTTGGCGTGAGTTATGGATTAACAGCGCCTCTTCATAAGTTCTGGAAACGCGCCAGCTTCGCTCCAGTATATCTCAGACAAACACCAAACGACCTAACCGGCGAACACTCGTGCGTCATGCTGCGAACTCTCTTAACTGGTGCAAATGAGACCTCGTGGCTTAGCGCCTATGTCAGCGATTTCCACAAGCGTTTCCTAGCCCTTCTCTCCTATCAATTCCGCGACTTCCCCTCTGTTCTCTCCCTCAGCATCGGCGAGTCAGCCAACGCGATCTCTAAGGCCGAGCCATCTGTTAAACCCGTTCCCCTATCCAAACCAGATCTTGATGCTTCCTTTTCTCCCTTCGACCTCAAACGACTTGACAGCTATGCAAACAACCTTCTCGATTATCACGTCATCCTCGACATGGTTCCTACCATTGCGTCCTTCTTTTTCTCCGGCCGCCTATCCCCTTCCGTCAACCTCTCTGGTGTTCAGCAGTCAATTCTCCTCGCCATCGGCCTTCAACGCAAAACTTTCGACGATGTCGAGAAGGAGCTTAATGTCGCAGCGTCTCAGTTGATGGCAATGTTCATCAAGATTATTAGAAAGGTATCCACGCATTTCCGCTCGCTTGTTGAAGGTGCCGTTGCGGAAACGTTGCCACCTGCGGACCTCGGCGTAACTACACAAGATGCTACGGGGGTCCATGAAGATGAAATTATCGACCAGCGATTCAAACCGCTTGAAGTGGGATTGGAGCAAGAACTCAAAGAAGGTGGTCAAGAAATCGATAAAGAGCTTAAAGAAAAGCAACGTGCTCTTATCGATGCCTTGCCTCTAGACCAGTAAGCTCTTCCCTTTTTTGTTATCTTTCTACCTCCTTTTCCTTTCCAGTTTTATCTCGACACGCAATGTGCTCACCTTTCCCCCTCCTTTCACAGATATGAAATCGACAATGGTGCCGCCGCTTGGGACGATGCAGAGAAGCAAGTTCGGTCTTCGATAAAGAAGAATGGAAGCGCCCCGACAGTCAGCGTCAAGTCCTCTAAGCCAACGAAACGCAAGGCGGGCGAGACTGCAAGGGAGATTTATGAGAAAGAAATCGGAAGTAAGGAGCGGAAGAAGATAAAACGGGGCACTGAGGGAAGGAAAAAGTAATTGAATACTGATCGGTTAGACAAAATTGTACTGTAGGATGTTTGTTTGAAATATTGTCTGGACTGTGTTTGGCTGGATATGCGGCACGAGCTTGGTGTTATGTAGGAGTCTTATATTTTATGGTTTCCTGCCGTTGTACTATCTAGTTCTGTATATCGGATTCCGGTTTGCCAAGTAGTTCCTATCATGGAGTACTCGTAGCCTAATACCCGTTGAAATGACCTCGTCTCTACATTATTTCTGCTAACTTTGCAATTTTTGGTCTTCTCTGCTACAAAAATTCCTGAAGGAATGCGACAGTTCCAGTCCTTCATATTCGGCTAATCATCACAAGCTACGCTTAATATTCATACAGTACATGCCGTAGGAACGGTGAAAATCAGACATAACCATCTTCTTACCATAGAATATACTCATAGCTCTTCGTGAACCACGGTCTTCGATTCCTTCTGCGACTCCATTTCAGGGGTGGCTGAGGGTGTGGCTTCAGGTTCTTGTTCCGGTTCCGGATCCGGCTCGTTTTGTGGAGGAGTTGCAGGTTCTTCCTTTGGCTTTTCTTTTGGCTTTTGCTTGGACGTCTTCTGCCCGTCACTCGGAATGATTCCGTCTGGGAGTTTTCTCCTCTCGCCCTCTCCCATGCGGACCTGATCAATCCAGCTCTCAATATCAACAACACCGTAGTTCTTGCCGTCGGAAGGATCGTATCGGCGCCACCAACCTCGTTTTCCATTGATGGCAATTATCTCCACACCGCCTGTTTCAAGGCCTAATGCAGTTTGAATTGTGGGCACTTCATCGATGAAGTCCGGGAGAACATAAAAGGGGAAAAGGCGTCCTTGACGTAAGGTGTGCTTGTGCTCAATCTCGGCAAGGGAACCCAATGCTTCAAGTGTGTGGGTTGACGGCAACCCATTCGGGTCACTTGGGACATGTACGATAGCGAGGACACAAGTTCCAGTTTTTGAAGAAAGACAAGTTGTCTTGAGATCAGTGCTTGTGGATAACATGCGGAGGTCTGGCCCGGTTTGCTGCGGCTTGGAGCGCGCTTTGGACCCTTTATATATCTTCGGTTCTTTCAGGTTCTCGGTGCCGTCTGACGCTTTAGGAGTGTCACTCGATGCAGCAGCTTTTGTGGTGCTGGTACTAGTGGTGCCGGCGGTGGTCGACTTTTCTGGCTTCTTAAGCTTTGCTGTCTTGGCTTTAGGGGCAGCAGACTCTGGAGGATCTTGGTTTGGCTCCGCAACTTGCTTAAGGAATTCGACAATCGGCTTCTTCTTCAGCTCTCCGTCATACACCATCGATGGTTTATCTGATCCAGGGAGAAGAACGAGGGTGGGGAATTTTGTAATGCCAAACGTGTCCACCGCGGAAGTCTCCTTGTTCCTGATTTGGCCAATATGGATCTTTCCTAGATAATCAATAGCCAGAGCCCTTAAGAGTGCACTAGTGGTTCCCTTTTCGGTGAAAAGAAGGGCCTTTGCAGTCTCGTTGGAATTTGCCAACCAGCCGTCAATGTCCTTATCGGTGAGGCGCTTCACGTGGTTGGGGATTTTCTCCACGACAGCGTCAACTATACCTTTCGCGGTTCTGGCGCCTTGATAATCTTCGTGCTTAGGTTTCCCAGGCTTGTCGGATGGCACCACTATCCTAAGTGTAGGAAATCCTTGTATACGCATCACACTACAGAGATGTTTATTCGCCTCATCGTCGCAATTCATAGCCGCGACTTTGGCCAATCCTTCGAGGCTCCTCGCCGCCTTTTCGTATGCTGGTTTTAGGTTCTGGCAGTGGCCGCACCATGGTGCATAGAATCTAGAAACTGTGAGAGGTTATCCAATGCGGGACATTGCTACCATAGCTTACTCTACAATCTGAGTGGGCGTCAGCCACGGCGATGTTTAAAGTCGAAAAGGAAGCGGAAGTAACTTACGGAGACATGATTTGACTTAGCAATCAGGCGATCGTAGTTACTTGCATCGACCTGGAGAACCGGCGACTTTCTAGTATATAGGTTGTCGGCGCTCGCTGGAAGCACTCCCAAGAGTGCAGCGAGCAAGACAGCGAAGGAGCTCTGTTTGTGCATGGCCGCAACCAAGCTCTCGACGAACAACAATCTAGGTCAAAGTATCAAGAGGGATGACCATAAACACACCTCAAGAACATGACATTGAGGGAGAAGGTCTTTGGGGCCAGGGCAAGATTTATAGGTTCGAGAGCTCGTGTTTCTTCCACCCTGGCCTCAATAGCTTGGGCGAGATTACCGCAAGGTGTTCAGATTGCTTCTTTTAGACTGCTTATCTTATCTCCACGTGACACCGTGCTGCTTCACCAAAACTTCAAAAGCAACACAAGGTCTGATGGGAAATTGATTTTGATTTGTAAAGAGGCGATGATGGTTGTGTTAATGAAGACCGGGTTACGCCCCCGTCAATTTCTCAGTGGTACAGGTAGCTGCTCGAAAGATCTTTTGATAACTCTCCAAACAACATATACAAAAGCCTTCAATGAAAGATAAATATTGTTTACATGATCTAAAGCTGTACGGGAAAGTCTACATGCCTCGAGACACTGATGGGCGGAACAGCCAAGATAGCACCTTACATTTCCTCACTGGCAGTAGCACCGGTGATAATTTCGACCAATTCACCAGTAATGGCGGCTTGACGCTGTCTGTTGTAGAGAATTTGGAATCTGCGAGTGATGCCAAGTTAGACTAGAAAGCAAGAAACTATGATAGTTGTTGGCTCACCGATTGATCATGTCACCAGCGTTTTTCGAAGCGTTCTATAAATATAAGGTCAGCACGAATCCTGAATAGGGTCAATGTAAGGTGAGCCACATACATCCATGGCATTGCGACGAGCCTGCGAGTTGCTGGTTAGCACATATTTTGTGGTAGATGATTTTTGGGTACTTACAGAAATTTCGCAAGCATGTCCTTCAGCCAAAGCCCAATACAAACTGTTAGCGAGAGCGTATTCTCGGAGATTTGCGAGCACCTCGTTGTCAACCTCGAAAGCAACGACATTGGCTATACACCTTATCAGTATTTGGAGTCGCAGCCATAGCACAGGGAATGGGAAGTATGCGCACGAGATTGGATGATAGCCTCTTCAGAAAAGGCCTCGATGGTAACTGGCTCGTAGCTTTGGGCGTTGAGAAACTTGTTGTAAATAATCCTAATACTAGCGTAGTCCGCTGGCAAGAGGGAGATCTGATCGGCAATGGCTTGGGCGTCAGCGAAGGTGGGAATGTCCTTTCCAACGCCAGAGATGCTCATGACGATATTCTTCTCATTGGTTCTGCTGAGCTGAGCCTTTGATTTTTCGCCGAGCACAACGATATCGGCATCCGGCTGCCCTTCCATCATCCTTCGAGTCGCCTTGCTGAGACCGGAGTGGATACCACCGCAGAGGCCCTTATCGGAGCTGGCTACGACAAAGAGGGTCTTCTTATTCTCGAGTGGCTTGGTTTCGGCGTTCTCGAAGACGGTCTCTGAGGTCTGACCGTAGGCGCGAGAGACACTCATCGCTCTCTGGGCCTTGTTGAGGCGGGTCGAGGCAACGATCTTCATGGTATTGGTAATTTTCTCGATGTTCTTGATGGACTTCAAACGGCCCTCGATTTCACGGAGTGTCGCAAAGTTGGCGGCATTGGTAGGTGCAGACCTTCATAAAACTAGCATTAGTATAACCGCTGCAACCCAAATTGTATTATTCCCAGCAGCTTTGCAGCATTGACTCGCCATTCGTAGCCCGGATGGGAAGAGGTCACCGTACCGAGCAAGGACTACATTGCCGGCCTTGAGGGCCGGGCGGGCAGCTCTCGAGAACATGGTGGAAGGCAACGTGGCCACAGATCAAAGATTGCCCAAGGGACGAGTGCTGGGACAGCCAGATGGCGTTCCGACGGGACAATTGCACGGGGAGCGGGTGGTGAAGAGCGGGCTGCTGGCGGTGGTGGTTGAAGATTGCTCGAAATGGGCGTGTCGGCAAGGTGGCGCTAAACCGAGTTGGGCCGGCTCGCGCTAGGCTGCTTTGGGATGGTAGCTTTCGCTGGTGAGCAATATAAGACCAGAGGAAACCTTGGAAACCTTTGCACCCACGATTTTCTGCTTCATTCGAACCTCATTCCTCGGACGCTGCGCACTCACCTCCCGTCATCCGTTGCCTACATGTCGCTGTCCACGGTCTGAGGCTCATTCTCTTAACTCTCACTTCGTCACCCTACCGCCCTCGTTCTCTCTCGACGCTCTTCACCCTCTCTACCTTCCACGCAAGATTGCTCGGCTCTCAGCCTTTCTTCAAATTCGGCGCGCTTTCCTGGGGGCTTTTAAATCTTCAAGCCATCCTGTCCGCTCGGCACCTTACCTAGAACTCCCCTATAAGCAATTTCGACTCCAATCTGGGGCTGTGCCCTCCCTTCGCATCATGAGTTCTTCCGATGATGATGTGCCCCTTGTTGGGAAGAGGCAGGCCAACGGGGTCTCGCGAGGTAAGCAAGACTATCTTTCATAGAATACTCTATTTCTCGCTCCTTTTGCTTCGGTTTTGACGAAGAATGTCTTCACATTTGTACCTAACCGCCGATGCAGCCGCGTATCCATCTGAGGAGCTAGTTTCCAAGACGACTGATCCCTCATCTACGAACTCCCCCACCCCGAATGAAACAACCAAACCCGGTGTTTCCATCCGTTACGGCCCAATAGACGATGAGGACGTGGAAATGCCAGACGCAGAAGTGAATGGCGCTGCACAAACCAAACGGAAATCAAGAGCCAGTGCTGCAAACATATCCTATGCGGAAGCCGAGAGTAGCGAAGAGGATGATAAGCCACTGGTACGCCATCTCCCCAAGCTTCCCCTTTCTCGCCAGACTTCGGTTGCAGGTCTCGCTCAACCACACGGCGACCGCTGACTCTCCGGTAGAGCAAGCGTCGCCGTACTTCTACAAAGCGACAAGTACCAGATTCCGACTCTGATGATGCGCCTTTACTTTCGCGTCCTAGGAGAGCCCAGAAGCTTCCTGCGCCAACTGCAGCCGAAGGAGAGGAACTCGCCGCTGAGAAGGCTGAGATTGAACACCGTGCGGAATCGGAAGCAAAGGCTATCCGAAAACATGAGCGTGAGGATGCAGCTAAAAAGAAATCTATCGCCAGAGTCGCAAAGGCCGAACAAACGAGTCAAGCGACCAAACAAAAGCCAACCAGCAAAAGAGCACAGGCAAATGGTGTTAAAAAGGAGGAACCCAGTGACGACGACGTTCCCCTTCGCCGAAAGACGGTCACCAAAAAGGCTCCGCAGGCCGCAAGATCAAAATCAACGGCTGCAATCAAAGGAGGAACTAAACCAAAAAAGGAGGAAAGCGAAGAGGCTGAAGCTGAAGCAGAGGAAGAGGAAGAGTACCGTTGGTGGGAAGATCCCGCAAAGGGAGATGGTACGATCAAATGGACCACGCTTGAACATAATGGTGTGGTATTCCCGCCTCCGTACGAACCGCTTCCCAAGAATGTGAAAATGAAGTATGATGGAGTTCCGATTACTTTGTCCTTGGAGGCTGAAGAAGTTGCCGGGTTTTTTGGCAGTATGCTCAACTCAACCCACAACGTTGAAAATCCAACGTTTCAGAAGAATTTCTTCGAAGATTTCACAGCCATCATCAAGAAAACTGGGGGCGCCAAAAACCCTCAGGGAAACGCAGTTCCAATCAAGGATTTCAAAAAATGCGACTTCCAACCTATATTTGAATACTACGAGATGAAGCGCCTGGAAAAGAAAGCCCTACCAGCGGCAGAGAGAAAACGCCTGAAAGCAGAGAAGGATGCCGCTGAAGCCCCGTATATGTATTGCATGTGGGATGGCCGAAAACAAAAAGTCGGGAATTTCCGTGTCGAACCCCCAGCGTTGTTTCGTGGTCGTGGAGAACATCCAAAAACGGGACGTGTTAAAACACGCGTCCAGCCCGAACAGATTACTATCAATATCGGGAAAGGCGCCGCCGTCCCTCCACCACCTCCCGGTCACAAGTGGAAAGAAGTAAAGCATGACCAGGAAGGGACATGGTTGGCGATGTGGCAGGAAAATATTAATGGAAATTACAAATATGTTATGCTTGCGGCGAATTCAGATATCAAGGGCCAAAGTGACTACAAAAAGTTCGAAAAAGCGCGTGAGCTCAAGGTAAAAGTTCTCTTTGAACCAAATTCATCTGCCGTTGCGTTAACATTAGTCATAGAAACATATTGATCGAATTCGCAAAGACTATCGGAAAGGTCTCAAGGATGAGCTTACGGCAAACCGTCAAAGAGCAACAGCTGTCTACCTTATTGATCAATTTGCTCTTCGAGCCGGTAATGAGAAAGGAGAGGATGAGGCCGACACAGTGGGATGTTGCTCACTGAAATACGAACACGTCACATTGAAGCCGCCGAACAAAGTCATCTTTGACTTTTTAGGTAAGGATAGTATCCGATTTTACGACGAGGTGGAAGTCGACCATCAGGTCTTTAAAAACCTAAAGTTTTTCAAGAAGGCCCCCAAAGGTGAGGGAGACGAGATATTCGATCGACTCACGGTAAGTTCATTGTTCCAACTGCTAGCACCGAGAGACAATCGCTTACTCTTACAAGACGAGTGCGCTCAACAAGCACCTATCAAGTTATATGCCCGGGCTTACAGCAAAGGTTTTCCGTACATATAATGCTTCTTACACTATGGCTACTCTCTTGAAGCAAATGCAGGCGACTGGGACTGTCCATGAGAAAGTGAAGCAGTACAATGATGCCAATCGCAAAGTTGCCATTCTTTGCAACCATAAACGCACGGTAGCAGCCGGCCATGCGAACCAAATGGAAAAGTTGAGTGAACGCGTAAGTGTTGAAGCTTCCATAGGGTGGAAACCGGTGCTAAGTGATTATTAGATCAAAGGCCTTTCGTATCAAAAATGGCGTATCAAGCAGATGATGATTGACCTTGATCCGAAAATCAAAAAGAAGAAAGGTCCAGAGTTTTTCCAGCTGGATTCTGACCTTGACGAAGAATGGGTCAAACAGCATCAAGCTTTCCTTGTTGAAGAGCAGCGTCAAAAAATTCAAAAGAAATTCGAAAAAGAAAACGAAAAGCTCCGCGCTGAAGGAGAAAAGGAAATGAAGGCAAAAGAGCTGGAACAGCGACTTGAAGCTGCTAAGGAACTTGAGGCAAAATTCAAGAAAGAAAACAAGACGAAAAAAGTTGAAGTCGAGGGCAAGGGGATGACGATCGAAAAGCTTGAGAATAATCTGGCCAAACTTGATCAGAGAATTGAAACCATGTCGTTGCAAGCCCAGGATAAGGAAGAAAATAAAGAGGTTGCATTGGGAACATCTAAGATCGTGAGTAAACATGATCTCTTTTCTGGAGGTATATGAAAGTGCTAATTTCTTTAGAATTATATCGATCCCCGCCTAACGGTAGTGTTTTCGAAGAAGTTTGACGTGCCCATTGAGAAATTCTTCTCAAAGACTTTGAGGGAGAAATTCGATTGGGCTATTAAATCAGTTGATGAGGATTGGGAGTTCTGATGGCCGCGCCTTCTAACTACCCGCCAGTCATTGGCATGCCATAGTTTATTTTTATAGCCTTATCAACACCAGAAGCTTGGGTTATATCATCTGTTTCATGGCTTTGGGGGAGGGACGCTTCAAAGATTTTGCGGAAGATGACTCTCTCTTTATGATCCCTTTGATTCTTGTGTAGAATTTTTAAATCCATTAAGTTTTAGACATAGTGATCTCTTGTTATGACTTTTTGACGACTCTTTTGTAAATGGCATGAACCTTTTGTCTTGGCTTTTCTAAGGAAGAAGGCCCTCCAGTCTCCAGGGCTGAACGCCCCGGCAAAATGGATCCGCCGCGAGGGATTGATGTTATAATCGTCAAAGTCCTATTGAACAGAGAAACCTATTAAATAGAGAACAATTTTTAAAACAAGTTGACTGATGAAAAGGGCAATCAGGCAAAAGCTACACCCTGCAGAAGAATACGGATTACATTATTCTAACTCTATAAATCTTTATTTTGTTCATGAAGTGAAAAATATTATCCAAGACGTCTTTCCCATCACACACGTTTCCCCTTGAAAGGACTAGCGGGCCACCCCTGATACGTTTCCGCCTGTTCAACAATATCTCCAGACATAATCAGCGTATGCTCCAATAGACAGGCATCGTCCATCATCTGTGCACCAGCCAGTAGTCGCGATCCCGTCCGTAGGACGCTTCGATCTCCCACACTCATCTGATGGAGCGAAAATCTGCCTCTGGTATTGAGGTGACATACCAAACTCGCATCGTCGACGGCAACCCTATCGCCAAGCGTCAGGAGGTCCGGTTCTGTGAAGAGAACACTTGGCTGACCTCCAGCAAACAGCGCACAGTCTTTGCCGATTTTCGCTCCCAAGAACCGGAAGTAAAGGACCAGAAAATGGGTTCCGCTTATAAGCTTGATGATACCGTTTTTGGCGTAGCATTCAGATCGAAGTCTTTCGATTGAGAGGAAAAGCTGCCAGCGTTGACAATAGCTGCTTTGGTCCCAATCATACCTCCCGGGGTGGCGCCGCCCGATTACGATCCATTTTGCGGCGATGATTATTGCAAGCGCTAAGACAGCTTGCAGGGTCATTATTATTGCAATGTTCATAACCATGATTGCGTAAATGATAAACGGCCTGAACCACGTAGGCCGGAAGAGAGGCGACGGGATTTTGAGGAATTCCGTGACAATCTTGACGCCGACAATGCTAGCAGTGTTCCAATATATGCTTGTGAAGATGGTGATAAACGTGGAGTATAAAAAGATTCCAAACGTCCCAAGTACGTAGTACGGAGCCCGTTTCTCATAGAAGGCCCTCCCGTAAGGGGTCATTGTTGAGGAAATCTCCTTATCTCCTATGTCGTGCTCTTGACTTGCTTTCTCCTCCATTCTGGCTTTGACTGGTGGGGAACCTTCTTCAATGACAGTATCATCTGATACCGAAGCACTGGCTGAGTAGGGTGACTCCACTAATGTCGCTTGTGATGCCATTGATGGCTTCTGGACGCCTGCTGTTAGGCAGAGAGCTTCTCCTTCCTTGCTGCCAACCCACACACTATCCGAAGGGTAAGACCGGTTTCGCCGTGTTAAGGTGCCTGTGCCAAGAATAGCACCTCTTCCCACCTCCGTGCCAGGTAGTATAATAGTACGATCCGCAATCATGGCGCCGTCGCCAATCACTATAGGTTCGCTACCCAAGCCGTCTGAGGTCACGATGTGAGACCTTGAGCCGAAAACCACATCATTTCCGATGCTGACCAGACTAAAATCTTGGATCGTAGGACCAACACCGGGCCAGTACACCCGCGATCCAACGCGGCCTCCCAACAACCTGATAACCACGGAAGTGAGTTCGTAGTGGGACCCAAACAAACTAGAAAGTATTTTTGGGTCGCCATTTGGAATGAGCCTTTCCATCAGGGAGAATTGGGCCCTTTTGAGCTGACTCCTCTTTCTGTGCTTTTCAGGACCACACAGGAGGTCAATCAACCTTTTCACTATGAGGAGCAAGAGGAAGAATACCATTGGTCCCACTACCACGCCTAAGACTCGCGCCAGATAATGGTATCCAAATCGAATTGGTGTCGTAAACCAATATGCAATTTCTCGAAACACGTCGCCACTCGTTTTCGGTCTCCTTATCACCATTCCGACGAGACCTGCAAGCCACGGGAGCGCAGAGATCCCATGAATCAGCAGAACAAGCGGTTCAACAAATAGAAGCCTCACCAGCCAGTGCGGCTGCGTGATTTTGCTAGATGAAAGGTCGCGATTCGCCTCCGTGGCATCTTCCGTTTCCCAGCTGGATGAATTGGGCCCAATACAAGTGCCCGGAGCTAACACTGTCCCAGGAGCAATGACCGTCTTCAGGCCTATGCTTGAATTGCAACCGATTCTTATCCGTTGAAGCAGCATCGAGGTATTCCTTTCCACTGCAAAAGGTCGGCATATGCAGTTATCAACAGTTACATTATCACCAATGTCCAGTAAGTCATATTCACTGAGAATGGCGTGTTTGTGTATCACTGTCCCCTTGCCAATCCTCGCCCCTAGTAATCGAAAATAGAGCTTCCTAGTCCAATTAAAATGATTGAAAGCACCCTACTGCAAGGTTAGTATCAATACTTTGTATAGCGTCTGTTTTCTTACCTTCCCGCCAATTAGGAGCACCTTGTGCACAAACCACCATCGAGTATGGTAAGGCCCCCACATGGGATATATTCCCTCTTTGATGCGACCAATAACCAGCCATTTGATGGCGATAGCAACAATAGGGGAAAATAAATGGGATGCCCACCGAGCAGCTAGGATTGCGACTACTAGGTGGATCAATCGCATCGCGATGAGGTGGTAAAAAGGCCATCGAAGAACAGTGACGCTCAATATCCATATGAACATCAACCACTGAAACGCAAGCCTCATTGGGTAGATAAGGCTAATCGGAATAAGCTGAATCATCAACAATAAGGGATTCGTGGAACTGTAAGTGGCATCGCATCCTGGAAGACTATAGCCTTCAAAATCGGTGTGTTCGTCTATCTCGCCCGCTGGGAGCGTTTCCTCGACGATATCACATATCGAGCCAATGGTACTGTTTGCGAAGAGAATATTGCTAGGGAACTGAACTCGAAATTCCTTCCGAAGAATCGAAAATAGGCGACCGGCTTTCATACTATCACCACCCATTTCAAAAAAATCGGATCGCTTGCTGAGTTCTTCAGGCGAGCAACCGAGGACCAAGCTGAATACCTCTCGCACTTTTCGCTCAACAAAAGGTACATTATGAGGCATGGTAGCCTTATCAAGAGTGGCGAGTATGCTGTCTTGGTCGACACTGCCTTGGGGGGTGCGAGGGATTGGCCCGTCCATGAATTCGACATTGCGAGGGACCAGGTATCCATGTAAGAGGGTTGGAAGTTTTGCTTCTAGGCTCTGCATAACAGTCTGCTTGTCTCGAGACGTAGCTGCATCGTGCTGAAATAGGATAACTCTTGGATGGCCAGTCTTCTCATGTTGACAGACATAAGCAGTGAGATCGCCCTTCAATTCCCTGTCAACGGTACTTCGAACGATGCCGATGTCCATGACGCAAGCTCTGCTGGGAATATTTTGGCTGATCGGAGTATCCAAAGGTGGACAATCGGCTTCGACGTACGCTTCGGATGCCAGCATCTCATCCGTAAACTGCCAGAGACCAAGTCTTTCCGCCATTCGGATGCGGAGGATCTTTCCCCTTGCTTTGGGTAAAGCGTCCATGTATACGATGCCAACAGGCCATTTAGGTTGGTGGAGCGAATGTTTAATGGCCTGATGAAGCTGTCGAAGGTCAGGTCGAGGCTTTCCCGGCCGCGTCACGAGCACAACGCCCACGACCTCTTGCAGAACATCGTGGGGAATGGAGAATACCATCACATCCAGGATCCTGCTGAAGATTGGCGAATCAGACGACTGAGATGCTTTGAGTATCGCATCCTCAATCTCGAAAGGGGAGATTATTTCCCCTCCGCGGTTGATAACTTCCTTGCCTCTACCCGTGATGTAGAGGTAAGCGTCTTCGTCAAGGTAACCCAAATCACCCGTATCGAACCAGCCGTCTTCTGCAAGGCTAGATTTGTCGAGCCCAGAACGAAGATATCCGGGGAAAACTGGAAAGCCACGAACGCAGATCCGGCCTGTCTCTCGAGTCGCAACCTTGGCATTTCCAGATATATTCATAATTGCTATCTCGGGGCCTACGCTTTTGCCAGAAGTTCCTGGACGGTCTAGGCCGTACGTCAAAGGCGGTGTAGCAATGGGCATGCATTCTGTCATACCATAGCTTGGTAGTACGGTACACTGAAAAGTATTGCGTAAGTTGGTTGCTAGAGACGGGAGAAGGCCACCAGCAGCATTGCACACAAGGCGTATTTTGCATTTTGAGGATGGAACGGCTCGGTACTCAGACTCGGCGAGAATCATCGCATGCATAGTAGGTGACGCGTAATACCAAGTAGGTCCTTGATTCTCAACTAGATCCCAAAAGAAATTCGCATCGAACCCGGAGCAGCAGATAGTTGAACCGCCAGCCATTACTGGCGCAAACAAGTTTCTGATCAGGCCACCCCTATTCAAAGTTTAGCATAGTCTAAGGGGAATACGTCCGCCAAGAGCATAACTTACACATGGTTCAAGGGCATCATGTTTAGACAACAATCATCACTACTTAAGCCCCATGATTCGATCACAAAGGCGACCCCAGTAAGGATTGTATGAAGCGTGAGAGGAACCACTTTCTTTTTTCCGCTTGTCCCACTTGTAAAGAGCACCAATGCAATGTCATCAGCAGCGTTTGGTACCACCTCCATGCTCTCCTCCGAGACCTCCGGGTTAAGTATGGAAGTCCTAAACGTTAGATTCTCGTCCTCGTTGACAGCCATAACTGAGATCCCATTTTCTGTGATCCACGTCGCATCGAGATTCAGCTTGCCGACATCTTCCTTTCTGATCAAGATGGCCGTTGCTTGGAGCTGAAGGACCTCGTTCACAAATTGCTCAGACCCGACAACGGATGCAAGCGGTGCTGCGGTATAGTGCGCTGCGACTGCGAGGCAAGCCAAGGCTAAAATTGGACCCGTAGGCAGGGCTATCACAACGACAGGTTTCCCTTGTTTCACGGGAGGCAACGGTAGGTGGAACGTGCGCACAAAGTTGTATACACAGTCGTGAGAGATGAACTTGGAGCTGTGAGGCTCAACGATAGCCGGTGTGTGAGCTCCCTGATTGAAGAAACCGGTAACGTCTGGATAAGATTTCTTGATGGCAGCAAGAACATCGTTTAACTCGGCAGTCAAGTCACAAGGACGACCCGCTCTCGCATCCTCTGGGGCATCAAGCCATGCTTTCTGATAGCAACGGGCGAGACGGAAGATAGTGGTTCCCTTTAGGTCGGTCCGAAAAACAGGTGGGAAACGATGCAGGAGGTAATCATTCAAATTAGAGCCAAAGTGATGTTCCAAAACTTTTAAGGGACCACGAGACTCCATTTTGTCGGATACACTCTCATCAACCCGATGCTGCGGTTGAGTGCTTCTCGAAATGCCAATCAAGTCAATATGAGTAAAATCTGCACTCACTATCAGGGTTGGTTTAAACTGACCATTGATTCCTGAGATGAACCTCAGCGCTCACCATTGTAGGAGTTCCGCAATTCCCTCTATAAGAAGAAGAAAAGTACGCACCTTCCGGCTAATAACAAATCCGAAAAAACGCACATGGTGTACTCGAGGGGTCCGGGGCGGTTTTATATGTTGCGGTGATAGAGGTCTTCATGTTGCCCCTATCAAGCTGGTACCCTATCCACCCACGTGCAAACACGCGTACTGGATATAACCTTTCCTAACCATAGAAGAATGGAAACAGAACCAAAGCCACTCGAGGAAGTTGCCGATCGCAGCAGACAGCTGCAGGCCTCCTATTCGAGACCATTATCTGTACCTCTCAAATGGCATGCCCGCTGATCGGCAATTGGGCATCTTGCTAATATGTTCCTGTGATATCAGGTTGTTCGAACAAGCCCATTCTCCACTCCTGAACTGGGTATCTCTGACTGATGACAGCAACAGCAGTGGGCCCGCAGGACATTCTCGTCTGCTTTCGATAAAAGGCCAAAGCAGCAAGCAGGAAGAAACATTATTTTCAGCACCTTCCGGGCATCATCCTAGGACCCTAGGAACATAGGGCTACAGACCCACTGCCAGAGAAGGCAAAGATGGGATTGAGAACGTGGGCCATTATTGCGAATTCAAGCTCCGACGACCGGAAGCTTAGGAATCCATATGCCAATGGCATCGGCCATTTGACGCCATCGATGGCGGATAGCCGTCAAACCCAGCGCATAGACGAGGATACATTGGTTCAACCGTCCTGGAGGCTGGAGCGTTCATGTCCACGGTGCGCTTAGTCAGCGCGTCCCCTGTCGCGCAGCCGCTGCGTGATCGGCAGCTTGTTCCATCGCGTTCCAGGAACCGCCTTGTCGACTTCCTTACATCCGCTTGCCACATTCCCCCGGGTGGACCTTTTGCCAGTCAATTCTGTCACGTTGAAGAGGGATTATTCGGCCAGCAACCGCTTATCAACTCCCCGAATCGGCCATGACGAAACGCGCTCCAGCGAGCCTCGCAGGGTTACTGCTACCACGCCGCGTAATGTCGAAAATCTCCCGTCGAAGAGGATTTTTGTGATATTATGCTCATCGAATTCAAACGATAATTCCCCTGTGGACTTTTCCTTGAATCCTGTTATGATCTCCATCCGATTTTTGCCTAAAACAAATTGAAAAATCCTCAGTGGTTAGGTTTGGCGTTTCGAAACAGGCTGTTCACTTTCCCCTATTTCATATCTATATTATTCCTGGGAATTAGGGGAACTAGAACTCGGCCTTCCTGCCAACTGGCTGCTCTTGCTCTAGGCATGGCAGTCCAGCAACAATGTGAGTAGGAAGATTGATACCTCGACCCAATGATGGCATCAGCGTGGATATTCAGCTGCCAAAAAAAGAGATACCCCTGACAGTTACGCCATCGCTTGTCCAGTTTCTGTTCTGTATTTAGCCAACAAGCAAACTTGTATCCCAGTCTTCTCAAACAGCTCGCCTTGTTGCCACCTCTTGCAAAGCCAGATCACATATCGGGCAAATTTTAACCAGGCACGCTGTGTTCGAGATGCTGGATATGTTCAGGTTTCTCCAAAGAACCAGCCTCAAGCCGGTTCGCTTTCTGCTTCGCAGTTTGTCTCCCAGCCAATGGCGGCTATGGCACTCAGCAGGCTAGTCCACAAACTGAGCAAGACATTGAATTGTGGTAGGGAGTACTACTCCATACCTTGTAGTTGGCCAGGTGGAAGAGGGTGGCTCAAGCTTCACTACATTCATCAATTCATTGTTGGTTAGCTATCCAGCTGTGACTACTCAGTGTCCAACCGGCTGCAACGTCTAAGGTGTGGCTATTTACGAGTGACAAGTTATCAACATTTTCTCAACTATATCACAAAATACAACAGCAAACTCTGTGGAGCCCATGGAACAAACCAGCTATAGGTTGTGAGTGAGAGTGAAGCAGCTGAATGGTGAATGACCTTTCAGCTACCATGATTAGATTGTAGAAAGGCCCACTCCGTACTATACTACTATCATTAACCTCTTTCTGGTGTCATCACTACATATCCAAAATACTTCCTGTAGACTATCTTATTCACTCCCCCAAATTCCAAGTCACTCCGGTAGTTAATTCCTTCTGCAAGCTCCAAAGATTTAAAGCCAGACTCTCAATGTCATGCCAGGCCCTTTTAGCACTATTAATTAGTTAAACTCTTTAGACCTTAAAGGTTTAGTAGCACACACCTCACTTGTATACAATCCCTCAACACTGCTCACATCTTTCCACAGGTCAGCAATGAGCTCTGTTCTCTCATAGCATATGCTATATAACTACTCACTTCTATCACATTTCCCCCTACATTTCTATATTATTAGTAGCTCATTTCTGTTCTGCTTATACATCTATTAGATCTACTTCATCACTCAAACATAAAAGAGCCTCCACTTCTCCATCTTTCTGCTTTATTTTAAAAATAGCCACATATTACAATTCTCAACTAATATCCATCTTCAAAATGCAAAACCAACTTGTCCTCGCTCCATCATCACCTCACAAAAACGGTTCCGGAAATTGTGCGAATCCAAAGAAATGGAGAGACTAATGATGATTGAACAGTATCTTGTGTGACTCATGAGTGGACCCATATCATAATTCATTTGACAACAGTTCCTAACTCATTCCCTTGTTCACAGTCCATTGAAACTTGAAGAGAGGGTCAATCCAGTGATGAGAGCATGAGTTAACTTGCTCATCTCAGAAATCAACAACATAGTCTGAGGGTATTGTCTACACAGTGAAGCACGCCTTATGAGTATCTCCAGGCTGGGGTACTCAGGTGGTGACCAGGAGATGTTGACCGTGCCAACACCAACAACTGCCATAATAATGGTTCAACTGTGAATCACTTGTGGTTGGTCACCATATTTGGCTTCAGAGGAAATTCAAAGACATACTGGCAAGTATTGGATTGCTCTCTGGTGGATGTTTCAATCTTGCAGCTCCAAGCCTGTTGGGTGTATCATTTGCAACAGGAATGAATGCTGATGGGTTTCCAAAGATCAATTCCAGTATTGCTTTCAAAGAAGGACATGATGGTGGCACTCTTGATGATTCCTTATACCTCCAAGAGAGTACAAAGCTCCACACAAGGATCCCAACAAAATTACCAATTTCGAGGGCCCCCAAAAAATAGCAATCGGAGTATCCTGAGGCATACTGATTGGTATGGTTCAAGATATGCCGCTCCTAACACCGACGCCACCGGCTCACTGATTTCACACCAGGGATCATCTTACCGGCTCTGAGTATTCTCACCTCAGAGATCCTTCCTCGTTTACAGAGGGGGGTCTCGGCTATCAATGCCTTCTTTCGCAAGACAGGCGTTTCTCAGGCCACTCCGCGTCGTACCCCCGGTCCCGAGCCGGAAACTCGCGTCGTCCTTGCTTCTCTCTCGCGCCTCGAGAGGACGCTGCGCGTTTTATCGAACAATTTTGCCCGGTTCTTGGAGTCCTCGGGTGTTGAGGCTGAATTCGTTGAGGAGGAGAAGGAGCCGAAGCGAAAAAGCCAGACAGTTGAAGATTTTGTCACTTATAGCTAGTTATGCCATGCATGGCCGTGGGCCCCCCTTTCTGTCAAACAACACTTGCGCTTCGCCTCAAGAACATTTCGTCGAGCTAGTGAAAGGGCAGAACCACGATATCTCTTTACGCATTTTTAGCCAGCGATTGCCGTGCGTCCGGCTGTCTTATCAGTGATCTTCTGCGATCCTCGGGTTCGACATTGTCCACATTGTGGATGAATTAGGGGTTGCTTTTTAAACCTCTCCAGGGACTGCCCACGTTTGGGGTTACCCAGAGCCCATCCCTAGAAAGGATGGTTAAGGGATGCAAGGGCCTGGTTTTTGAGAGGTCAAGCCTAGATATTCAATTAACTAACGGTTTCGTTGGCGGAATCTTCTAAGTGATAGTAACAGTATAAAACCAGTGGAGAACCTCAAGTATATAAGATATGCAGGATTATATTTCTCCTTCATTTGTTCCTAGTAACTACTTTTTTGAATCTATTGTCCTGGTAGCCACCGGCGTCTATCCTTCGACTCGATCAACAAACGATCGACCGTTTATGTGGTATCTTCCCACTTTTTGAAAATCTGGTATTGCAGCCGGGCTTTAATGATGCCCCGACGATAGCTTCCTCAAAGTCGCACGGGAGCCGAAAGCACGATAGATGTGAGGGATATCTTGACCGGTCACAAATAAAATGACCGAGATGAAATCCCCCAATGTCTTCAATCGGGTCAAGTCAGGCCACAATCATAGTCGCATTTGTTATTGTTGTCCGTTTTTAACTAAAGATAGCTTGTCATACTCCTTGATCAATAGCGTAACGATGCTTTCAATCCCTTCATCCGTGCTTCAGGCGTCCAGGAAGGAGGAGCGGGAAAATGCGAGAGCGAAAGGTTTCCGATGGTTTATAGGGGACCATCATATGCCGGACGGAGACAAGCAGCGATGGAGATGTGGAAGGTGGGATGGAGGGAAATTTGAATTTATCTAGAAATGAGGAGGAGATGTCTGCAGTGAAGAGGTGAATATTTGCCTTGTCGCTGGGATCGATCAATAATACTTGAGACTGAAAATAGATATTATTAGCGCGGAGAACACCAGGTCCAGGAGGTAATGGGAAAATACCGAAAAAGTAGGACGTATGTCTTGTTCTTTTGGGCATGTTTGCTGCAGAGCGGACCGCTGCTGCTGGGCCAAAGCAATTAGGAGAGCCAGGATGTACGGATCCTGAAGAGGGTTTGAGGGAGTGAGTTTTTTCAATTTGAGGTCGATCAGAGCACTGGTGGATTTGCTATACCGTCTACCTCCACAAGAGGATACCTTCTGATAGCGTAGGTCTTGGATGCGAGCACAGTCGGTGCATGCAACCACAGCAGGGACGCGTCCAGACAACATGTCGTCATAGTCACTCCCCTGTGGGAAAAAGAGGAGACAAGGAAGAGTGATACGGCGCCGATCAAAGAAAAAGTAGAGATCGTTTCCATGACTGTCCCAGAGTTAGATAGGGGAAATATTGGGACAAGAGTTCTTGGGAGACCAACATAATTGTCAATGGGCATTCGAAACCTGCAAGGACGTCCTCGATTATCACGTCCCGCTGTCCCCAATCATCGTCGTCATCTTTAAAAAGGGATTTGATAGAGTAAGCCCCAGGCATTTTTTGGATGGTATGCGGCCATGACCTTGGGGGCGCGATTGAAGGATGTTCGAAAGAGCATTGTAACAACCCGACATGACGGTCTGTCCAGAGGAGAGGGTAGACGATTAGGCGCTCTCGACAATGCAGACGAGCAAGTTGATAGATGGACAACGCAGCAGGGGGTTGCGTCCGTGATGGGGACCGAGAGTCTTGGGTATCACAACGACTTTTTGCGGTAGTGGGCGAGACCTCGCGAGCATAGGCTTCGTGGCAGCGCTCGCTGGTGGGATCAGCGGGCTTGACCGTTGACATGACTGGCATGTCTATTGAGCTTCTTTGATGGATTTTTGGTAAGATAAAATAGATTGCAAGCACTCGAGGCCCCTTATGATCTTGAGACTTGGCGCTAGTGAAGGCAGCAACAACTCCTGCGTGCTCACCGCTTGTTGACGGCGTGCCATTACAGGCACACTCCGTGCAATGCAAAAGAATTGTACTAGCCAATAAAACAAGTTAGGTCCAAGTTGAGTTGACATAACTAGGTCAGCTAGCTCCCGCGATAGATCATACTTATGACTGTTACAAGAAAGGCATAATGTAGTATGATGCTTAAGTCTACTACCAGGCAAGCAAGTGATTTCACAAGAGGACTTTGAGCTTGTATCAACTAGTGAAAAAGATGCCTATGATAGCTGTGCTTAAAAGGAACACTGTTTTGCCACCTTTCATCGGTCTAGTTGTTCCGGAAAGTCTGAATAGTCAAGGATTGTGCCTATTCAGGGATAGTAATAGGCAAAGATGAGACCAAAAGCGAAATAAATTACTGCCAAAAAATCTATGGGTACAAGGGTATTGAAAAAAAAAGGTAAAAAAAAGAAGATATCAATCTTCAAAGAAATCAAGATGAAACAAAATTTAACCGGAATTTGCTCCATATCAAGGAAACAATATGCTTAGACACTCTCCCCCATGCAAAATTGAGATTTGTAAACCACTTGCAAAAACTGTCAGTAACGCCTTATATTCATTCCCAAGGCTCAGGCTTGAAACGGGCGTGGGTCGAGAATCAGGGCCACCAATTCATCCGGTCGTAACTTCTGATGATTGTTTCTAGCCAGTTCTCGGGTAGGGTTGGAGTTTGGTATGTAAAGCCAGTGGTTTGTTCAAACAAAGAACCGTCAACAGAAAGATCCACGTCTCTGAGTAGCTCCCTATCCAAGAACGGGCTAATGGGCCCCGGCCGTGCGATGCCTTTTGCATTGAGCAGATCAGACCATGTTTCCAGACTCTCTTCGTTCATTTCGTCAACGATCTCGTCTTGGTTGAGCTTGGCAAATTGGGTCATCAATGTTCCCAGGAATTCGCATTCGATGCCAAATGTTTTCGTCAGGGCATTGGCTAAATCACCCTTTTTCGTATTGTTGTGGTCGACAATGTTAAATGTGATGGGGAACGGAGGATCTTCATTATTCGCAACAGGGCCCTTGGTGGCTCGCCATTCTGCTGCAGTCCAAAGAGCACGCACTGCATCTTTCACATATACCGTGTTCATAACTTGATCTTTGGAATATAGGAAGGTCATGGGTTTCTCAAGCTCCTTATGCACCCTTCCAAGACAGATCGCAGGTGTTAAAAATCCCGTATCGTATTCGCCATATATTCGGGGAAATCGTAGTATGCAAAGATTCAAGCCAGGAATCTTCTTCAAGTCCTCTTCTAGCGTGAGCTTCCATTTTGAGATCTTAAAAGAAGGTTTCGCCTTGTCCGTTTCTTTGTGTGGTTTTGAGTCAGGCTTGTATACGGTCGCGGTGGAACATTGGATAAGCACGCGAATTCCCCGTCGGGCACATTCCTTCCCAATCGCAAGGGACGGCGCATAGGTACGAATGCGGTATACATCATCAGACTCGGAAAACCGAGTTTCACCCCCGCAATCAATCACGTAGTCAAACTGCCCTCCATTGGGCCGGTCAAAAATACGAGGGAAGGATTCTGCAGGAATTTAAAGTTAAGGGTTAGTATAAGCGCAGCATGCTTGCACGGGGAGACTGTGGGGAACACACGTTCACGGCTTGCATCAGCCTGCACGAATTTGTCTTGCGAACATGCCTCGCTGAACTCGGGAGCCAGCCAGGCCAGCTGAGGGAGCAATTTATCCACTATTCGAACCTCGGATGCAAGTTTGTTATCGTGGATGTAGAGTGCGAGATGGCGGCCGACGAAGCCTTGTTGAACACCAAATCAGTCGGATTAGCATCCATTGCTCGCAATGAAACCAGTGGCATGGGGCATTTTCAAGTACCTAGACCTCCAATAATCAACACAGAGGGCTTCTGCGACCCAGCCATCGTGTACGAAGAGCGAGACGAGCCCGAAGAGCGCGGCGAAAGGAAACAGGCGGTTGGACGAGAATCTGTCTTGCCAGGCAGCCGTGATTTGTTGATCGCGAATTCAAAGAGGTTGCAATCGAAACGAAGGAGCTTTATTTAGTCCTGCGCTGCCGTGGACGGTTTGGTGAAAGGGCAGGACGAGAGGGCAATGCTTCGAATGTGAAACCCGGCCAACGGAAGAGTTTTAATGCATTTCCGCTTGGTGAAATTAATGCAAGGACGCCCTGTGCAACGACGAGAACAACAGGGACGATTCTGAGAGGGAGAGGAAGCGAATATCCGCGAGAAGACAGAGAAACCAGACGGAGATCTGAAGAAGGGAGGGGAAAACCGGCCACGGAGGAATTATTTATTTTCAAGTGAATCAAGCCCACTTCGCGATGCGCCGCCTGCCTTTAGTCGCATACACTAACCAGTTAACTCGTATGACTAGTCGACTGGCGCTGGGTACGAGATTGTCATCTGCTCTGCCTGCAGAGTTGATTCCTGGAAACGAGCGCCACAGCATGAGGGAATCTCAACGGTGGTGTGTGTCTGGCAGCTCAACAGCCGGCACATCTGGCTCCCAGCGCGTTGTCTGTGCGACACCCCAGTCGCCTTTTTAATTAGCAGAAAGGGGGACAATGCCCGTTGACTCTGGAACGATGTAATATCTCAAGAGGCCCTCGCCACCCGATGACGAGCAGACTCTGGTTTAATCTCCGTGGCCAGGAGGTGTCGCTTCCCTTCACCCAGATGCACTTGATTGCACACAATATAATATCATAATGCCTGTAAACCATCCATTCTGGCAGCCGAATCAACAGCCGTGGTTTCGAATGTCTTCCCTCTTGTTGCCTTACTAGCTTAGCCCTGCATATCCTACATCCTGTGGCGCATTCCTCGAACCCGGGTACCTTTTTCTTACCCCCCCCCCCCCCCCCCCAACCCGAGGCGCAAAGTGCAAAAGGCGTCAGTTCTCCAGCGAGAAAAGTGAAAAGCCCTCTCCTGAGATTTCGGGAATTGCACGCTGCACAGCCAGCTCGGGTTCGCCGTGGGAAGATTGGGCTCTGCTGACGATCCCGTCTGATCACAAGCCGGCTTCAGCGCTTCGTCGTGGGGCCCTGTTTAAGTCTAGGACTCTGGGGATGGGCAACTGATTTCCATGGAACCTTCCCGCGTCGAACTCTAACCGGATGGTTGATGTGAAGGAGCAAAAGCAATATGATGGTTCTGTCAGAAAAGGCTTTGCGCGATTCCTCATTTCACAGTGCAGCAGCCACTGATCCAACCCGGGCCATAATACATAGCAGAGACCGCCTGGATATTGGAGCGCAACCTGCATCCGTTGAGTTATAATTTATTTCCTAGCGATCAGATCTCTTGCCAAGTCGTGACATCCTGGAAGCCGTTCCCACGTGTCTTGGACGCCTTAATCGTCGTATCTGCCGTGAAGGTGGCAGTTTTGCTCGGAAAACGGGCTGCAACCACAAGGCTGGGAGGCCAAATCATGTAGTTATATGGGTGTAGTTACTTGTACTCTGTAGATCCCAAAAACTATCACAGCCCCGTCTGTTTCTTCTCTGATGCAAAACAGGAATCAGACCGCCCCCCATCCATTGGAAACCTCGGATCTACGGAGCAAGCTGGAACAAGTCTCTCTCATGTATATCAACATACGTCAAGCATTTCTTTCCACCAGGAACAAAACATGCGGGTTCCTCAACTCTACATATTTTTCCCACACTAGCCTTATGAGCTGCATGCAACAGCCACGTTGGCAGGTTCTTCCCTTTTTTTCTCCCACCAATCGAGCTTGTGGCGCCGTGAATATTCCCGGTAGCGAGATTGGCAACACGGGGTTGTTGAACCTGCGATGACGACAGAATGCGGTTGGAATGGAGGAAACAGGACTAGCCGAGTGACTGGGATGGTTCCGGGTGCATATGCTGATAAGTTTGGTGGGCTTCTCTTGGAGCTTCTCGCTCTCTCAGTAGTTCGTTATACGAAGGGCCGGCGCGCCAACCGAGGATCAATAGAAAAAGAAAAAACTCTTCGGATCACGGCGGGCTTTCAGGATGGAATGGGGTTCCATAGTTTCGAATCAACTACTATCAGCAATTGGGCCCTTCTTTCGAGATCCATCCGCACAAAAAGCTTTCATTCATGCATTCCCTACGGGGATATACGACAGTATGCGCTCCGTATACGGAGTATATAGATTAGGAAATCGGAGAAAGTTCAGAAAGTCCAAACACCTTATGTATGTTACAAATTCCTCGAATCCTTGCAAACCACATGGAAGCCGTGCACGTTGCAACGGTTGACATCCCTTGCCCCGGGGACATCCAGAGCTGCTGGTGAATTAACCCGTCCCCCGTTCCGGCCATGATATCCCAGTCAGAAGCGTGTTCCTTCCCGCGGGAACCAGGGAATCTATCCGGCAATGCGTCAGGGCGGGTTGCTTCTAGCCCGCCACTTGCACCAGCGGAAAAGTAATATGTCAAATGCAACATGATGGCTTTGACCTGACGGCACAATTTCCAACACGAATGGCCTTCTCATTCTAGAACTCCTGCATAATTAGCTAGAAGAGCAGAAAATTGCAGCTGCTGATTTGTCCTTTGGACACGTTTTTTATTTATGTTTTTCTTTTTTGGAATTACCGACCCAGAAAACGATGACGCCATCGCAGCTTCAATCATTCCATTTCATTTCGCGTTCAACAAGCGCAAAGCATTCCTCAGCTCCTTGACCGCTGTGTTCACGTCATCAAAATTCAACGCCGATACCGCCCATCTCGCATGCTTTTGCGCCTGTGCCATGGCGTCTTCATCAACGACGGAGTTTCCGGTGGTCGCACCATATGACGGCATGGGCTGCACTGGTTTCGGTGGTGGGGGGACCGTAGACGGAGTTATTGATGGCTTTCTTGCATGTGCAATTCTCTCAAAATCCTTTGGGGACGCGGCTCGCGGGGGCTCTTGGGAAGCTACTGCAGGGGGCGGGAACGATTGAAACGTGTTGAGCGAGGGGAAAGCGTTTGGTGGTGCGCCTAGATGCGTCGGCGTTCCCATGCCTGAAGTGGGTGAGCCCGGTGGGAAGTCCGATGGTGCTGCTGGTAGGTCGGGAATGGTGGCTTGAGAGAGATGCGACGGCCTCTGACGCAGGTCTCCATCAAGGTCCATCATACCTGGTATAGAGGGACTTGGAATATTACTCGTAGGTGCACTGGGCGGTTGGCGCTGATTTTCTGGATGTGGAGGAGCCCTGGACGATGACCTCGACGGGTGGATGGATTCATCCGCGGACGACTGGGCCGCTAATCTCCGTTGAACGCTGTCAAAATCATCGGGGACTTCCTCCACTGAAGGCTGCCGCAACCTCCTGGGTGCCGGCATCCCGGAATTGTCAGGGACCTCAATGCTGGGTGTGTTCGACTCCATTGGAACCGTGTCTTCGTTTTCTCTCCCTTCTGCTGCTGGATTTGAGAGATTCGGGTCCTCACCCGCCTTAACAGCCTTTGCAATTCGTAAAGCGTGGAACTTGGCAAATTTGATCTTCGCGGCGGTCTCGGGATCAATTTGTCCCCATATCTGACCGAGTTCTAAGAAAGTCGCCGCCGCTTGAAACGTGTCTGCAGTTTGCCTAGATCAAAGTAATCAGCCTAGCGCAAGCGTGGGAAGAGTATAACCCATACAATGACGCCTTATTTGCTCGCACAGCGTTGTCTGCCCGGTGAAATGTCTCTAACCCAAACTGTTCAACATATGCCTGACCAGCCGTATCATCGGTGACGGAATCATCATCTGCATGTTGAGCCTTGAACTACTCCGAGAAAACAACAAAGAAAAGGCAGGGTGACGAAATTAGCAATTAATTTCCCTGATTTTGAACAGAACGGCAAAGTCAATTCCTAGCAGAGGTGAGGGGCTAATCTCTAACCTGCTCCAATTTGTCCATCAGGCCAGTCGTGAATTTCAGACATTCCTCATCGGACTGGTGAAGATTCTTTGATAGTATTTGGTTGACGATCCAGTAATTGCCTGCAAAGACGGTCAATCAGCTCGTTTCTCGCTTTGGATGCTGGTCATCGCGCTCATACACCAATACCATATCACTGGCTTTATCTTCTCGACCTGATGAGCTCGAGTGGCAAATCGAGTTATATCGGCGGCTTTCAATTTCTCTGGGATGTTAGTTGGCATTATGGTGGTGGTGAAGCTGTCTGCTGCAGCAATGAGCTTCTGAGATAGTATATATTAAACGTATTGAATTGTCAATCAAGGGCCTGCTGCTGAGCTGAGCTGCGGAGCTGTTGGAGGCTCGAGAGTGATATCATGTCCCCCCACCGACCTCAGGTTGCTGCTTAGTCATCAGACTCGCTGTTTGAGTTAGTTGACTAGAGAACGGAGTACATGAAGCAAACAAATCATGATATGTCAAGGAGAAATGTTTTCCATATTATCCTCAGTTAGGGAGCCTATCATCCCTACTCGACTCTTTCACGAGAAACACTGGGACCTATCTGAGGCTTTTTTGCGCCTTTGCTTAGAGCCTGAGACCCTTCTAACTCCGTAGTAACAATGAATCAAGTACTGCATACACTTCTAGCTCCTTATATTTAAGCGTCAGGCATTAAAATAGGAATTCCATTCACTCTTAACCACAAGTCCAGTTTATGTCGAGTCACAGTGGAAAGTCAGCCATCCCCAACGCCCCAAGCACCGACTTCAACCCGTTCCTCTGATAGGATTTCTACTTCAATATGATCCGTTACCTGTCCTCCCGGTCCTCCAACGCGTTCTACAACCAGCCAGATACCCCCGTTATCTCCCATATCTGGGTGTAAATCAACTCTTTCAATCCGAGCCCCGGTATTCGTATCACTAAAGTCTCCACCACCCGAGGCGGCGAGAATCTCTTTGTATGGTCCCTGCCCTAGTTCAAGCGTCATGAGGATAGGAGACGGCGCTACCACTCGATTCCCAATCCATGAGCCCTTGCGCCGAGCGATCAGCTTGAGCCGAGAAAGCCGCAATGCAGTGATCGGAGTGAGAATCCGATCGGTTCCGGGGGAGAAAGTCCCAAGGCCAGTACTCATGACCAGACGCCCTGCTCCTTCTCTTGGTAACGGTTTCACTTCGCATGGCTGAGTCGACGAGACCCGGAGGGTGAATTTACCCAACTGGTCGGGTGCAAATGTTGAGCAAACGAGTGTATACGTTCCTTTAATCATTGCGTCCCCTTCAGCCAATGCAAACCCGCGGCGATAGTCACCACTATCGCACACAATATCCCGCGAGCGAACTTCGGATACCCTTTCACCATTCGACCAGAAAATTTTCACATGGGTCGCTAGTTCAGTATTTTCCGTCTCCAGCAAAACGGCAACATCACAGTCTTCCACTATTTTCAGTTTGAATTGAGGATTTGAGGGGTACCTTTCAGATTCAGCATTGCCCCCTGCTGTAGACAATGTCCACGCTGCTTGAAACCTCCTCACATGTGCGTACTTCTCTGTGGCAGGTGCGATGCTCAAGGGCGATATAGAGAACCCGGAGAGAGAGAAGCTGTGATTTGAACGGTGAAGTGACTGTTCCGCAACGACAGCAGTATATGTGGTATTTGCAGGCATCTCCAGACGTAGCAAAGTGTTTGGAGAATCAACATATGGGCTTCGTTGAATGGCACCATCACTCAGATATACTCTTTGCCCGTGTTTATCAAACAAGTACATGCTAATAAAACCGGGTTCATCAACTTCCGAATCTAAAAGTTGATTAACGGCTTGCGAAGACTCTCCGGTCTTAAAATGTTTGCTCAATAAGAGCCATACTTTACCGCCAGATTTGCTTGTCACCGCGAATTGTGGATTCTCTGTGAAACATCCAGCAACTGAGGATACAGTTGACAGGTTCCATCCAAAGTGGATATCTTGCCGATACTTGAAAAGGCATGGGTTCCAGTTGAGATAAAGGTTTTCAAAGTTTTGAAGCATTTCATCACAATCCATCCAGAACGTTCCAGGGGAGAGTGGAGATCGCTGAGGGGGCCCGAACTCAGACTCCATTTCCTGCAATGCGGAGATAGCAGAGGTCCCGCTGATACCTGTCCATACAGCGCCTCCCGCCCAGGGATTCTTGATTAACAATTGCCGTTTCCCGTCTCTGTCTTTCATGTCTAAAATGGCATAATCATGGAGGCCAATCAGGCCAAGTTCTCTCTCTTCTCTCATTGTCAGTTTCCCGGTACCAATCGTCAATAGTACATCGGCTGCGTGGAATGAGTTGTACAGCCGATCCCAGAGCTGGTTAGAGGTTATTCCATCGTGATGTAGGAAGATCTGTTCAGGTATCCACCCAGTAAGAATCCACATATCTGTCCCGGAATTGCTACCTGGGAAGTTATAGCCGCCTCTCACTTTTAGATAGGCCTTTTCGACCAGCGCTGGCCAAATTAACGTAGGGCTGTTCCTGTCAATAACGTAAAGAGACCTAGATGATTTTGACGACGGCAGGCGGTCGTCGATGACCACCTTTCGATAACATCCATTAAAGTGCATACGAAATACGTACTTGCCGGAGGGTGATATTTGGGGTAGGTATGTATCCAAGTTACGAGGATACATTTTCACAGTCGAAACCAACTGAGAGAAGTCAGTTAGCATAAATAAAGATGTTCTGCGGCTTGGAGAAGAATACCTGAGAATAGCCGCGGGCGTCTCGAGAATCTCCAGCGCATAGACTTGCAACAACGGAGCAATCTGTTGTCACATCTTGAACCAGGTCCATTGGCTTCTCGCTGACCATAGTCAGGTTTCGGTCGCCCTCAAGGCTCTGTAAACCAAGTTCAAAGGGCCGTTTCCAGCCATTGAATATCTCCCGCTGCGATTTGGAAAGGTTAAGCTCAGTGCAGTCCCTAGTACGATTAGTACTGGTTGTTGGGGTCTAACACATACGCAGGATGCTCACGTAAAAGGCTCACCCTCTTCATCAAGCTCAAACTCTTCCGGGTCAGGTTGTGCTGACCAAGGGGGGAATACACAACCGTTCAGCTTCGAGTTTTCCAGCAATATAATCTGTTCGCGATTAGAGAGTGTGCGTGTCGAGACCGGCTCCCTTTTCTGCGGAGCATTGGCCTGTCCTCGACTGCCTCCCCCGGAAAATTTAATTTGTTCAGCAAACGCAATATACTTCTTGCAATTGGCATCGAGTGATGCTTTTTCCTTGGAGTCTGTAGCTAGCTTAAGAGCATGCATATAATGCTCAGCTGCCTTGATCGCGGCGTCTAAAGCCTCACTATGAGTGGTTGCGGTTAGGACATCTTTCCCAGCTTGCTGAAGGTGAGGGGTTAGTGAGAACAGAAGCACCTCGAGCGACTAAATGCACGATCGATCGTACCAGGGCCTTGGACTTTGCCTCCTGTAACTGGGACATGGCTGGCAGTCGGACTGTCGTTGAAATCAGACTTCTTTCCTCGGTGTCGAGGTTCCCACCGCTAACTAGCCAAGCGCGGCGCGCTTATGGGATTGAAGGTTCTGTTCGTCCGTTTGTTGCTTCTTCAGTTAGCTGGTTAACTAGTTAGTTGGTTGGTGGGGATGGATGGATGCGAATGATCAAGGAGTGAGCTAGGTTGATAACTCAGGCACCAGAAGCCCCGACACCCGAGGTGATCGTGACTGGCTGTTCGTCCCCCAACCCGGGCCTGCGGAGTTAGCTGCACGTCGAAGTTCAACAAGGCCTGTCGATGCGATTAACTCTTCCCTTCGAGTCGGCGCTTTCGAAACGCTACGACCTGCTGACCACAGTGTGCAGTATTTGTGACTGACTCTCGAAGAGAGACTCCTCGCACGGCGTCGCTGGCGGTTGATTCCCGGCAGGCGGTGATGCCTCGGCTCAACGCCGACTTCAAGGTTTCCGTTGATCCCACCGTCATCTCGCTGCTGCTTGGGGCTTCGCCATCTGGACATTTGCCGACGGAATCTTCCCTTTTTCACTAGCAGTGATCTCTCGTCTATATTGTCTGTATACTTGCACTCGACTCCCTCCACCCGTATAGTGAATCCCTCGCGCCTGGTTGAGAAGTCCGTTGCGATAAACGAGATTCGGTCATAGTCCTCTCACACACGTCTCCGTGCCGTTTATCGCACTTCCTATCGCAGGACAAAACAACGCAATAACAACAGCAAATTCACCGGATGTCTGGGCAATCAAAGGCGCGGCTGGCGCCATGGGAGAGTGCTGTCGCTGGTGCGGCTGGCGCCGTTCTAGCAAATGCTATTGTGTATCCTCTGGATATGTGAGCAAAAGTCCAACATCCAATGCTGAGGCCCAACACCGGTTGACATGATGTGTGACAGTGTGAAAACTCGCTTGCAAGTCCAAGTAAAATCTACGAAGTTGACGAATGGAAATGCCAACCACGATGACCATCAACACTACGACTCCACGATTGATGCGATTAAGAAGATAGTTGCCCACGAAGGCATCGAAGGCCTATATTCCGGGATTCATGGCTCCCTTGTTGGCGTGGCGTCGACTAATTTTGCGTATTTCTACTGGTATTCAATCGTGCGAACCCTCTATATGAAATCAAGCCTTCCTCATCCCCCAAATACCGCCATTGAACTATCCTTGGGTGCGATCGCAGGAGCTATCGCCCAAGTCTTTACCATACCAGTCTCTGTCATTACGACAAGACAACAGACGCAAAAGAGAGGCGAAAAGAAAGCTTTTATGGAAACTGGAAAAGAAGTTATTAATAGCGAAGACGGCTGGAGTGGATTATGGAGAGGCCTGAAAGCCAGTCTCGTCCTTGTTGTAAATCCTGCAATCACGTACGGCGCCTATCAAAGGCTGAGGGATGTCATATTCCCCGGCAAAGCAAACTTGCGGCCGTGGGAAGCTTTCGGTGCGTAATTTCCATTACACCTGATAGGCAACTCAGCTAATATATCGCATAGTTTTGGGAGCGTTATCGAAGTCACTTGCTACCATTGCGACCCAGCCATTGATTGTTGCAAAGGTTGGCTTGCAGTCTCGCCCGCCTCCATCAAGGGAAGGAAAACCTTTCAAGACTTTCGGCGAAGTTATGGCGTACATCATTGAACATGAAGGTCTTCTAGCTCTATTCAAAGGAATCGGACCTCAAATCGTCAAAGGAGTTTTGGTCCAAGGTTTGCTGATGATGACCAAAGAAAGGTAATGGCTCCCCTCGCTCATAGAACGCATTAACTAACCTATACGACTTTAGAATCGAGCTACTATTCCTTGTATTCTTCGCCTATCTTCAAAAGGCGAAAAAGAATAAGCTTAAAGAATTGGCTAATGCCGCCTCGGAAAAGGCAAAAGGCTCTCTGCCACTCACGACGAAATAGACGGCTGCTAAATCCAAGTGATGTCCCTGGTTGGAAGGAGGATCTTGCTCCAAAGCGCCCTGGTGTCTGTGTATTCAGGTTGCTCGTTCTTTTCAGTGTATATAAGATGTTTGGCCTATCTGCATCTATCAGACATGTCTGGCGGTATTCGAAATTTTTGAACAGCGGAGTTGGACCGAAAAAGCAGAATCTATGTATATGTATTATGGTCCTTAAATAGAAGACTATAACAATGCAAATAGACCTCTCAAACCTCTACTCCCGTGTTGCGCTAGTAGAGTCGGACTAACCTTTCCCTTGTATGGCAGGAGATTGAGTTAGCCAGAGCTTTGGGCAGGGTTCGCACCACGATACAAAGCAAACATTACTACACTCCAACTCGCAACACCAAGTTCAACATCGAGCAAGAGGACAATCCTATACAATAACGAGCAATTTGCATCAGAGCCCCAAGCCAGTCATGAGATGGCTGTTCTGGGCGTCACCACCGCAGAATGACTCCCACGATGCCAGCCCCAACGCCCACCCTCGGCCCATAAAACCGCAGCGCCGCGAAGCGCACCAGGACCACACCCCAGCTCCAGGTCAAGCGGCCCCGGAGCCCACAATATCTAATGCTCAGTCTAGCAGAGACTGGAATTCCTCACTCAATGCGACGGACTGGAAGCAATTCACTGAGCCGAAGACCATCATTCCCACTGCGCTACTGACGGGCGGGATCCTGCTCTGTGTTCACATTCACCGCAAGTATCTCCGGAGGATACCGGAGGCGGGTTACATCTCTCCCTCATACTTCAGACGACGGAGTTTACTGGGCAAGGTGACGAGCGTTGGGGACGGTGACAATTTTCGCCTGTACCACACCCCGGGTGGTAGGTTGGGTGGATGGGAGTGGCTGCGAAAAGTACCAACCGGGAAGAATGAATTGCGGAATAGGACTGTATGGTTTTACCCCCTTTGTTTAGGCTCCGTGTCTGTTTAGAAAGGTCCCTTTTTTATCGAAGAATACTATCCGTTCTAACCTTCGTTCTACCTAAACAGATCCATATCCGCCTCGCCGGTATCGACGCTCCTGAGCTCCCTCATTTCGGCCGCCCGGCCCAGCCGTACTCCCACGAGGCACATACCTGGTTGACAAACTACCTCCTCAATCGGCGCGTACGAGCTTTTCTCTACCGTCCCGACCAGTATGGCCGCGTGGTGGCCACCGTGTACGTCCGTCGCTGGCTCCTGTTTAAGCAGGATGTAGGACTGCAGATGCTGAAGCAGGGCTGGGCGACGGTCTACGAGGCGAAAACGGGCGTGGAGTTTGGTGGGGCGGAGTTGGAGAGGAAGTATCGTGATGCGGAGGCTTGGGCGAAAAGACGGGGGCTAGGGCTGTGGGAGGGTTTGAAGGGGAAGAAGAAGGAGAAGTGGGAGAGTCCTCGGGAGTTTAAGACGAGGATGGCTGCGGAGGAAGCGCAAAGGAAGTGAAGATTTACTACCTTTGACTACCCCCGTCTTGTTGTTTGAAATGGGCGCTCTGGACTAAGCAAGCTATGGAGTTGGTGGAGTTCCTCTTCGACTTTCAAAGTTGGGCTGATACCCGTCTGTATACGACTTTATGACACGGCGATGATTTGGCTATGTTTGATGATATGAACTGTAACCTGGTCTGAATCATTTTCAATATCAGGGAAATATTTACGGTTGGTTACGTTCATAAATTTCAATAAGTGGTAGTTCTGTACATATCCAAAAAGCAACGAAGTGCCCAAAGCCTCTCATTCAACGCCGACACTGGACTATACCGATATCCGATACTAACCTAGCCAGTAATTCGAACGGCACTTTTGAAAGTAAACTTATAAATTATACAAATCCCCTCGAAAGAAACTGTCAACCGAATCTTCTTTCAATCTCAGCGAAGAGCTTCGGGCTGATTTCATCACTGGTGTCGCCCTCAACCCGCCACAAGCATCCCTGCTTCTCGTAGTGATTGAGTAACGACCGGCTGGTCTCCTCAAACTTCTTCAGCCTTTGTTTCCAAACATCAACCGAATCATCTTGTCTTTGAACCAGAGGTTCTCCGGTTATATCATCCTTCCCGGGTACCTTTGGCGCATTGAAACTTGTGTTATATACCCGACCCGAAGCTGGGTGAACCCATCGAGATGCGATTCGAGATATTATAACGGCGGGCGGTGTAAGGAGGTGTACAACGAGATTGATAGGGACTAAGCTCTCCAGGCTGGATGCCTGTGTCGCCGTTCGGGGAAACCCGTCGAGTATGAAAGACGCAGAAGGGTTCAGTCCCGCCGCTTTTGTCGATGGGGATGCTGATGGGGTGGGCTTGGAAAGCCAGCCTTTGGATACGAGTTCGGAGGATATCAAATCCAGTATCATTGCATCTGGGACGAGCTTCCCGGCTTCGATGGCGGACTGCGCTTGAACGCCTATATACGGTGTATTAGCCCCATTCCAGAGCAGGCATAGGAAACCAGAAACTGATATACAAACCTAACGGCGTCTTATTACGGACATGATCCCGCAGCAGATCTCCCGAGCTTATGGAGGCCAATTGGGGAAATCTCTTGATCAGTCTTTCGGTTTGGGTACCTTTCCCAACACCAGGTGCGCCAACTAGAATAATCCGAGCAGCTTTCTTCAGTTTCCTGGTGAGAACTGTCATTTTAGATTGTAATAGCTGGAGTGCTTGATCTGTCGCGGATTATGAGTTGTGGTGGAAAGAGGCGTTATGATTCGGGGGAGCGGAGGCGAGAGACGGCAGGAAACGGACGAGGGATGTGAGCTAAATCATCTTGACTCCATGGCCAAAACTGGGCCCGAGGAAAGTCCAACGAATAATCTCGACTACGAGATTGCGGGGGGAAGCAAGATACTATATATAATCATCTGGTGAACAATGGAAAGTCCTTCAGTCCGCGATCAAGAATCACGAAGATAGCCCGGGCGAAATGCGCCGGATGAGTCAGCCTGCGAACCGTGCACGACAGAGTTTCACGTGAAGGACAGGGATCCACTCAGGCACACGGCTTGGCATTGCCGACTTCGGCGCGGGAGAGCCGATCGGAAACAAATTCACGTTGACCGTTGAACAGCTAATCAAAGGAATATTCTATGCACAACTCTTGAACCCTCGTGGAAGCGCGTTCCCACTTCCAAGTTCCTGCTGGTTTTGCAGCTATTATTTAGCACTTTTTACAGAATCCGATGGGTGGATATGATGGCTCAACCAAGTCTTCCCCGCTGGACAAAGAATGACGATATTGCCTCAGGTCGCCGGAAATGGGAAGAGCTGGGGTTTTCTGACGAACCGAGGCAATATCCTTGAGGGATTGAAAGCAAAGATTGGTGCACGAATCCACTGAGCTATCTGCGATGGAACACACGGAAGTCATGGGATGGATGTGCAGTCTCGCATCAATGTCGAGTGTTGCCTTCGCCTTGGGAAGGAGATGGCAAAAACCGCGTCTCATCAAATAACCCTCGGATTGGAACTACTTCTGGAAATGCGGCTTTGCATATGGAGGTGAAAATCTTGGCTTATCACTCACGGCGTTTGCTGCCTGAAGATTTACGTTCAAAAAACGATCTCTTTACAGTACCCGCGATATTCCGGCTTTCGGAAGAGCAGACTATGTCTTGCCTCATGCTGCCAATAATTGGCACTGTTATCAGGCAAGATGGTCAGCCCTGTCCGGTTTCAATGCCACCCTGTCTAGTACCGCCAATTTCCATTAAGGTGATATGACGATTTAGTTGATAATGCTCGAAACGCGCTTGATAATACTCCTGTTTGAAATATGGGATTCAATCGATACTCCTGGCTTAATTACGAGCAAGGTGACTCCCAGCGGATAGATTCTGATGACGGTGAAGAGATGCCAGCTGAAGACTATGAGAAACCGCTACCTGAGCTTACTGACACAGGAGGCCCACCGGCTAGTTTACTCAACGCTCTTTCTTGATCGGGGAACTTCGCGTCCAGTTAACTCGAGCAGATGTTGTTCTGAATATTGCCGACATCCAATCAACAGCGACGACATGGCATCTTCCTTTCTTTGAAGTGCCAAATCGCTCCCCCGGAAACGAAACACGACGAATATCACCACCTGGAGAAAATACGCAAGTTAGTGATCAAAAGGTGTGTCCTGCGGTGTGGTTGATGATTCGAAAGAGATGAATGATGCAAAACGATCCATAATATATCGATTTCCAATTTCCACAAAAGATCAGGAATATAGAGGGCCTGTGTCCCGCGACATTCGACACTTACCTTCCAATAGGTACAGGATGAAGCACTTTTAAGCTGTGCAAGAGGTCTACATTTCACCCTTGGTGGATGAGGGATTCCTTGCTGCTCGTGGATAAGCAGATAAGAGACTTAAGCCAGCCCTTGCTCCGTGTTTGATAATTTGGATTACTGAAAAGGGACTGTTACGTCTTATGGACGAAGACCGTATTCTGGTCTTGGATGCAAAACTAGTTCATTGGGATCTAGTTTTATGTTTGAGCGAAGCATAGATACTCTCGACTGCAGGAACTCTTGCATACATGTAGACTAACCAAGCGGGTTCTAAGAAGCTAGTAAGCCAATGCCTCAATAGCAAAAGGCAATAATCTATCAATATTCGAATGAGTTTTATCGCAAGTTGTCTCAGGAATCAACAACTTGACGATCACCCCACCACGTGACCGAGCGTTTAGGCATCGCGTCGCGACGCGTCGTTCGCTTAATTGAAATTGAGCAACACCTCCGGGCCGGCAACATCAACAGCCTGCTGCATCGACGTTTGGCAAGATGTTTCAATACGATAAGAGTCGGATCGATACAAAGCGGCGTGCTGGCCTTGATTATAAACGGAAACAATTCGCTACCCCAACTTATAAGCAGCAGGAATATGTTCACCGGCTTAACTTCTATGAGATCCCACCGACCGCTGAAATCACTCTTGAACAATTCGAACAATGGGCGATCGATCGCCTGAGAAGTACGTGACTACCTGCTGCAACTTGTGACTGGTTAATCTAGGGCTCATAACTCGCAGTTCTTTCGGAGCTGGAAGCATGCTCCTATCGAAACAAGACTCCAGCAGAAACCGCCGCACATATCACGCCTCTTCTCCAAAAGTTCCTCCCTCTCCATTCAAACACAGCTTCTAGCTCGGGTGTAGACCAAAGGCTGAAAGATGAGAGACAAAAAGATCACTACTCCCATTTTATACTGCGTCTGGCTTTTTCATCGACCGAGGACCTGAGACGACGATTCGTTCGGCTTGAGGCAATGCTTTTCAAGTTTCGCTTCCAGCAAGATGACTCGAAGGAGCGCCGGGCCTTTGTGGAAAGTCTCAACTTTGACTGGGATATACTCGCCGACGAAGAGAAGCAAGAATTGGGAGAAAGCCTTCTCAATGCAACTCCTGGGTTGAAACGGACTGATGACGAAGGATGGTTCAAGGTAGACTGGGAAAGGGTGCCGGAATTGGTTGAACGCAAAGGAATACTTGTCAAGAAGGGCAAGGCATATGTTCCGCTCCGGGAGCAACTAAGCATGATTCTTGCCGAATTTAATGCTAGGCTGGAAAAGGCGCTTGAGGTTGGTCTAATATGAACCGCTTTCTCCTAAATTGGTGCTTCTACTGATCTCAAAAGTTCACTAGTCGCGCTTTACCGCGCCTGGATGAGGACGATCGCCTCATCCCGATCCTTGACCACCTCTCGAAGAACTTTGGAACGTCGGATACTTCATACACCGATGGCGAAGGTGCGGTTCCTGGAGCTGCGATTAATGCTGCTTCCGTCGACGCATTATCTCGTCACTTCCCTTTGTGCATGCGAAACCTACATATGCAGTTACGGAAGAATGCGCATCTCAAACATTTCGGCCGACTTCAATACACGCTGTTCCTGAAAGGAATCGGGCTATCGCTTGAGGACTGTTTAATATTTTGGCGACAATCCTTCAGAAACATTAACGATGATGAGTTCAACTCAAAATACAGGTATAATGTTCGACATGCCTATGGCGATGTTGGGGGTGATGCCAATCGGCGAGGGAGAGGTTATCCTCCATATTCGTGTCAAAAGATCCTCACCGATAATGCTCCGGGCGCTGGGCAAACTCATGGGTGCCCATACCGTCACTTTTCAGTCGACAACCTGATATCACTACTTCAAGCTACCGGGGTGAACGATAGGGAAACATTACAAGGCGTTCGAGAAGATGTGGCAAAAACGCGGTATCATATTGCTTGCAATCGTGTTTTCGAATACGTGCACAAGGATGACTTGAAAAAAGCGAAGGATGAAGGGATAATGAATCAAGCTGACCTTGACACGATTGTCCATCCCAACACATATTTCAAGCGAAGTTACCAGTTGAAAAATCTGGGGAAGCTGTCGAAGGCAGATGTGGAAATGACAACATAGTGATATGGTTATGATCGTACGGCTTATTGATGGCATGATGGCAGTCTTCTACTTTTTAGGGAGTCAATAGGCGTTTTGTTAGTAGATATATCCGAAGGTCGGGCGTTAGGGAGAATATCAAATTGCATCCTGTAACTAATCGAGTCGGTGTCGCATTGCGGGCCAAGTATCCTTGGTGAAATTCTTTCGTTATATCTCGATTCAAGTCAATTCGCACACTCGTAGAGATAGAACAGGCCTCCACTCACAGTCGAACGAATCGCTTTCTGTTACCGCGGCTGATTCCCGATCCATCGTAAAGCATCAGAATGAGCTTTCAAAACCAGGTGCCCAGCGATGGGTAGTACTTTTATCTACGCCGAACGCGAAAACAGCAACGTCATAAGAAAAGACGGGAGCTGATATCAGTAATCGGCGTTGTTAAAATGTAGATGAAGAAGAAAAAGAGAAAGGAAAAAAGTGATCGAGGGTTCAAGTTGGAGTTTTTAAAGCCTGCACTAGCGTGTGCTACGGCGGACCAGAGCGACCACAAATCCTGCAACCTGGCTTCATCCCTCCAGGTTGACCTCATGAACCGCATGACGGTCCACCACACTGTCGTTGCACCCTCGGCCATTGACGCAAACCCGTTATCCACGCTGCTTGAGGAGATTATGTTCCAGGCCAGCCTGTGCTGATATTGTTTTGGGATTTTTCGCATCTCTTCTCACTGGCATCTCAGTGAACTCGATCCATCCGCGATTTCACCATGGATTACGAAGCGTTGAAGGACCAATGGAGTGAGATTGAGGATAGAGATGGGATCCGGCTGAGCTGGAATACTTTTCCAAGCACACGCATGGTATGAAAGCCTCCGAATTGGATCCCCCGGACTCCGTTGCTAATGGAGCGAGACAGGAAGCATCCCGACTCGTCGTACCAATCGGAGCCATCTACACGCCCTTGAAAGAGAGAACGGATTCTCCATTGCTACAATATGAGCCGGTGACTTGCAAGCAACCCTGTAGGGCGGTCCTCAATCCATATGCGTATGTGATTGCCCTTCGCGAACATCGACCAGGGCAGCCCACTAATTTGTTATAGTAATGTCGATATCCGTGCGCGCATTTGGATATGTCCGTTCTGTCTCCAGCGCAACCCTCTTCCTCCACACTATAAGGATATTACGGAAAATGCGATCCCGCCAGAGCTGCATCCCCAGAGCACAACCATCGAATATCAGCTAGCACGTCCCGCGCCCGCTCCCCCCATTTTCCTATTCGTCGTGGATACCTGCCAAGAAGATGATGCTTTGAAGGCTGTCAAAGACTCTCTTGTCATGAGCTTGTCATTGCTGCCGCCGAACGCGCTTGTTGGCCTTATCACTTTCGGAACTATGGTAAAGTCACCCAGGTCTTTATGCGAGTACACTCTGTTGACTTTGAACAGGCACAAGTTCATGAGCTCGGCTACACGGAATGCGCAAAGTCCTATGTATTTAGAGGCAGCAAGGACTACACCGCGAAGCAAATTCAAGAGATGCTTGGCCTTCTCGCACCTGGCCTTCGCGGACCAGTACCACCACAGCAGCCTGGCAAAATCGCCCCACCAGTTTCGCCAGCAGCACGTTTCTTACTTCCCGTACAACAAGCCGATTTCCAGATTACCAATGTGCTCGAACAGCTTCAACAGGACCCATGGCCTGTTGCGAATGATAGGCGTCCCCTGCGTTGTACCGGTGTGGCTCTTAGTGTCGCAATTGGTCTGATGGAAACCTCATTCCAAAATGCAGGCGGCCGCATTATGCTCTTCACCAGTGGTCCCGCCACCGAAGGCCCAGGCTTGGTAGTAGGACCGCAATTGAGGGAGCCTATGCGTTCTCATCATGATATCGATCGTGACAATGTCAAGTACTACAAGAAAGCAGTCAAGGTACGTCATCCGATGCTTTCGATAGATAATGACGGCTGACATGTAGTAGTTCTACGATTCCCTAGCTAAACGTGTCTCTCACAACGGTCACGTTGTTGACATTTTCATTGGGTCCCTTGATCAAGTCGGCCTCCTTGAAATGAAGGGCCTGGTAAATTCGACCGGTGGCCACATGGTTTTAACAGATGCCTTCACTTCGTCACAATTCAAGCAATCATTTGTACGTGTCTTTGATAGAGACCAAAACGATAACCTCGTGATGGGTTTCAATGCGGCATTGGAGGTTCTTACGACAAAGGAGCTTAAGATTACAGGCTTGATTGGACACGCCGTCTCATTGAACAAGAAATCAAGCTCTGTTGGCGAGACGGAATGTGGAATCGGTAATACTTGCTCCTGGAAGATGTGTGGAATTGACCCAGCCGCAAGTTACGGTATCTACTTTGAGATTGCGAATCAGGGAGGTCCTGCGCCCATGCAACAAGCGCCACACAAGGCGATGATGCAATTCTTGACATATTACCAACATTCTTCTGGGCAATACCACCTCCGAGTCACCACTGTTGCTAGGCCATTGAGTAGCCCCGCAGGGGACTCCGCCCTTGCCCAATCGTTCGATCAAGAGGCTGCCGCTGTTTTGATGGCTCGTATCGCTGTGTTCAAGGCTGATGTTGACGATGGACCGGATGTTCTTAGATGGGTTGACCGGATGCTGATAAGACTCTGCTCTCGCTTCGCAGATTACAGAAAAGATGATCCAACCTCATTCCGATTGGAGAAGAATTTCACCCTCTATCCACAGTTTATGTTCCATCTTCGAAGGAGTCAATTCTTGCAAGTCTTCAGCAATTCCTCAGACGAGACCACATTTACCGGCATGTTTGATCATGAGTCCGTTAATGATGCGTTAATCATGATCACCCACCTAGACTCTATCGCTGACAGATGTGCTCAGCTGCACTCGTGATCGCTCTATCAGCAGCTCATATGCTTCTTCTCGACACATTTTTCCACAATTTTATCTTCCACGACGAAACAATGGCGGCATGGAGAAAAGCAGGGTACCAAGACCAAGAGGGTTACGAGAATTTCAGAAGTGTCCTAGAACAACCGAAAGAAGATGCCAGGGTATGGCGCATTCAAAGCAATATAATCTGCTGCTGTAGTTCTAACAATCTCACAGGAACTCATTCAAGACCGTTTTCCGCTCCCGCGATTCATTATCTGTGATGCCGGAGGCTCCCAAGCTCGGTTCCTTCTGTCGAAACTTAACCCGTCTACAACTCACTCCAGTGGCGGTTATGGTGGTACCCAATCTGGTCAAACCATCTTTACTGACGACGTTTCCCTCCAAACCTTTATGGAACACTTAATGAAGTAAGAACACACTCTCGTTCGTGTAAATGGAGAGTAACTAACGAATTCAATAGGCTAGCGGTGTCGGGCACCAATTGAGGCGGTTGATAAGCAATTAGCAGAGTTTTACCTAATAGGTATATCATCTTACTATGTACTCCGTATGAAATCCTAGTTATACTGTCCAGGCTTTTTCATTTCTTGAGCATGTCAGGTTGGCGCCTGGGGTATTCCGTAGATGCCCAAAATCAGCATGCGGTGCAACGATTTTCCGGCCAGTAAAAATAATCACGTGATATACCTTGCCCTAGCTTATTGCAAGTTCGCTTACGAAGTAGTTTTAACGAGGATCGTCGTCGGCGGCTTTTCTCCTTTCCTCAACCAACTTCAACAAACCTCAAGCACCAAGGAAGATTGACCACCTTTCGCACTCGCCATGCGTAAGTATCGTCTTCTTGAGTGTCACAACAATGGCGGCTGACTGGTCTGTTTTGCATAGCTCCCAAGTTCGATCCCAGTGAGGTGAAAGTCATGTAAGTTCATCTGTCCTCTTGAGTGGATTTCGACCTGGATACTAACGAGGCAATAGCCACCTGCGAACCACAGGTGGTGAGGTTGGAGCGCAATCCGCTCTTGCTCCCAAGATTGGTCCTCTTGGTCTCTCTCCCAAGAAGATTGGTGAAGATATCGCCAAGGCCACTGGCGACTGGGTACGTTCAGACAAATCCCCGTTGCGGCACATGGATATTCAAAACTCGACGCAAAAACAAAAATGGAAGACGATAACCGCCGCTAACGCTTTGGGTTATCACAGAAAGGTCTTCGCGTCACCGTGAAGCTTACCATCCCAGAACCGTCAAGCTGCGATCTCTGTCGTCCCCTCAGCTTCGTCCCTTGTCATCAAGGCCCTCAAGGAACCTCCTCGGGACCGCAAGAAGGAGAAGAACATCAAACACTCCAAGTCTATCCCTCTCGATGAGATCATTGAGATTGCTCGTATCATGAAGTCTCGCAGCTTCGCCAAGGAGCTCAGGGGTACCGTCCTTGAGATCTTGGGCACTGCTTTCTCTGTTGGCTGCCAGGTCGATGGACGAAGCCCCAAGGAAGTTAGTGACGAAGTCAAGGCTGGTGAAATTGATAGTGAGTGTCACCGCCGCGCCTATTTGAAGTTGTTTTGAAAGTTTGTATACTAACTTGCATCAAGTCCCTTCGGAGTAAATGTGAAAAATTAATTTTTTTTTTTTTTCTTTGCGCTTGTCCGGACACCCATGAATATCTGTTTGCGGGCGCAATTATTATGACTGTGGCATATGCGGCGCTCGAGGGTATTTTGATTGTGAATCTACGGTGGTTTATGAGAAACGAACTACTACAAAATCGCAACGTCTGACCTGCTTCATTGAACCCGTTTTCCATCCCTCTTATTATCGCCCATCATCATACGCACTCGTCATATTCGGGTTTGCAGAAGACCGGTCTTTTTCTCAACTGGGAAAACCTTTGTCACACTCTGGCCTACACCAGCCTAGCTTATGCTACGCAAACTTACCTCACGGTATGGGCTTATTTTGACGCAAAGGAGATCAAAGGCGTTTTACGTCGTGACCAATTACTCATCGCGGTATTCTTGAAGTTGTTTTGTTTTCCTTCGGGAAAACAGGGGGGCTTGATATGGGTACAGCGATCCATCTTTCTGGTCGACATACAATACTCTTGTAGGCTACATTTGTGAATATTTAATGGTAACTTATTCGAGCAGTTTCTTCCACGTGTGTTGAGTACAATCTCACAGTCCTCAGCCACACTTTGCGTGTGAGGGCTTCTTGCTTCAGATGTCTCATGAACGTCGGAGGCCCGGAAGGAGTGGGTCTTGGACTGTGCTCCAGATAACCTAGCCGTCAAAACAACCGGAGCCCGATCTTGTTTGGGCGGCGGGTTTTGGGGGAGTGGAGCAAATAATTGAGTCATCCGTAGAAGTAGTTACGGAGTAACTATCGCTAGATCATCTCCACCTCTCCAATGCCCATGGATTTTTTTAATGGAATCTTCCCTCTGTTCAAACCTGTACTTTAATGCTCAATCAAAAAGAGTCCTCTTTCTTCTTACACATGACCCATTTCCTCAAAACAGTATTAGATCAACGGAAAATCCCGGGGGCCGAGTGGTACCGATTTAAAGGCACTGTGCGATGCACCTCTGGGAGGGGGGGCGATGAGAGAGAGGAAGGAGGCAATGATGGTGTGAGCACAAGTGCACCGGTCTGCATGACTCCCAGATCCCGCAGCTTCGGTGTCTGGCTGTTGTGGCCTATCAGTGCTTGATGGATGGAAGGGGTCTGAGTGGATGACATCAGATTCTTGCAAGGCGGCTTTTTGGTTTTGTTTTTTTTTTTTGTTGTGTCTCTTTTCTTTTTCCCTTTCTTTTTTTTTTTGCTCACATTTTGTATCATCCTGTGTTGTGTTTCCTTGAAGGGCTGCTGCAGGTGGCCGATTGTGACCGTGTCTCTATTCCTTGATGATGTGATGGGTGCAGTTTCGCGCATCTGGTATAGAGTGATGAAGCGGGATAACATGTAACTATTTGTTGGTGTACTCTGTATAGTTATGCAAAGAATCTGCAGGCAGTTTCATTCTAGAAATCTCAAATTGTAAAGATCACCCGTTTTCCTTATTCTTTGCAGTCCGCCTTCCCCCCAACACCCAACGATCCAGCCTTCTACGGCCGTTGTTGGTCGACGACTATGAGAGAAGAACGGAGGAGTGGATCTGATCAGAGCAGCTCTGTTGGTGAGGATCATTTTAATCTCCTGGGCGCAAGAGGACATCACGATAATAATATGGCAGCCTAGCATCCCTTGAAGATGCATCTCCATGCATCTCCAGATGCAGCTGCCAGGGATGGCTGCAGGCTTTGTCAGAGCGCGCCCAAGAAAAGATCGTCTTGGCCCGCCGAATGGAGGCTTGGTCCCCCCTGTGGAGACATCCTCCTTTCTGAGTTAATCCATGTCGAAACCCAGGCTTTTTTTAATTTCGCAGGGCGGCGCTCTGAACGGCTTTTTCGCTGCTTGGAGCCAGTCGCTCCTTGTCAGCGGTGCTCGTGCTAGAGAGCGTGATCACCGCTAGGCGTAGGGATATCTCCGCGGCCGGCCGGCGGGAGCAGTAATTGCCTCAGGTTTTGTATGTGATAGAGGGTTTGTTTCCCTGCCAGTTTCGCAGTGCTCGGCTTGGAGCAGCGCGTGTGGAGAGCAAGAAACGTTCTTCCCTGCTCCAAAGATCGGGGGGTGTGAGCAACAAAGGGCCGTCGATGGAGACGATCCAGCATCCATGGCCCAATGGTTGGCTGGTAGCGAGTTGGCTTCTCCATTCTCAAAGCTCCTGGGTCAGCCACCGGTGGATCCACGATCGCTTGGGGCGTTGGCCACACGTCTGTCGGTCCTCGTCGACTCCAGATGGATCAATATGATGAAAGCAAACGAAGCGATCTTTCGAATAATGGGAGACAGTCATTCATGCTGCTGTGGTGCCTGGACGGATGGGCATCTGATCCCAAAGCAGATTTTCAGAGAGCAAAGAGTTGCGGTCCTTGAGGCTTTTGTGTCTTGCATGCTGAAGTGACACGAGTCCGTCCAGGTTCCTCGCATCCCCCGTCATCCAACTTGGGCGTGGCTGAAGGGATTGCTTGTTCGCAAACAAGAGGCCCCGGAGAAAGAGAGAAGAAAAGAGGCGCTGCGAGCCCACGAAAGGGAACCGACAGACGAAAGCCAACCGGTGTGGTCCGCCCCTGGAACGACATCTGCTTGTCTGGTGGCTTCTCGACCTCTCTCAGCCGCGCTGATATCGTTGCTGTTGGGGCGTCCCCTCGTCTCGTATCACAGCACCCCAATAAGTCAAGCTTCTCCACGTAATGTGACTTGCGGGTGGTTCACACGGTAGGGATTGTTGTCAGGTTGTGAGATTGCAAAGCCACGGCGTCTAACGGTCGTCCCGGTGTGCAAGCCGTCGCACCAGCGTGGTGTCCAGGAGTCTTGCGGTGGTCGCCGTCTGTCTGAGCAGCATCAAATGGCCCTCTACTCTGTCGAATTGGTGCAATCGTGAAACTCATCCTTTTTGGCGCTGGAGCTGATCCAGTCCAGCCCACTCAAACTAAAACTGGGCCCTGTCACCGCCCGTTCCACCTCTTGGGCCTCTATTTTTTCTTTTCTCCCGCTCCAGGAATCCACTTGTTCTCTTCGCTCGCTCTGCATCGGACCAGGTAATTCTATCTTCTCTGGAGTGATTCTCCTTCTTCTTATTCCTGTACATCTTGTGCGAAACTAGCTGTAGCATCCAGGCCAGCAGCCCCGTCCTGGCTCGTCTTCGCCGCTCTCATCTCGTTAGTTATCAATAGAATTGGGATGTGCTTTGATCGTCGTCCGTTGTTCGACATCGCTCTGACCTGGATCTCCCGCTCCTTGGCTGCCCACCACCGAGTTCCATGACCTTTCCATCTCCCATCCAGCTTCATCTTGTGGCCTGACGATCGAGGCTGGACCTGGTCTGGTTGCATTGTCTCTCCTCTCTTTCACACGCGCTCTCTCTCCTCTCTCGCTCTCTCACCTGCCGTCGCTTTCGCCTACCAACAGCTAGACATTCCGCACCGACCGTCGCTCTTTGTACAGTACCTTAAGTGAGTACCGTGAGTTGGCAAGTTACTCTCCTCGTGATGCTTCCCATGCCGGCCTCGCTCCTGATCCCCCTCGATTCACCTTCATGCACCCGTCTTCCGCCGTTGCTCTCTTGATGCTCTGCCCTCTGTTGGACGCCCAGTTCCTTCACCAAGGGACACCCTAGCAAGTTCAAAGGATCACAACCGAAACAATTTTAGCACTGTTCCTAACCGTCAGCTCACTCGCAGAGACACCGTATCCTCCGTCGAATTCGTCGCTAGTGTACGCCTCAAACACAAACAACCCACCCTGTTCCGTGCATGCTGATTCCTTGTTCATTCTCAGAGAAGGGAGCCTTTGGCCCTTCTTCTGAACCGTCAGCAACCGACTCCCACCTCCTCCGTCGTCTGTGTGGTAGAAAGCCGTTTTCGACGTCTTCTGCCCCACGATTGCTTTGATACACCTATTGCTGAAACTTGGAGGCGGCCAGCAAACCTTGCGCAGCTGTTAGTGCAACATTTTTGCGGCACAATCCGTGACCACTTCGGGCGCTGGCCTTATCTATCTATCTCCTCCGTGTCGTCGCACAATCACCGTTGACAGCCTTCAGGATAGCTCCTTCGAAAACACCCTGTCACCGAATGCTAGAGAATTTCCGCTCATTCACCCGGGACATATTGTCGTACATCGAGGCAACTTACGTGGATGGCGGATTGTGAACAAGCCATATCTACTTGCTGGGACAGTCGACTGACGGTGCCATGATGCGGTGTCGGAAACGATCGAAGAGATTGTTTGGTCGATGAAAGAAGACGACAAGCAACCCGTCTTGTTTGCCGCTCTTTCCAGTTTAACATCCCCCTCCCTTCGTGGCTATCTCGTCTCCGCCTTGACGTAAAGAAAGACAGCGCTTCCCAATCAATCGCAATCATGCTACCGTCTGTAGCTCAACCCCCGTCCCATCACTTCCTGCCGCACAACCATATAGACCACACCGTGTCATTCGATCCACCGCAGACCCTATACGATTACACCAGCCAGCGTCATGGACATATGGAGCAGCCGTCTCTGCAGTCGGCCCCGACGTCAAGAGTTCAATACCTCCGCCCAATCCAAAGACTGAACCCTCGACCAACCCCGGGCCCACGTCAATTGCGCGATGTTAATCCCTTGGAGAGCACGCTACGTCGGAAAACACCGAGTGGAACCCTCGCTGCTGGATACGATGCAACTGATAGTTCCGTTCAGCCACCGGCGTCGAAGCACATCCTCGTATCTTCTTTGGAAACAGATCAGCTGATGATGCCTCGCGTTGCTTTGTCCATGGACTCCCTGCAATATAAGCCTCTGGAGCCGCCTAACCTTTTGCAGCGTCAAAATTTCACGCCCGGCTACAAGCCAGAAGCCAACAGGCTCAATCCACTCCAAAACACGGTGCCTCAGGGGCTTCATAGTACCAACTGGATTCGCTCATTGAATCATCCACAAAGCATCGATTCGGTTCTACAGCATGGCTCCGCCCTCACGCCATCTCAGAGGGTATACTGGCAAAATATTCCGACCATTCCGACCGTCCTAGCGTCATCATTTCAACCCGGTGGCCGTGGATCCGCCGATTCGTCAGGTTTTGGCCAGTACGGGCCCTACTGGCCCGATGGCGGATACATTCCTTACCGTCCTGCAGCGTTTCGAGATTCAAGGTATCAATCAATTCCACTCCTCGGTCAAAACGTCCCCCCCGAAAATGCAAACTCATTTAGCGGGTTTCAACCCAGTTTTAATGGGCAATCCCTTCCCCCTTCTGAACTCATGACCCCAGGTCTGTCCTGGAATGCACTACCCACGCCGCCCTAACCCAACGCCGCAGACTTTATATAACCCTGAACCCCTAGATCAGCAGCATTTTCCTCCACGTCATGTCCCCCCAAAAGTACCAGAAGCGTTCTGGCCCCAGAACAATGTGCCGTACGCCCCGGCACAGCCAAACAGCCAAACTTCCCATCAAATACACCCCGTAAATAACAACGGCTGGCATACTCAATCTCTTGGGCTTCGGCCAAGCGTCCAAGGGCCGAACCACCAACCTAGAAATGCCGAATTCAAAGAAAAAATACTCGCTTGGGCTCACAGTGTCTATGTTGACTTGCTAGCTTCGCTACACAGTGCGCGAAGGAAAAACGTCGCTCAAGGGATTGCTGACGGCCGAACTCGCGATCTCAACAAGCCGTGTATTTTCCCAAAGCCGCCTCGTCAGCCCGGGTCCGATTTTACTTCACGATCTACTCAAATTGAAGCCAATAGCGCATCGCCCTTCCCCACGCATCAACAACATGCAGCAGCTACTAGCAATTTTGTAGATGCTAGACGACATTCAGCTCACTTCGCTCCTTCGCATTCTAGTTTCCTACACAATGGACATGACAGCCGTGGACATTTCACCCAGCCGCTTGACGGTTTCCGGACTATTCGCCGATCATCTACTGCCTCCGTTCCTCGCATGCTTAACCCAGCATTCAAAGGAGTTTCTGCAGCTGAAAATGCAGCTACCGCCCTGGAGATTCTTTCAAGTTTATGCATCGAAAGTAATTGGGATTGGATCGATGGAATTCTTGTCGGAGGCTGCCTTGCATACGGGTTAGGAGATTATCCCAAGGCAATGCGATGGTATAACCGAATCATTAACAAAGATCCTACGTACGTTCTCCAGTACCACAAACAAGGGAGCAATTGCTTATGTTGACCTTTTTGCAGACACGTTGAAGCAATTTCTAACCTCGCCGCCACCCTCCTTGCCCTGGAGCGCCGAGATGAAGCCCTTGAACATTGGTTTCAAGCCATCAAATTAAGACCAAGTTATTTCGAAGCTGTTGAACACCTCGTCGGGCTGCTGTGTAGCAGTCAGCGTGGGAAAGAGGCTGTCAATGTTATCCAGTTCGTGGAGCAGGCGCTTCGTTTGCCCCCAACTGGTGACTGCTTTAAAGGGAAGGGGGCTGATGAAGAATCGGAGAGTGAGTCAGAAGGCAGGGAGTCAATTGTCTCGGGGGCCGAGTCTATGGATAGAGCAGCATTCGATTATTCAGATGACCTTCAAAGCCCCCTGGCTTTTAATGCTCGCCCCGCGAAGAATGCACCAGACGGCTTTGGATCCAGTGGATACGCGATACCGGGATCAGAAAATGGAAGAATGGTCGCGCTAATTCATGCAAAGGGCAATATGCTTTATGCTTTAGGCGATAATGCTGGAGCTTCAGCTGCTTTTGAAGAAGCCATTCTGCTCGGTGCTGGGAGACCTCGAAGCATCGAAAGTCTTATTCGCAGAATTCTCGCCGCATACAACGACGAAGGTCAGCATGGCGCCGTTCCCAGTACCAATCGTCATCGGCCCAGCAAAACCGTCCTGCTTTTCCCGGACAAAGCTTTGCAAACGGCAAAATTAGTGTTTCCTAATGGCAATCTCCCAGGCTTGAATTACGTACCCGAGGGAATGAGCAGGAAAGCAGCAATCTCAACAACCAGCAATTCGCTTCTTTCTTTAGCGAAAATATATCAAGATGGCATGTCTAATACATCGGTATCAGGAGCCCCCAAGGCCACTCCGGGAGTTAGAGACATCCTGGCACTCTACTATCTTTCTCTCTCTTTACAACCAAGTCCGTCAACGGCGAATAATGTCGGGATCCTACTTGCAAGTATTCAAAATACCGGCCCTTCGAAGACAACCCGCACCGCGGGCGAAAGCCAACTTCCCGATATCCCGGGCGTCGTTCCAGGCAGTGGAATTGCCCTTGCGCTGGCCTATTATAACTATGGGCTGAATCTTGATTTGCGGCATGCCCACCTTTATACTAACCTTGGAAGCTTGCTGAAGGATATTGGCCAACTTCCCGCCGCGATCAAGATGTATGAACAAGCCGTTCAGTGCGACGGTAACTTTGATATTGCCCTTGCAAATCTTGCGAATGCTGTCAAGGATTCTGGTCGTATCAATGATGCTATAGGGTATTACCGACGAGCCGTGACCGCTAATCCAGATTTTGCGGAAGCCGTTTGCGGACTGGCGAATGCTCTAAATTCCGTTTGTAACTGGGGAGGTAGGGGCGGTATTGCACCGAGTCGAGGAATCCGAGATCGGTGGCATGTGGATGATAAAGGAATGCTTCGCGAAGCGAAAGAAATGGGCGTCGACTCCGGCTGGATCAAGCGAGTAGTGGATATTGTGGATAAGCAGTTGAAAGACGGTGAGATGTGGGGTTGTGGTGTACTGTTGAACTTGGCTACCGATCAATTGTGTCTGTCTCTGACAGCCGCCGCAAACGATGCATCGATCCTCAGCAAAAGGGGTACATTGAATGCTATCCTGCAATCGTGGGCGGGAAAGAAATGGGAAGGTTCACGAGTGGTCCGACTCATTGAGAGAGCCATAAGATGGATCGGCTGGCAATGGTATCAAGATCGATATGTGTATCGAAAAGAGTACAACCCTTCAAAATACGCTCGTCCACAGCTCCCGAGTGGATTAACGCCGCCAAATGCACCCACAGTGCTTCCGTTTCATACCTTTACGTGCCCTCTGTCTGCCAAGCAAATTCGCCATATTTCTCAGCGCAATGGTCTCCGGATATCGTGTTCACTTTGCGGTCGACGTGGCTTCCTCCAACGGTTTATCGACCTCCAGCACCTCCAAATCCCCATCTGAACATTGGATATGTGTCGTCGGACTTCAACAATCACCCACTGGCACATCTCATGCAGTCTGTGTTTGGTTTGCATAATCCCAGGCGCGTGAAGGCGTTCTGCTATGCGACCACTCCGAGTGACAATTCCATACACCGACAACAAATTGAGCGAGAAGCCCCAGTATTCCGAGATGTGAGTAGCTGGCCAGTGGATCGGATTGTGGAGCAGATCGTAAACGACGGAATTCACATCCTGGTCAATTTAAATGGCTACACGCGAGGGGCCCGAAATGAAGTTTTTGCTGCGAGGCCGGCGCCGATTCACATGTCATTCATGGGGTTTGCCGGGTCTCTTGGAGCTGAATGGTGCGACTATATTCTTTCCGATCAGCTGTCGATACCACCAGAAACTCTATCCCCACGAAGACGAAATCTCAGGCTGGAGGATCGCTTGTACGAACCAGACCATGCGGAAGACGCGGACGATTGGGTATATGGGGAAAAGATTGTGTTTACGAGGCATACTTTCTTCTGTTGCGACCATAGGCAAAGTGCTCCTGATGCTCAGAGCCCACGGTTGGGATGGGAGGAGGAGCAGTCTAATCGATGGAAAATGCGAAAAGAACTGTTCCCAAATCTGCCAGACAATACGATTATCCTAGGCAATTTCAACCAGCTTTACAAGGTGCGTCTCAGACTTGTTATACCTTTACAATATCTATTTGCTGACTTTTCTCTCAGATTGAACCTACCACGTTCCGGAGCTGGTTGCGTATATTGGCTCGCATTCCAAACGCAATCCTTTGGCTTCTCCGCTTCCCCGATCTGGGTGAACAAAATCTCCGTCAATCGGCGGTTGCTTGGGCAGGTGAAGCCACCGCCTCACGGATAATCTTTACAGATGTCGCCCCAAAACACGCTCACATCTCACGCGCCCGTGTTTGTGATCTCTTCCTCGATACCCCCGAGTGTAACGCCCACACCACGTCAGCAGATATTCTTTGGAGTGGAACACCACTCATCACTTTCCCGCGATACAAATATAAAATGTGTTCTCGCATGGCTTCCAGCATCCTCACCAGCGCTCTTCCTCAAAACGCAGCTGGGCGAGAGGCAGCTAGCGAACTCATCACCTCATCGGAAGAAGAATACGAGAATAACGCCATTCGTCTTGGTTTGGATATGCAATATGAACCTGGCGGGAGTGGGCGGGCTAGAGGAAGACTGTTTGAACTGAGAAAGATGCTGTTCTTGAACCGATGGGAGAGTAAATTGTTTGATACCAAGAGATGGGTAAACGACGTTGAGTCGGCGTACGAGGCGGTCTGGAGTAGATGGGTTAATGGAGAAGAGGGCGACATATGGCTTTGAATATTTGAGAAAAAAAAATCACGATATTGCTCCGTTACTTGATTCTCACGGGGAGCGGGCGCGAGGTTCATATTTGTCATGGATTGGGCGCATTTGATGCATCTTTTTTATGCCCTGACCCCTTTTCCTTATGATTGTGATTCGTGTTGTTCTTTAATACCTCTTGTGCCCTTGAAACCCTGGTTTGCTTTCCATACTCTAAATGCGTAATGTCGCTATCACCTTTTTGTTTTTATTATTATACCACTTTTTGTTCGACATCGATGCATTTTGTCTATTATTACTTCAAAGTCTGTCTTCTCCCTAGGTGTATTCTTTCTCCTTTTCCTCTTTTGCTTCTGTTGTCGTGACGCGTCTTTAGCGAGCATGTAAGCCGTGTTTCCTTTGCCAAGGGATGAATATGTGTATAGAGAGTATGTTGTCTGTGTGTGAAATGTGTGAGTATCCCAATTTTTTTGCGAAATTTGATTCCGTTTCTTCGGATGATGCTATTGTGAATGGTTATAGAGCGGAGGTGAAGGGCGCGCCTTTTTATTGAGAGACAATACAAGTAACTAAACTGCTCTATTCATCATATAGAGATGGGGCCACTACTGGGCTGAAATGAACGGAATTGGCCATGAGCTTTTACTCCAGAAAGTGTGGAAAGGGCCGGGACAGCGTTGAAATGAGGTGGGTTAAGGGCGTCCAGCGAAAGGTAGATGTCCAAAGGATATACTGTGAGTTCCTTTTTCAGATAATGAGGTGAGCGTATGTAGCAAAATCGACTTTCGACCTCCTAAAGGCCCAGTGCAATCATCCGTATGGGATATCCCTATTGAAATCTCCCAGAAATGCCAGTTGCAATGATATATGGCCGCATGTGTAGCGCTTTCGGGTGATGCCCTGGGGAGGGCTGGAGAGAGCGAATAGAGCTTTTAGGATGTGACGGCTAAAGCCAGAAAAGGGCATCGAAAGCGCAAACGAGGGCAAGACGCCTTGTTTGATTTTTTGATGATCTCAGGTTAAGATATCATCTCGAAAATAGGCCGAAGCAAAATCAGCACGTTGTAGCCAGCTGTTCGGCTGCACTACAGCCTGCTCAGGGATATGACTGACGGCCAGCATATTGAACTGCTCAGGTTCTTGGCCTTGCCGTGTTGTTTGTTTTCCCTGAGGGTAATATCGAGGACAAGTAAGGGATGACATACGAGGACAGCGCCATGTAATTTCTCCGGCGAGTTGCGAGGGTTGCATGACATCCAAATGAAGGCATCAACAATGCATGTACCAGGGGAAATGCTTCTCAACAAATTTCATCCCACGCAGGTGAGGCATAATGACGGACAATTGCGTCTCTTCCAGTCAATAGATTGCTATTATTCCCGGCCCGGACGGGTGAAGGGAAAAACGGCCCCAACGACTTTGCCACTTGACTGGGAGCTTTCTGGGGCCTGACGATCCCCTGTGAAGTGGACAGCGTTCGACTAATCATCGCAAGAGATGGAAGAAAAGAAAGAAAAAAAAAAGAGTCAATGGCATCATTGACATGGTCTATAAGGGAGCTCGTTGGAGCCAACCGTTTCTCTTAATCGTGACTTGCACACGGGGAGGGATGTATCATGCACCCAGGACCCAGGGTTGATTGCTCTGCTTGCAATTCGATTCCCAATCAAACTCCCGGATTGTGATCGCAGATTGCAGCCGCCGTGACAATGACACATGGCAAGCTGTCTGCCGTTCAGCTTCGAGGACTTCCCAACTTTTCGCCTCCCAGGGACAGCGGAGACGGATGATACGTAGAAGAAATGAGGATGCGAACGTGTCTCCATCCGCTGAGATTAACCCGCTGGCCTGTTGCTCGAACCTGTTCGCCTCCCTGGTCCAATCGGACGGCCAAGGCAGGGATCGAGAAAGAGCGCGGTGGAGGAGATATCAGCTAGCCACAAGGGCGCATCCAGAGACAACGACGGTGACAAGAGCTGCTCCGTCCTCGCTCATTGCGCCTCTGACATGGTTTGAACCGTTTCTCCCAAGACTTGGGGTCCGTAACTAACCATTTGGGCTGAGCGAGTTGGACGAGAATGTCATCTGCGCTCAGAATATCGCCACCACATCGTCGGTTGATGGCTTGTTCGCATCCAGGATTGAATCACTCGCTAACAGACAGTGGCTGGTTGGCAGCCCCAGCCATATACTTGTGCAGACTCAATAATCAGAATCGTGAACGAGACTCTCCTTCGCGAGTGCCGAGGGTGGCCAAAAACCAGCCCTACTACTGCACGAGATGCATGCTCGGCATCTCGCATGGATCCATCTTCGACTGGTGAGCCTTTGCCATGGGTGACTGTTGATCGAGATGCTGCACACCGCTTTGCTTTCTCTGTCTGCTCATGACGGGCGCCAGCAAGGATCCGACCGTTTGACAGACGTCCCTCAACCGTCCTGGCTTCTGCTGGAGGAGCAGCTGTCAAATGGCGTTGTGTTCTCTCCTCGCTGCAATCTCCCAAGATGGACAAGCCTAGAGCAAGTCGGATTCGCCAACGCCGTCAAGAATTATGAAGCCCTCTCGCTACTCGTCATAGTTCAAACTAATCGCACTATGGACCTCAAACCCCTCTTTTTTGCACTGTGTCCGTGTGCACCCCCTCCTCCGGCACAATCCAACGGAGTCTTCGACGCTCACGGAGCACAAGAGGCTGATGGCCGGGCATGAGAATCCCACGTTGATGGAGAGCTGTTCCACCATATGGCATCATCCAGCAAAGCTTCCCGTTGGGAATCCGCTCCTTGACCGCCCCCCCAAGCTCGCTAGCTAGGCCTTCTTGACCTCGCCCAGATACACCAGTCATTGACCAATGTGCAAGATGCCTGGACTCGCGGGTGAAAATCGCACAAGACAACGATTCACAGAGGCGTCTCACAGACCTGGCTCAAGCCCTTCGATGGCCTGCTGCCGTGCGACCGCATCGCGCACACAGTCCCATCGGCATACAGAGACACATCGATTTAATTCCTCATCAATTGGCGCAACGATGCACGAAGCGAAAGCCGTTAAGATGCCCTCTCCCCCCCGGACCCCCGGGCGGGCCAAGGCCCATCAGTACCGGTAAAAAACGAGCCTTCGCCCTTTTTCCAATGAATATAGTACTGATCTCGCCCGGAAGCCGCATCGTTGAAGCTCCGAATTGACTCCAAGGTCCGATGGAGGTGTTGCATCCTCTGTTTTCGGATGATGTCAACTGTCTCTCAGCACCACATTGGGTGACCAGACAACGATCTGGCCGTCACAGGATGGGCAGCTAGTAGCTTATTTAGTTATCGTCGCCAGACGGAAAAGAAGACGAGCACGCCTCGGAGTCGTACAAATCTTGCGACCTACATATCGGCCTCCCAAAGGGAGCACCATCGCGAAATTCCCCAAGTCTTCCAAAACTGGAATGTGCAGGGCCAATCTCTTTTTTTTTTTTTTTTTTTATATATCTTTTTTTTCTTCTTCTGCGCTTCCTTTCTCACTGCAGAAAGATAAGCCGCTTTTCAATAGAGTGTCCCGATCATCCGTTCGCCCTTTTACCCCAGGAATTGCAAAATCTTGATGCAGTCTCCATGCGCTGTCCGACCGTCCGAAACAGGCGAATGGTCCAGTTGGGATGAACCCAGCAGCGGGCCCTTTCAGATGCATCACTAGAGGGACATGCGAGTTGCACAGAACCATGAGATAAAGTTACCCCTTATTCCAAGATTTGGGATCGACCCGCGGGCAATGGCGCCCTGACGATGTGAAGAGCTTTTTGGTGAGAGGTGGTAGATTCGCCCGTCTCAACTGTGCATATTTACTTTGGATAACCGGCGCACAACTGTTTCTGTCCTCCCCAAATGTGGCACATATTGGCTCTCGATATTGGGACTGCTCAGGATGATCGATGTTGTCTCTACCCCGCATCACTGGGGTCTCAAACCAAGCTAGTATTGTTACTATCATTATTATTATTGTTGTTGTTATTATAATTATTGGTTGTAGCAGACCCTATGCAATAATGGAGCTTTGATTGACAGGGCTCTGGGAACTAATTGAGCTCCCCTTTCCCTTTTGCCTTTCCCTTACTCCCAGCTCGGCCAGGAAGAAGGGTGAGACAGCTTGAAACACAATCCCTGTCCCTCCCCATCCAGAGCTCAGGCCAGCAGTTCGAAACTGAGCATGGCGGAAGCAGCATTCTTCTTCTTTGCTGCCGACTGCAAAATAACATGTGAGTGTGGAAATCGGGGAGATACCGCGATATTTGCTCTTCTTTTTTTTGCTATTTTTATCACAACCCAGAGCAAAGGATCCACAGGGTTTATTCAGAGTTTCGCTGTCGTCCGAGTCTTGTCTAGACCTGAAAAGACATGATGGGGATTTGCGTGGTCCAGTAGTGGTCCCAAGCAGGACAAATAGAATTTTCCCATGCAACAACGTCTCGGACCCAGGCTAGCGTAACGGTGGGATCGGGACTTTTTGGCATGTCAACTTCAGTCGGGAGTTGCAAGAAGGAAATACCAACAAGATGTCCCATGCATACACGTCTGCAGTCGCGACAAGTAGCAGATGCTAGTTCCAATCGGCACCATCGGTGAACCACAAAGGGGAAGAAACTGGTCATTGAAACAAGGACATGGGGGTTTTTCTCAATCCTCTCTTCCCTTGGTGCAACACCTCCCCATTTTCTTGCGCACTCAACTGCACACTTTCCACAGGGTCCCCTGGCCTCGGGTTCCGTCTTTTATTTCCCACGCACCCACAGGGCGGCTCCAGCAACCAGGAAACGAGAAGAAGGAAACAACAATGTCCCTCAGTGTACTGTTTCAGCATTGTGGCAACCGCGCTTGGATTCAAATCCAACGTTCCCATCGGGTCTCTCCACGCAATACGAGGGAACAAGAGACAAGAGATACGAAGTCAGGACCACGCAAACGGGAATCGACGGACTCTATGACTCCCTGCTCAAGCAAAGCCCGATATCTGAAGCCCCAGGATGCCATGTCCGGGCAGTGGAAGCAGCAGCGGCAGCAGCGTCAAAACGGGGACTCATCACCACCGGCATCTTTGTTTCATCGCAGTTGGAGAACGGTTCGACGTCGGTGTCTTTTCTGCGCAGGCATAGTAGCCGTAATAAGATTCCGGTCGACGCTATAGCAGCGGGCACATATAGGGCGCAACGTGAAGAGCCGGAAATTGTTTCCAGGAACCAGAAAGCCGGAGTGCGAATCCAACCCGACGGGAGAAAAAGAAGGAGGGAAGAAGAAAACGGCAACACCGTTGCACTGGGATGTACGGTACGGTAACTGAAACACGGTCACGAACGGGACACCGCTGACCACGACACGGTAAATGTGTATCTGCACGGTTTTGGAACAAGAACCCCACCGGATCGAAACTTAATGGCGCAATTCACCAATCACCATCGCTGCTCTTGCTGGGCGGCTATTTGAGATCCGCACTAACCCAGACAGGAAACACGGTTTTAGCGTGGTGCAGGGGCCAGAATTACCACAAAAACCGTTTCTTATCCCCACGTGATCAATTGCCGCGAGGGACCGCTCGCTAAGAGGCCGCCAAGCCCATCTGGACTGGCAACACACTGACAGACACATTTTGACAGCCGGCAGACAACAACAACAACAAGCTCGACGGGGTTGCTCGACAAAACGCTGGCCCTGTAGCGATCTCAGCAGCACCCTGGACACCAGTAGTCTCCTCTCCGCCCGTCCCACGACTGCGTCCTGCCCGCTGCCGACCTCCAGCCAGGGTATGGAGCCATGATTTGGAATTCACCCTGCCAATCAGCGGCCGAGAACGGGCCTCGCAAATCATGCTCCGTCGAAGCCCACCCGCAGCAAACCGTTGGCACCAGCAGCCCCCAGAAAAAGAAAGAAAAAAAGTCTGACCCGGTGGAGCGAGTCCATCGGCGTTGCAGCTCCACAGTGTCCCAATTTGGTCGGCGCAGTGCCCCTAACAGGCAATCCTGTCGTGTCCCAATTTGGACGTCCCCCCCCCGGCGAGCGCTTGTGGTCCATTCCACTTTGGGAGAATTCGAGCGAGATTTCCAAGGAAGGCAACGCTTGCATTGTTGATCGGCTCCCGAGGATTCAAATAGTGCGGCTTGGACGGCCTCCAAAGACAAGTTGACAGCTGTGTACTTCAGACACTACTGATCCTATCTGATTATCTCGCCCAGCTGAGGGTGGAGAATGAGATGGAGACTGGACGCCCTTTGTCGGCCAGCAACACCCGTTGAATCATTTTATTCACGAGGTCCTTGGAAGGGTATTCCAGGAATGTGCGTGCGGGTGTCTCGGATACGAAATCCCAGGTCTTCGTCCAGAGGAGCCACCCTCCAACGCGCCAGGCACCGAGCGATCCAGCTCGATTTTGACAAGGGAGCTTGAGTGGCCACGTAGACATCCGTACCTGACAGTAGTTCGGCGTGGTCGTTGGTAAACTGACGAATGGAAGCAAAATCCGCCATCGAACAAATCATTTGCGCGGTTTCGATAGTCCTCAGTCAATGGCCTCCAGCTGTCACTGTCAAGCCACAGGCTAGCGGCGCTCTTTTCCCCTCCATAGGCTCCATGTGGTGGCCTTGCCTGTCTTCCGCCAACCGTTTCTTTTTTCGTTTCTTCTGGAGATGTCAACCTTTTTTCTCAAAAGGAGCGAAGCTGTCACCAGCCCTCTTTCGCTGATTGGACGCTTTGGCGAGGGGTCGTTTGACGACTCACTGGTTGGTCATTTATGGTCCACGGCGTCACGATGGGTCATGAACAAGATTTGCTGATGATCCACGATCGAGTCGGGCTGTCCGTTAAGATGCACTAAATTTACTAGTCCAGAGAAGGTCCTGTATGGAGAGTGAGTTCAGCAGTGAGTGGGAGGTGGAGACAAGAGATGCAAGCTCGACCGGTCCATGCTGATGAGGAATCATCAATATGCAACAGCCAACGCAAAATTGAACTACTACTGCGGACAAGCGCAATTATCCTATGTCGGGAGATTTCCTTGCTGATCCGAGTGCAAATTCACCCGCCAGGACGTAAGATGTTACCAGGGGACTTGTTGGAATCATAGTTAATCAGGCAACGGCAAGGATACGAAATCCTGTCGCTCTCCTGCAAGAAATGATGGATCCGCGACGAATCATTGTCCATGTCAAGCCGTTTGGCTTGTCAGGTCGCCAAATGGGGCCTATCAGCAATGGCGGTTCGCTCAAGCCAATCCCCCTTGGCTGCCGAGAAACCCGTTTATTCTCATGGGCAAGCATCGTTCCGTTCATGGGTGTTTTAATAGTAGTACTTCATTGGCAGGGGGTCACTAATACAGAGCGCCTGCCTCAAGCACGGATGATTATCCTTCTATGCAGGTCGTTGATCAAGAGTCGTTAGCTCCGGAGTTGACTGATCAGTAATTCCGACAAACGGCAGAGACAAACAGCTGTGAAGGAATGAAGCAAGAAGTGTATCCGCCCATTGGCGAAGGAGTGGATGGGGTCAGTTTAGCTTGACCAACTCGTACGGAGGACCAACAATCCGACTCTCATGGAGGCAGTTTGCGAGAGAAAGTGGAGAATCCGCCTGAGAGCAAGACCAGAATCGATGATTGAATTGATCCGCCGCCTGATTGCAGATCCTCATCTAGGACAGAGAAGACGAACTGCTGATACCCTGGACTAACTGATGATGTGCAGGCGATACAGAGGTGCAAGAGTCATGCGAATTGCCGGATCAGCCAAACGGGACGGCGTGCCAGAAAGTCGATGACGTTGGGAACCAGCAGCGGCACTTCGGATGTGTGGAGTGACCATCCAATAATGACCAGAGGGCAGCAGAGGGAGGAGGGAGGGAAATCAGCCCATCGACCAAGCCGACGTCCCCGAGCAGTAGCACAGTCGTTACCCTCTGTCACGGATATTGATGCGGAGAACATCCGGCAACTTTTGGGGCGAGAAAGCTGGAATGAGAAAATAAAAGGCGAAAAGAGACAGCCCCTCAATAAGGAAGCGAATAATTGTGAAGAGGCGTGGCTGGACCTCGGGGTTGTCTGAGATCTGAAGCTTCATGGCTTAGTACCTAGAGTGGAGGTTATGGGTGATGATGTATTCGACATGTCAATGCCAGGGCAGTCGAAGAAATATTTCCATCCTTCCGAGGAGAGATCAATGTATCATCAGCCACCACTTGTCCCTCTGCCACCAAGCTGGCGCGGTTAATGCCGACTACGGGCCGTCGTCGTCATCGTTGATTCATCAACAAATATATGTATCTGCACGTAGTGGCTTCTTCCATCGGCGCATCCGCATCCTGACGAATCAGGTCGTGATCACATTGTTCTCCCTGCAGCACCAGCCACAGTTGCGCTGGAGCCACTGACGTGCTGGCCATGATGAGAGCCGTCGAGTGTACTCCGTAGTTCGTGGCGGTTTGGTGAAGACGGAAGATGGCTGGCTGAGACCGAGTGGTTCCGTTGTCAGCGTCATTGAACATGGCTCTCCCAGACTCTCAACCCCCTTTTTCCCCATCCAGATATCGAGCTATTGGACAATAGTCGCTCAACCTGCGGCGCTCGTGAGAACTTCCAAGTTTTCTTCCATTTGGTATATTTGTTTTTGGTCTTGCAGGGTTCAAAGCTTCGAGAGGAGAGCGGCTGATTTAGTTTGGCGACTCTCTGTTTTTCTGTACGACAAGTGAGACTGGTCTGGACAAGATCACTCCCCAACTGAGAAGACGGATCCCTGTTGACGCATGATTCACGATATTTCATATCCATCCGAGCTCTTGAGGCCAGCAGCCCTTTTGGCATTTGGTGGTCAACACAGACGAGGTTCAAGGATAGAGTTCGCAGTGGGTCAAAGGGGCACTTGTGCACTCCCACGGCCATCCAGAAGCAGACGATGGGGATTGGGCGTTGGCAGCGATGGTTGGGTCAAGGTCAAGCCACCTGGAGACTGGGGGGGTTGTGGTTGCGGCGAGCCCGGCATCGGAATCAAATGATTCGCCCAACCCGAGATTTCGTCAATCAAAACGTGTGCGGGTGAGAGATCTGACTTCTGGATCGCACGAAGCGGCTTGGCTACGAAGATGTGTGGATCTCGAGATCGTAACGAATTGGTACTGGGTGGCCCGGAGTAACGGATGCAGGCTGTACCTCTCTCTCTGGCCTCTCTCCCTCGCCCTCTTTGAGGTTTTGAGGCTGGCCCGCCGTTGTGAAAGTTCCAGCGGGTTGGTATCATCGCTGCTTGGTTGGAAGGTTGCTTTTTCGCCTTGTTCAGTCATGGCAACGGCTGAAAGCACGGAGACTGGACGTCGAGACGGGGTGCGATTTTTCAGTACTATCGCCCGTTTTTTGATCGTACTTTTGGGGGTCTCTGGAAGACTGGAACTGAGATCGCATGAAACTGCCACATCTCGAAAATCTCCGAGAGATGGACCAGGTATCAGAGAGGAACTAGTGGATTTTCCATCTGCAGCTCGAACCACATATGTAAGTCATGATGACGATGATGATAGAACGAGGCGCTGAAATGATCTGTACGGCGTTTGATGGGACTGACGATCGAGCTCCTCACCCGTGCGGCTCGACGGTTCGGATGCAGTCAGAGACAAGAGTCTTGAAATATACGTCGTAGTGATTATTATCATGATTTACTCTGGAGAAAGAACACCGCTTCATTGTGTCACTTCCATTGAATCGATCTGCAACGAAACGTGAAACTGTTTGCCAGCAGAGGCCACCACATGAGACGAGATGCCCCCCCTTCTGGCCCACGAGCACTTTGTTTTCGTCCTTCGTTTCGGTCTGCCCTGGTGAGCGAAAACACACACACACAAAAAGGCTAAAACACGCACGAAGAGGGTCCTCTTGTGAGAGCATCGACCCCAGATGCCAGGGTCGACTGCCACAGCTGTGCGACGCTCCACGCCCATGCCACGGTTCATCGAGACGGTTGCTTTGGGATGGTTGGACAGTGCGCGCCGGCGGCCCATCTGGCTTGGTCACCTTTTACCCTTTTTTCCTTCCATCTTTCTTTTTCGGTTTTTTTTGAAAAGTTTGAAGATCCAAATGCCCAGTCTGGCAAAGCTTGTGGCTGCCCCCCCCGTTTCTGGCGCCCGGGCGGTGGATGGTGGGTGACGGTTCCCGAGCTTGGACGGCCCTGGCAAATTGAGCCGTGGGCCTCCAATCCATCCCGGGAGTTGAGGCCGTGGGCGAAGAAGGCCAGAGTGCGTCGGCGTAGGCAGCAGAGGCGAAAAAGAAGGCAGGAAAAAGGAAAGGCAGAGGCAGATCGTGGCCCTGTGGCCGGGTCCCCAGCAAGCTCCAGGCTAGAGCAGTTGGTTCAGCAACAAAAGGGGACGGTTGATCCCTGGAATCGATCCTCATAAACTAAACTAAACTTAGCACCGAACCTCCCCTGGGCGGTTTCGTGCCAGAAGAAGGAATGAGGCCAAAAGTCCAGCCGAAGTAATATTCAGACTGGATAATGAAAAAAAGGAAGAAGAAGGGGAAGATGAATTTGCAATTTGTTTCCCGCGATCTGGAGAGTGGGATTGAATCCCTGGGAACTCGGCTCTTCAGCGACAAGCCACCTTTGTGTCGTTCCCGACTGCAAGGTATATCGCGATGATGTATGTCCCTGGCTGAAATGCTGCAGCGTATTTTCGCCACAGTTTAGACTGCAGTTGGTTCCCAAAACGGGCATAATAGTCGCTGTGAAATCCGTGCGTCAAGAGAGAGAGAGAGAGAGAGATCGAGCAGGGACGGCGACTATAAGATCTTAACATATGTCTTATTACTGTCATCGCCGTTTGTTTATGATTACAGCTCCTCTCGCGGTGTCCTCGGCAGGCTTCTTCCAGGTACAACCAATTTATCAGAATCCTAAAATTCGTTAACTAATTCGCTAGCTCGTCGATGGGGCAAAGATAAAAAAGAGGCTTTTGCTTTCCAGGCACCTTTTCGGCGGCAACGCTGGAGACAAGCAGAATGATGTGCGGAGTCCACCGTTGAATGGGTTTTTTTTAGTGAGAAGCAAAAAAATAAAAATAAAAATGGAGCCTCGTAAGCGTGAGTGCGGAGTCGTCCGTATCGTGAAGAAAAATAAAAAGGCACATCCAGCACATGTATATGTAGCATCTCGCTCTCTTTTTTCATCTGGAGGGACGCTCTCAACACACAGTGCACACCCCCCGGCCCCGTCAAGGATCCTGCTCTCTTGCAAATCGACCCTGGTTCACCTAAGGTCCCATCCTCGCTCCAGCACCGGAGTTCCCTCTCCCTGCCCCGTCGGAATCCCTATCCCCCTGGCTGTATAACTCGGGACCAGCGCCCATTCCCAGATCTCGGAAAACCGCTTATTACTCCTGGTTGACTTCAAAGGTACGGATCACAATCAACAGCTGTGTTGTTTTCCCCCACCCTTCCAAATATTATGATCCAAAAAGCAAAGAGGACAGGGAGGAAAAAGAAAAGAATATAATGATACTCCCCCCTTCCCATACTTTTTGCATATCATGCATGTCGTACTTAGTTTGAAGGTTATATGAACTCGTCCCGTGCCCGCTTCACCTTTACTACAGAGCCCTCCCCTCCATCACTGCCTTGATTTATTCTGCTGCGTTGATGCTCAGCATCCCCATGACCACCTCTGCCTGCTGCCCTGAGCATATAATCCTCGTTCCAGAACCTGGGATCTTCGTGCCCCGGAACCAAACTAGCCCCCCTCCCCTCTCGCTCTCTTCTCTCCCCCCTGCCCTACCCTTGGATACATATTTGCCGGTCGCTTCCTAAGCATATATCCGTTCACTTCTCTCTCTCTATCGCACTCTCTCTCACGCTCTCTTTCTTGTTTTAACATTCGCTCTTTTCTCGTTCTAGATATCCCGAGCTCTACATCACAGAGCTCCGGTCTTTGCTTCTCTACTGCTTGTGCGCGACGCGGGGCTGGTTCGCGCCCGTTCATACCACTGGGCTTTTGCGCCTTTTTACGCCAATGGCTCCCGCCCAACGGAGAGGACCTTGGGTCCCGGAAGAAGACCAGGAATTGCTCCAGCTGGTCCGCACCCAAGGGCCAAACAACTGGGTGCGCATCTCGCAACACATGAAATACCGATCACCCAAACAGTGCCGGGAGCGCTTCCATCAGAACCTCAAACCCTCGCTGAACCATGACCCCATCACGCCGGAGGAAGGGGTGATGATCGAACGCATGGTGAACGAGATGGGCAAGCGATGGGCGGAGATCGCCAGGCGGCTGGGGAACCGCAGCGATAATGCCGTCAAGAACTGGTGGAATGGGAGTATGAACCGGAAGAAGAGACGGCTGGTTCCGTCCAGAGAGTCGGACCATGCTTCTCGCGCGTTTGATGGTCGGATCGAGTCCCTCTACTCCCAGAGCGCCGTTGGCTCCCAGTTTGGACATCGCCAGCACAAAGAAGGCCAGTCGTCGTGGCTGCTGGCCAGCTGTAGCCGAAGGGAAAGCAGCTCGAGCTACGTCCGCGACGATTGGTCGCGAGAGCGCTCCTCTCCCCCATCCCATCATCGACACCTCCCACCCCTCTTCACGGCAGACTCCGCATCCCACGTCGACCACACGCTCACCTCCCCTTGCTACTCCGAAATCTCCAGCCGCACATCCGCTGGGCCGCCCTCTATGATATCAGACCACACCTCCGTCGCCTCTGCCTCTCCTCGAACACTCACATCGCCATCAATACCACCGATCCCAATGGAACTCCATCCCGGATACGACGAACGGCGCCGCGGCAGCGCACCCACCGTCGGCCACTCGCCCATGAAAACGCACACTCACGCCTACAGCTCCAGCACGGGAGCCAAGAGCATGGAAATTCTAGCCGAAAGCGAGCCTGGCAGCCGAGATTGGCAGACTGGCTCTGCCAGCGCCGGAAGTCCGCATTTCCGCCACCATAATTCAGCCCAGGCCCAGCATCGGCAACTTCCCGCCATCTCGCTTGCACATGCTCGATCTGCGGTGCAAGATCGCGATGCGAGAATGGGTGTGAATAATCTTTTGAATTGAATTGCGAAAACGCCCTTTTTGAGCTTTGTTTACAACTTATGATATGACCTTGTTTTCCTACTTTTGATTTTATTTTTGCTTTTCCCAATATAATGGAATGGTGGACACAGTCCCTTTTTATTTGGGTGGCCGGATATGTCTATCCTGCCTTATCTTTTCCGGAAGCATGCGTTTCTTCCTACCTATTACGAATCTCTATATATCCCCAGTGTGCTTAAAACTAAGCCCTCTTCCCCATTCTCCTTTGACATTATCGGGGGCTTCTCGATGTGCTCGTGCGAACATATCACATTTCTGAGCATTTGTATCCTTGAAAACACCATGGTGGTCGGACAGCGTTGAATGTACAGGCGGCGTATTTGGGACGATATTAGAATACCGGGTTGCAAAACCACAGGGCTGGTGCGGAAATATTGGTGGGAGGAGGCATTGTTGGTTTGTTCTGGGATGGTTGTTGTTGTTTTTTTTTCTTTTCTGATACCTCATCCTCTAACCCCTATCCATTTTTATTGATACCGTTGTATTACACGATTGCATCTGCCCGGAAATGTGAAACTACCTACATATGTACTGCCGAACTACACAAAATCGAGAGATGAACGGAAGAGAAAAGAGATCTTACCCCCGTTTTTTGGTACTTTTCCTACTTGGTTTCCTCTGGCTGGGCGATTGAATCGGGGCCTAGCCTTGTCTGGTCTGCTCCCATTCGGTAACCTCCACTAGCCCTTGCAGGCGGAGAAGACCTGATCGTGGCCAGCCATCTTCATGCATAAAAGTACTGTATGTATGTACGTACATGTGTATGCCATGTTATGGATGCGCCGATCTGAAAGCGTTTATTCCCAGCGGCGCAGCAACAAGGAAAACAAAAGAAATCTCAATTTTCTGACTTCTTTTTCCACTCCCCCTCCTCTCTGGACCATTATTTGATACGACCAGGGCCCGGAGGGAAAGACACTGGCTCCAACTATGTGGAAACTGCATATCTCCCTACAGGAAGATGCATATACGAGAGAAGAAAAGAGAAAGCAAAAAAAAAGGAAATAAACCGTTCCAAAGGAAAAAAAAAGAAAAATCCCCAGAAAGCGGAAGTCGCACGATAGCCGACATACTTGATACATCCGATCAAGCAGCCCCATTACCCGTTTCTGCCTCCTGCATGGGAAAGGAAAAAAAAACGTGGGAATCTCGAAAGCAGCTGTTGTCATGCACTCCCCATCGCCTCGGCATCGCTGCGACGCGTGCTATCGTACTTTTTCTTTTCCTGCTTGGTTTTTTGTTTGCTTTACATTCATCATATGCCATACTTTCCTACCCTCCCCCTTTTTGCAATATTGGAACTACAAGCAATGCTTTGTGTTCGTGTAGCTTCTTTGTTATGTACCTCACCTTGTCCCTCGCTTTTCCCCCCTCATGTCTCACAGCATGCAGAAAAGCATGGGGCTTGAACAGTCCGACTTGACGTCAACGAAAACGGCTACTTGCATTCCTTCTCCCCTCCCCCTTATGCGACGGAGATGACCGAGCTCTCAGCTTTTTTCTCATGTTGCTTTCCCTTTTTCTTTCCGTTTCGCTTGTGGTAGTATGGTGTGCTTTGCGGGGAAAGTCGTATCGCGTGGTGGCTGCTTGCTGCTGTGGTAGCTTTTTTGGCAAAGCGGAGCGATGCAGGTATCCCCTCCCCCCCGGCCCCTCTCTGGCACCGTTTGTGGAATTGGGCCCAGGAAGAAATGCTCTCACCTGCATATTCTTTTGCATTCGGTTCGAACGGGTCCGGGGATTGTGGTCTCTGTGGATGACGGGTATAGAACCGTTACATATGCTGAACACCCGGGAATCGGTCCGCTGGACATCCGTTGGGTTGAGTAAACCCGGAGAAGAGTTTGCTACTACTACATAGCTCCTTTGGCGGTGCTTTAGACAGGCAGCTGGAGCGGATGCCTTGCGCATATTGAAGCCAACTCCTAACAAGACAGTTGTCGGGCGGCAATGATCGGGCACTGGCTACCCTGTGCAATTGGTGGGAGTGCAAAGAGGACGTGCATGAGGTCCTTGATCCCGCAACATGGAGAGTATTCCTACGCGTTGTCCGTTTGCGACAGGGGAACCACTGAAATGTGGCTCAAAAAGCCGTTTGCGTTGGCTAAGATGTCGTCCACGGATAGCTTTGTCTATACATTGTGAAAAAGGAAATGTTGGCGGCAAATCATACATATACGAGCACTCGTGAGCGCGACCTGCATTCACTCATTATTGGCCTTGGGCCCCTTTTCTCGCCGCTCAGGGGAAGGCTGATGGATTACATAAGCCCTTTAGGCTTGGCTCTGTGCGATGATTGGACGAGAGCCCGCAGACAAGCTTCCCATGCTACGCTAGTGCGGATACGCTAACTTAGTCTAGACGTTCGGCAACAATTCTTTGTCACTCCTCGATTTGGGAGACGGGCGTCTGTCTTGATGCTGCTTTCACTCGCTGCGGATTGCTATCTGGGCGTGCATCTCTACACGCGGGTCACGGCTGTCAAGGATCTCTGACCAACAAGCCATGGTTCTACCCTTCGTCTTCTTCTTTGTCCCACTTGACCGCTCTACGAAAGGAAGCAGAAGCTGGAGGGCTCGGATCATCACTAACTCACCAACTATTAACTTGATCCCTGTTCTTCATAGTGCCGTCGCGATATTCGACACGATTTGACGGTGAGGACTAAATTTCCGCCACCATGTTTTGTTGGTACCTTTTTTCAGAGCTCCGAGAACCCGGTACTGGCAATGTTCCATTGCGATTCGATGCGAGCAACAAAAAGGAGAGCTCCTTCGCTGCAACCCCCGACGCACCGGCAGCGGTAATTGTTCAACAAAGAAGCAAACGGGGATAGGCGAAGATGATTTTTGAGGCAACACTCCCCCTCTTGGCTCGCTGAATGATCATTCGCTGCGGACATGGAAAGGCCCCTGTTGCAACGGCACAAAAGTCTGCCCGTGACTTGCGGTAACCGTGACGCCAAATCTATTTCTCACAACCTCGTTACCAGATAACGGAGCAGCCTCCTCCCTACCTGGTCCAGAAAGCCACCAACTTCAGGACGTCGAGCTTGCTTGTATGGAACGGAATATGCTTCCGGCATAGCCAGGAGACCGATGTCTTTGTGCGACCCGATTTTTGAGGTGCTACGACCTCACGCGCTTTGAGTGACCCAATGATTTGGAATTCCCATCGCACTGTGAACCGTTATTTGTCCCAAGGAGATAGTCGCCATGCCTTAAATTATGACATCTGGTGGGGACACAGGCGGCGTTGCAGGGTCTTGCAAATCCTTAACTAGTGTGGCTAGGGAGTATATGGTTCAATCTAGCAGCCGTTGCTAGGATCCTGAAGGTCCGATCGTTCAAAGAAACGTCGCCTCCCGACAGCTCAGCTCTCTACGAGCGTCTGGTGGTTGCGCTCCAATACGATATCGCTAGACGGTTGATTGAAGCTTACCTCCGTACCTCATAACACAAAACCGTTAAACCACCCGTATCAGTCGTTGCACATCTCTTCCGTTTCCACATTGTGGCGTTTATTGGCTGCATAATCGACTCGTACCACCTCTGCGTTTGCCATGCCTTTAGAATGACAGCCGTGCGCCCTAGTGTGGGGGTTCATAATAGCTCAATCGGAAACAAAAGAAAAGGGATCAACGCTTTTTCTTGGGTTTCTCCGTCCTCCGTAACGTATATCAACGGCTCCTACTTCCTACCAATTGAACCGCGGCGAGTATATGCATATTAACTGACATTTTTTTGAGCTGGGTTTATCCATTATCTTCTTTGGGCAAAGATCGCCCGGCCGATGGGACTACGGACATGTTCATATGATCACAGAGAGCTCCTTTACCGACTATGTCATTCTTTATCCTTGCTGTCAACAACATCCTGCGGCACCACCGTGATACCATTGCAGGCGATCTCTTGGAGCGGCTCGCCGTTTTGTTAGTTCGGTTGTGACGGCAGTTTGACGATGATGTTAACCATAAGTCTATTTGTATTTAAATTTCAAGCGCCGACCCCGTACTGTGCTCAAAGGGGTTCAACGTGCCAACTTGATAGGGGGAAGATGATTGGTTACAACGTGACGAGGCTACATCAAAAAGATGTATCGGACAAGCTACTAAATCCGCCATATTAATGGCATTCTCTCTTGCCTCCTTCTGCTGTTGGAGTTACATCAAAGGCTCCGTCACTGAAGAAGGCCGGCTCTGAACGTGGTCTCGGCGTCCGGAGGCAGGAGATGTTTGCAATCCGTACTCCGCCTAGATATACCAGTTCTTTTGCAGCCCTTTTGGGTGATCCCGGCATACTTCTTCACTCTTGCCTGCACTTTGTCCTTTGATATAGGAGCGATCGTCGTGCGCTTAGGAGACACGGTGATTTTCCGTCTGGCGCTTTGCGTCCAGGTAGTGGATGGGAAGTTCTATCCTGGATAGCTATGTCGCTGCGGCATCCATCGCCATAGCACTGTAGAGAGTATTTATCTGATGAGCCCAGAGGAAAACCTTTGTCACAGGGAGATATGACGTAATCAGGCTATTTTTGGGTCACGGCGCAAGCTAGCTTGATTAGGAACAGCTCCATGATGACTTGCAAATCTTCAGCGCCAGAGTCGAGATCCGCCGGTGGTCAAGCTGATATCCACGAGAGCTCACTTCTGCCTTGCTGCTGCCGTCCTTTGAGATCATTTTTAGTTTCTTGTCGCTTAGCACTTGCAGGGTCGGCGATCTATCTCCATTCCTACCTCTCTCGAGACTACCAGCGTGCTTCTTTAAGAGTGGCCACGATGGAGGCCACAGCTGTTGAGACTCCGTTCCAGCTTCAGCCAGTCAATCACGTCTCTAACACCATGGACACTTCGATGGATATTGACATGGATCTTGATTTTGGGCCGGAACCGGAGCCAATTGAACTGGTCAGTTCGGGCTCACATTCCCTCTGAAGCTTCTTTCTTCCCTAACCACCGACCCATAGGAAGTTGAGTCCACCACGGCGAACAATGGCTCATTCGAAGACTCGAATCTCCTCATCTCCAACGAAGAACCCCAGTTCGAGAAAGTTCATATCCGCGGCGTCGATGAACTGGCCACCGACGACATCAAGCGTTTTGCGAGCGAGCATTTTCAAATCGAGGAACCGGCCAGAATCGAGTGGATTGATGATACTTCTGCGAATATCGTATATAACTCGCCGGAAGTGGGACTGCAAGCGCTGGCGGCATTTACTCAGCAGTCGATGGAGGAAAGTGGTGATTCGGCATTGCCTTCGTTACGGCTTCGTACCGCGAAAGCGTTATCCACGCACCCTGACTCTGTGCTGCAGGTGAGATCGGCGGTGAAGACGGATCGCAAGAAAACGTCGTGCGCATGAGGCGAGTCGGTTCTACTTGATTCATCCGGAGCATGATCCAAGGGAGAGGATGAGGAGCGAATTCGCAGAGAGACGGCGGCGGGGAAGGCGGGATGATAGTACGGGAGATTACAACCGGCGTCGATTTGACGATAGGGAGCATAGACGTCGCAAGGGGCTTGATGATAAGTTTGATGAGACCATGTACGACGACAGTCGGGACGCGAGTCGTGGATCTAGCCGTGATGGGATGCGGGGGAGGCGCAAAGGGGTTGATGACTTGTTTCCTGAGCATTCAGAGAAGTCAACGGGACGATTACGAGATCGCAGCGCATCGCCTATTCGCAATGCTTTTGAGAATGGATCCAGGACCGGTGATGGGGGTCGGGAATCGAGCAGGCGTTTCCGAGATCGGTCCCCGCGACAAAGTAGAGATAGGAATGGATATTCCCGTCTCAACGCCGGAAAAGAGCTTTTTGGCTCTACAAACGCCTCCAGTGACGAGAGCTCAGGGCGCAGGGAGCTCTTCCCAAACAAAACCGCAGCCAGCTATCTGAAGAAGGAATTATTCCCAAACAAGACCGCTATCAGCAACCATCGCCGTTCCGACGCTTTTGACGCTGCAGACGAAACGGCCGATTTGTTCGCTAAACGCATCTCCATACCTCTCGTTGACGGATCGCACGATAACGGAGATGGAGAAAAGGATAACAGTACCGTCGAGCTCTTCCCTGATACCAAGCCGAACAAGGGTCTCAAAATTCGTGGTACATCTGACGATCCGGGATTATCCATCCGTGGAAATGCGGCGAATGCAAATAGTGGAATAGCTATCAAGGGAACTGCGTCCGTCAGAGAACTGTTCCCGTCTAAATATTCCGGCAATGCAGGAAAAGAGCTGTTTTCTGATAAGCTTGAAGGAAGAGGTGGCAAACGGAGGAAGGCGGAGGACATGTTTCTCTGAAGAAGACGGTGCGGATATCTGGAGGCCCTTATTTTTTTCTCTTCAATTCTTAGATCGGAAGTCGGCTACACTACTTTTTCGTTTATTGATGTTTAATTCTTCGGTTTCGATTGTTGCAATGGCGCTGGATTTGGATTTTAAAGAATGAAAGATATGATACCTATCTATTTAGTGATGATATGAAATGATAATTGGTTAATAGCGTTGACACCACAGCTTATGTATAAAGTAGAATCTCTGAAATTCAAAAACTTGATTGATTAGGTACTTGAAAAAGCCTTTTACTACTCTGGAGTAGATAATAGCAAGAGATGTAGCCATCTGTCCATGCACCGCTGCACCATGGAAGAGCGAAGACATAGGGTGTTTGGTAATTAGACGGCAGAAAAATTCCAATCTCGGCACGTAATATAAATCCTTCAGC